CCCGATCCCGACTGCGGGATCGGGATTGGACGAAATCGGGATCAGGATTCGGAATAATGATCCCGGTCCCGACTCGGGATCGGGATTGAAAAATCGGGATCGGGATTTAGTTAAAAAAAATTTAAATTTTTATTTACATTGCATATACCTCAATATAATTCCATAATTTTCATCTGCTGTGCTGAAATATTGACTTTAAGTCCCAGCGCGCATTTGTTCTTGGCGTATCAGGGATTAAGGAAGAGGGATAAAGTATTAACGATAAGGTGATTTTGATGGATTAAGAGGGCACTCCCCTAATCCATCAACTTCACTCGATATCCCACCAAATAACTGATATTTAAAAATTTTCAACGATATCCCTGCTAATGCCTTAATTTGGTAATTAAAAGTGATTCCACTAAATCCTCATTCTATCACCTTAATCCACTTAATACTATGATATCCTGCTAACTTCTTGATATCCGTGAAATCCGGTTCACTGATATCTTTCTTAATCCGTTGATAGTTTTATAAATGAGTTTCTTCTTATTCACCGCCGGAGGCAAAAATTTTGAAAAATTTCGAAGATTCTCAAGCCAAAATTTACATTTTTAGCGCCGCAGGCGAAAATTTTGAAAATTTTGGATAGTGTAGAAGCCAAATTGCTTTTTTCAGCTCATTAATATATATTTTCATTAATTTATAAAATCCCGATTTCATCGGGATCCGATTGCTAATCCCGATCCCGGCTCGGGATCGGGACCGGCCAAAACCGGGATCGGGATTTGTCTTTCGGGTTCGGGATCAGAAAAATCGAGATCGGGATTCAAAAAAACCGGGATAATCCCGCCCGATCCCGACCGGGATCCCGATCCCGCCCAACTCTAGTTTTTAATAAATAATCAGACTGGTTAATAACTACATAATTATTTTTAATTATGTACAAAATCATAACTTCTATGTAGAGATTGAATGCTTGTATGCATTCTAGTGTTTTGCCGGAACCGCAAATTTGGCCGGAATCGGAACTTTGTTAAAAAACTTGAATAAAAATTTTTACTGTAAAAACAAATTTTGGCGCTGGTGGGGTATGGTTCCAAAACATTCTGCATGTTCTGGACCTACGCCCACTGGGTTGGAAAATTTTCAATTCGGGTTTCGGGTGCAAAAAAAGGCCGGGTTTCGGGCGGCAATATAGATAGCTAATAATAAAAATATTTCCCTATAATTATTAAATTAATAATTTTCATAAAATTCCTTCCATTCCTTTCATTAAAATATTTTTTTCCTTCTTTTAGTTAGGAATATTCAGTGCTTTAATTCGTCGGTCTGCTCCATATTTAGAATTACTTTGTATTGAAAGAGGAATTAAAGTTTCAACACGTTTAGGCCGTTATTTCCATTATTTGACGCCTTCTCTTCAACATTTTTCTATGGAGGAACCGATTGATGTTTGGCATTTAAATCAAATTGAGGAGTTTTTAGCTCCTAATCTTTTATCGTTTGGTTTAGTTCTTAATAAAAAAGTAAATTTTCTAAAAATTCTTTTGTTTATTAGAAGACTTTAAAAATTAAAGTCGTTAAGAAAAACAAATTATTAGGGTGTAGACTAAGCTTTGGGCCCCTTAATCTAAGCGGATTAATAAAAATTCAACAAAATATTATCAAAATTCAAGTTAGTATGTTTTTTTTATGATCCTAGGAGAGTTGCCTATTTTCTGGCATAAAATCGGAAGCATTGGAATTTTTCGGGAGTTAGGAGTTAAGATACAAAAATTTGTATTTTTGAAGCTAGGCAACTTCCAAGTGATTTTCTCTCCTTAATTAACAAGTAAAAATGAAAATTGAAATATGTAGATTCTGATAGAGCACATTCAGGAGAATAATTCTTTTACTCCAAAAAAAATTTTTTTAATTAAATTTTCTTTTAAAAAAGCAGAAAAAAACTCTCGATGCATTTTTGTCACTAATTTTAAAATGTCAAAAACTTGAATGTCTCCGAATCAATCGTTTTGAGGAGATTTTTGAAAGATCTTTAGAAATTAATCAAAAACAGTTTTTACCCTCAACATTACAACAATTATTTATTTTTGATTATTCAGTTGAAAATTTACACGAAATTTCTAAAATTTGTCCAAAACTTGGATTTTTATTATTTTATAGTCAATATAATGATTATACTGACGAATTAACTGACACAAAAATTCTTAGGTACTTTAAAAAGTTCTTTTTGTTAATTAAATTACAGGGTGACCAGAAAGTTATTGCACACTTTTCATTCCATCATCACTTTCATACTAAAAGATAATGAGATCAAATAAAGATTATATGATAAAGATCCTTTCGGATATATGTAGAGATCATTTCCAGATCATTTCGGAAGAAGTTTGTTGGGAATCCTTAACAAACGTATAAGAAAGAGGAGATTTAGAGGCCAATATCTGTCATTTTGATGATTCGGATATGTCTCGTTCATAACAAATTTTCCTTCTAAATAAAAGTGTCACTTGACTTTCGAACTGCCTCAGAGGGTACTTGCATCTGGTTCCTAGTTGGTAAATAGTTGAATTTCTCTGAGATTATAGGGCACAAGTCCTAGTTCATTTTAAGCCTTAATCCGAATAGATTTTCCGGCCAAACAAGCTTCCATCGCGCTTTACATCACCAAAACGCATGGATGGGAGTATACTCGGAATCTGACCCTGTTCACGTTCTTGGGCGTGCCAACTGTTCGGTTTCTGCCACTTTTTTTAAATGAACACAGTTATGGCTACTAGCCTAAATACTTTTTAGAAAAAAATTTCCCAGAGACTTTCCTAACGGAATTTTTTTTAGTTTTTTGGTGCTTTTCTGAAGTTTGCGAGGAGATGAAATTTTGCAAACGCTGAATCTCTTGGAAAGAGTTAAATAATGGAACTGAGCTTATAGGCCCTGAAGGATAATTGTTTGGGCTTCAAAATGAGTATAAAAATATTTAAAAATGTAAATTTTGAAAAAAGTTATGATGGAATGAAAAGTGTAATACATATACCTAATTTTATTTTTTATTAGTTTATGTTCACCTTTCTTTTACACATTAAATAAAAATGATTTAAATTTTCATCCAAATTTATATTCTGTGCATTAACAGTTTGTGATTATTCTCCTCTTAATAATGTATATTTAAATTAAATTAAAAAATATAATTTAATTTACTTTCAAGTCAGATTTATTAAGAATAGCCTCTTCTTGTCCAAATTTGGAACATTTAGATTTTTGTTGGAAAAATTATGTTAATGATTTAGAGGGCCCAGTAGATGCTCGACAATTAGAAGCTCTTTATTCATTCAAAAAACTTTCTTCCCTTTCTATAGAAATTTATATTGTTTTGAGGGATTGTGTAAATGAATCCATGCCTTTTCACAGAGTTTTTGAATTCTTTTTGAATTAAAAATTAATTTTTTAAAGTTATTATGTGATAATGGAAATGCTAGATTTGATGATTTTATTTTTGAATTATTTATTAAATTAAATTCAATTACTCCTTTAAGGGTAAGAAATAATGTGAAGTTTTACTACCGTATAACCTGTAATAATTGCTCTCCCTCAAATAATTACCCCACTTCCATTAATTACCCCATCCAGCAATAGATTGAAACAATAATTACCCCAAAACAAAGCCCTAAAACACGTTCAAATTTCAAACCTCGTAAAAATACCCTCCCTCAATTAATTACTCACTCTAGCGGTTAATATTTATTTTAATTTTTAATTAAATTAAGCAAATACTTATGTTAAAAATAGTTTTTAGAGGGCTAACCCATAAAACTTAAAAGCTTTTGAAAGGGAATACCAAAAAGGGGAGAATTGATGGATTTGTTGTCCCATAGTTAGTTGTTCATAGATTTTTGATTATCCCAAACTTTTTCAGTTCTAGATATCCAAATAATTTTCCAAATTATTGAGAAGTTTTTAGGAAAGTAAAAAACCCCCACAATCACCCACAATTTTTTTTCAATTTTTAGAACTTGGAATTACGTAATCCACAATCATTTTGTTTGCATAGTGAATATGCGTTGAAACTTTTGAAGGATTTAAATGTAAAAAAATTTTATTTAAATTTTATTTTTAAATTATAAATTTAGGCTTTAGAAACATTTAAATGTACTTTAAGTAGTTATTTTCACGGAGGTGAATTTGTTGTTGAAGAAGAAAATAAATTCTTCCAAAAACTTGATAAAATATTAAAAGAAAATGAAAATAAATTAAAAGCTTCTTTCCGATTTTTGGTTTTTTTAGCTTTAAAAAAGTCTTTAAAAAATTTTTTTAAGTATCGATATCATGGAAGAGGACCTGATACTATTTTTAGATGGAGAAAAGGATATTTATTTGAAGTAATTAAAGTTGCTAAACCCGACCCTTTTAAAGATTTTATTTTTGGAAATTCTATTGTTTTGAAGGAAATAATGAATGAAACATTTGGAAAGAAAAAAACGTTTGTAAAAATTACAGAAATTATTTATTTAAAAAAGATTTTTTTAATTTAGGCAAATTCTTTTAAGAAATATGGGGAATGAAGTTAATGAAAGATGTAATTTAGAATTTATGTACTAAATTTTTATGTATGTGATTTTAAATTTTCAAAATTAATTTTTGATAAATACTTTTTACAAATTTAATTATTTCTAATTCCCGTAAATGATTTAATTAAAGCTCGGCTTTATTAGAACTCATCCCATGGAAGCCCATCCAAAAATATACACCAAATCTCCGTAGAGATTCTAATGGGATACAAGTAAAGATTGAAATATAAACTCCCATTTTCTAATAGAAGCCCTTTCAAAATGACCTGTTGAAAGATTAAATTAGGGTTCAAATTGGGGAAATTTAATCTTGAAAAATAGTAAAAAGCTGGAATTTTTTTAAAACAAAATTTTAAAATATAAAATAGTATATTTTTTAATTAAAAAATAATTTTTCTAAAAATAAAATACAAAATTGAGATCTTTTATTTAAAAATATGGCCAATTAAATAATTCTTAATTTCTAAAGGGAATATTTTCTAAAGTAATATTTCCATTCTTTTTTAATTCTTTAATTATATTTTTGTTGTGTTCGTGTAACTAAAAAATAAATAAATTAAATTAATTATTAAATTAAATAAATTACTAATAATCCCTGTGGAAGACAAGAATTTTCATATTTATTTTGTTTACACAATCCACAACTTTCTCGACAATTTTCTTGTAAAAATAACCTTTAAAACAAAAATTTTATTTATTTTTCAAAACAATAACAACAAACTTCGATTTCCCCAAACATTCCCCTCCTTCCTTCCATTGTTTACAACTAACATGTCTATCTACACATTCATTTGTTATATTAAAATTGGGCGTGCAAAGTTCACAAGCTGCTTTGCCTTTAAAAAATATTTTTCCTCTTAAACTATTACGGGCTATTTTAAATATCCGAAATTCAACTAAATCCTAATTTATAGAGAATTCCTATCTCACAAAAAATTAAAAAAAAATTTCCTTCCTTACAATATTTCTCCATATATTTTTTATTTGTTTTACATTCCCCATTCTCTGCCCAATGCTCACAACAAGGATTCATATTAAAACAATTAATAAAAAGTTTATGTGTTGTTGCTGCCATTTGACGTGTTAAAAATCTTCGAGTTTGTTGTGATTCTATTGGACGTCTTAAAAGTCTTCTTACAATTGGAGGGGGTGGAGGGGGAATGCGCCTCTGATTTCCTCTTCTTTGAATTCCTCTAGACATTGGTCTAAGCTGTAGAGGTGGTGGAGGTGTTGGCGGAGGGGTTGGGCGCCAGGGCTTTAAATTTAACGGAGTGTTGCTATTAAATAACAGTAAAATTCACTGGAGGTGTGGGGCCTTGTTGGCACCTTCCAAAAATACATTGACCGTTAAAACAAGCATCCATTCCATCAAAACCCTCACAAATACCACCAAACTTTATTTTGGCTACACAATGAGGAAATCCATGATTGAAATCGCAAAACAAATATCTAAATAAAAATTATTTTTTTCAAAATTATTTGGATTAATGAAAATGAAATTAAAAATAGGAATTCTTACAAGGCTTGAGTAAAAACAAGTTTAAAATCCTTTATTAACAAAATTTAATATAAGAATTATGCCTGTTTTAATTTTTATACCATAACATCGATAATTTCATAGTTAGTAAATGATGTAGTTCGGATAATTTAAAATCCCCTATACCCGTTAAGAGTCATGAATATCCTTTATTTACTTTAATAAGACTTGCCTAGATCCACAAGTAGGGACTTGTGCTGAACATGTTGGTCGTTGAGCATACTAATAATAAGTGTTTTTAATTATAAAAAATATCAGAAATTACTCTATATAATTGATCGGTATAAGCATTAGATAACCCTTAAATTTTAATTAAATTAAAAAAATATTTTTAAATAAAAACCATCTTGATTGGAAAGAAAATCAAAAGGCCTCATCCAAGCATAAGAAAAATGAAATTCATTTCCACATGACCACAAATCTATTTTTTAATTAAATTAATTTTTTTATAAAAAAAGAAAAGACTAACTGGGTGAGTAAGCCCATTCTCTCACATCTCTAAAAAAATTAAATTTAAAATATTATTTTATTTCTTAATAATTTAAAAATAAATATTTAATCTTTTTTTTTTGTGATTTGTGATAGAATAATTTAATTCTTTGTTAGTATTTTTTTAAATAAGGAAATCTCTGTCTAACTATTTTTTTATTTTCAATTTCTATTAAACAATAACAAAATTTTATTTCCCAAAAGGTTATCAGAAATATAATTAATTCATTATTTAAATTAAAATATAGGCAAGTCCCTTTATTATTAAAATATATTACGGACTTTCTTTGTTGTCGTTGACGCCAAATTTCAAAAATTAAATCAACAAAAGAATGATGCTAAAATAATTTTTATATATTTAAAATAAAAATAAATTAAAAAATATTTTACACCATGTAGAAGATTGGGTCATTTGCTGATGTTTCTGGCACCTTTTTAATTTATTTTTAACAAAATAATTTTAATTTAAAAATACCCTCATATCGCCGCCTACCCAAAAATGCTGAAAAATATTTAAAAATAAATTTTCATTGTTTAAAAATTAATTTAAAAAATTATTTTCAGCACTATATTTGAATGGGAGTATTCCAAAGCATTGAAGTTTACGGGTATTGGACATCCTGCGAGAGGGACTGTATATGAGAGGACCTAAATAAATAATTTAGGAATTAAAAAATAGGTATTTAATATTACATGTTCTATATTTGGTTCATTGGCCACAGAAGACAATTGGCCTTTATTTTAAAAAATAAAGTTGATAATTAAGGGAAAAATTGTACCTTCATTAAATAAACCACCCTCTCCAGAAAGTGTCCTTTTAAATAGAAAATGCATATGTTGAAATAAAAATAATTGGGATTTTGTGATTAAAAGTATCTTATAGAGGTCATCAAGAGAGCCCCGGTATAATTCAATTCAGCTGGTCGAGTCGCATCAAACCATACCTGGGCCCCACAGATTCGACAATTTATAAAAAAGTTATAGCTCGGCAGTATATGTATTGGGCTTGCGGTACATCGGGGTGTACCCTAAATATTTATTTGATTACCTCCAAATAGTATTCCTTCCCTCAATTGTATTCCAAAAAGCAAAAGGCCCATTAACCACAAATCCATTCATATCAATCTCCCCAGCAAATAAAGGAGAAAAAATAATTGAATCTCTTGGATCGGGTAAATAAACATCGAGAACTTTTTAAAATAAAATATTTTCTCCTTCAAAAAAATTTTTTTACCAGAATCCCAATATGGAAGAGCTACTGTTGGGTCAATTAAACGTAAAGCAATTTCCATTCTTTTAATAAATTCTCTATGCCAAGGAAGAAAACCTGGGCCTGAATGAGCACCTCCTTGACTTACCTTTTTAATTTTTATTTTTTATATAATTAATTAATTAATTTACAGATTGATGCTCTCTAGCAAATCTCTCATATTCCCCGTTAAATTTTAGTTGATTAAATGCTGAGTGAAAACGTTCTCTTTCATCATCTGTCATCATTCTATACTGAAAATATTTCGGAAAATGTTCTTATTAATTTTAAATTTAAAAATTAATAAATAGAGAATTTACGCTAAGGGAAATGTAACTAAAATATGCTTGGGGATATGTAAGTTTGAAATTTTTTAGATCCGGGTTTGTTAAAAGATAAATAACTTTTCGTTGATATTATTATGATCTTGATCTACCTCTTTTCTGTAAGCAATAGCTAAAGGCCTCCCATTACGTAAATAACAATAACCATCATCACGCATTGTTCCCTTTATTTAATTTAGAAATTATTTCGATTTAACTTTTATTTTCCAAAATTTACCCTAAAGAAAGGACACAAACATTGCAATGTCATACAATCATAAGGATTCCAAGCAACTTGTCCACGAGAATTTCGAGAAACAGGCAAAGGTCTAAGCCATACAGGCGATCCAGGGACTGAAGGAGGGAATATATCATCTACACGACGAGTTAATGCTTGACGGGCTTTTCGATCAATTTGGCGTAACTTCATGAAAAAATTAATGAAATAAAATTTAAAAAATAAAATAATTTGGTAGTAAACAGGAAGGAAATGCTTAATTTAATTCTTTAAATTTTTGTTCATTTTTATCAAAATAATGTTTATCTTTCAATAATTTATAAATTGAATATGTATGAATAACGTTAATTTTAGCTAGCAGCGTTAATTTGCTCATTATTTCGAAGAAAAGTTATAAATAATTAGGTATTATAATTTAATCATCAATTTAAAAGAAAATTTTATCTAAGAAAATTCTCAGATTTATTTATGTGGAATCTCAGGATTTTATATTATTTATTAATTATTATTTAAAAGCAAACTTTAAGACAAGTTTGTTTAAGAACTTGTGTTGGTGCGTCAGAACAATCTGTTCTAACTTGTCGAGTATGGTTACTTAATAAGGAGGAAGTAATTGGAGGTTTTTGTATTTGTTGTGCAAAAGTAGACAACAAAAAAATAAAAAATAAATAAAAATTTTGAAATATTCTTTTTCTTTTCATTTTCTAAAATTTTTTTGAATTAATTTATGTTAGAATATTTGTTAGATATAATTTTTGAGAGTAGGAATTGAACTGAAAAACCCTCGGTTCTTCGGTTCAGTTCAGAATTGGCATCCCTATCTCTGTGTTAATTAAAATATTGTTTGGATAACAAAGAAAAAATAGAAAAAGGGATTCTAAAACACAATTAAAATTTTACAAAAATTATAGTACATATTTTGAAATTTCTTTTTCCGAAAATTTATTTTTATATAAAAATAAATGAAATAAAAAATAGCAATAAATAAATAAATTTTTAAATATTTACTAATTAAAATTTTATGGAATTAAAAGTAATATAAAATTAAAAAAATATTTATTTTTTTAATTAAAAGAAAATAATTTTAATTTAAATAAATGAATATAGAAAAAGTTAAAATAAATAAATAAATAAAATATTTTAATAAAAAAACAGTTTAAAATAACCTCGGGAAGACAAAGAAAAAACAATTTAAAGTAAAATATTTGGAGAGAGAATATATTTTTAAAATAAATTTTTGGAAGTTTAAAGAAATAAATAAAATATATAAATTAATTTTGGAGAGGGCCAAATAACAAAAGAAACGAAAAAAAATTTTTTTGAAAAAAAAATCATTGAGGGAACGCGTAATAAAATTAACTAAAAAATGTTTTTTCCCTCCTTTTCGCTTTAAACATTAGGTCAATCATTTAAAAGAAAGCATAGAAAAAATGGCCGAGAAAAAGAAGAAAACGATCACCTGCTGACCTTAATTTTAAATATAAAACATTAATTTGGCCATAGAAAAAATTTTGGGTAGTTGGGGGGGGGGGGGGGGGGTTTGTGTAAAGAAATATATAAAGACAATGGCTTTTTACAAAAAAAGTGTCCCCTCTCTTTTCCAAGTTTATTTATTTCTGGTTCCGTGTATTCCGGTAGTTTTTATAAACAAACTTTTTTTCGTCGTCCTCAAGTATTTGTCGCGCATTCTTTGTGCTACTCGTCGTGTGAATTTCTCGCCTCTGGGCTTTTTTAAAATAAAAATAAAAAATAATTTTTAATTTAAACTTTTAATTGCTTCAATTTAGAAATTAAATTTGTTTACAAAATATAATTAAATTTTTAAATATATTTGTTTCCATTTAAACAACCCGAAAATATCTCGCCGAACAAAAGCTTTTTTAAAAAATTCTTTTAATTTAAATAAAATAATTTTATGATCAAAAAAGGTTTTGAATTAAAAATATTTTTTAAAATAAAAATTAAACTAATTTAAAAATTAATTTTCTTCGGAAAAATGCCTTTCTTTAATTATTAATCATTTTTTAATATTTTTCATTTCAAGTTTAATTTTTCTTTACATAGTTAATTTAGATATTCAAATTATTTTAGTTTTTATTTTCTAAATAATTTAAACAATTTAATTTTGGCCACACTTTTCTTTCCTATTTTTTTTCATATGTAATTGTTGCTTTTCTATATTTTTTTCAAAACAATTCCTTCTCATTGTAGACGTTCCATCATTCTCTTTTTAGGGGAAAAAACATTTTTGTTAGCATCATTCCTTTCCGCGCAATAATTTTAACAAAAAATTCTTTTTGAATAATAAATTAGCTAAATTTATTCGATGACAACTACGTAATTTAGTATATTTAAAGGACTACAAAGTATTTTTTTAATAAAAATACATATGTTTTTGAATCTTAATTTTAATAAAAAAAATAATCAGAATAAAATAGGTATACAGTCGTGGAAAAAAGTATGGAAGCGCTAGAAAATTTTTTCTTACTTCTTAATTTTTCATTCAAAAAATACGTTCAATATATCAATCGAAAGCTCTATTCGTATCTCAGTTGACATGTTTCTGCATTTTTCATGAAAATGAAAATTGGCCGAGATAATCCGGATACACGGATATACCAAATCCCATTTTTTCGGAAAAATTTTTCGGAACAAATTTAACAAACCCAAATGATAAAGCATATTTTTCTGAGTATTTTCCACAAAACCGCTTAGAAATATCTTTTTCCGGAGCAGAGATATGATTTTTTGAAATGGCATTTTTCGTCTATTTTTGCAAAAAATTCAATTTTTAAGCGAAAAATGCCATTTTCAAAAAATCATATCTCTGCTCCGGAAAAAGATATTTTTAAGCGGTTTTGTGGAAAATACTCAGAAAAATATGCTTTATCATTTGGGTTTGTTAAATTTGTTCCGAAAAATTTTTCCGAAAAAATGGGATTTGGTATATCCGGTAGATCCGGATTATCTCGGCTGTCGCGAAAGGCGACAATTAGAATTTAATTTTTTAAGTTTATTTTTTCTAAAATTTGTTTTTCTTAAAAATTCCAATCTTTGGTTATTTTTTCAACCGCATCTGTTCGTCTAGGAAATTCTTTTATGTTTAAGAAATTTTTTCTATTTATAACTTATTTTAAATTAGCTTTCTTTTGTTTCTTTAAGCGCATCTATTTTCATTTTTTATGTACCAGCCGCTATTCACTAATTTCTATTTTTTGCCCACTTTTGGAATGTTGTTTTTCTTAACTTTGTTCACCCGCCTATTTTCCTGGCCTATATAATCTTCCCTCCAAAACCCACATTAGCTTGCTTTCTAATCAGCTCTACTCTGTTCTGTTGGTTCCATTACTTGGTTATCTGGCTTTACTCTATTCTGTTTGGTTCCATTACTTGGTTCTTTGGTTGGCTCTAACTTACTGCCTTGGCTTATTATTGTTTGGCGCTTTATTTATTGGATTTAATTTGATTTGGAAAATAAATATTATTTAATTTGATTGGAATTTAATTGTTGGGAATTAGGTTTTTTGGCTGAGACTTATTTGTTGGTCCCTAGGCTTTACTATATAAATATTTTTGGTGCAACGGCCGGGAAACCATCCTGGTCACCGTGTGGACTTTATTGCTTCTCTTGGAAATTTATTGCTCTGGCTAAACCTCTACTGATTGAACAATGTCTGGACGTATTAGACGTGGCCTTACTACAGTTCTGGAGTCCATACAAGCTTATACGAAGAATGCAACTCAAATAATGAATGAGGAAATAGATGAAGACACAGCTGGTAAATTAGGAGTGGAAAAGGCGAATTTGGAATCTGCCATTGCGTTAATTGCTGAATTGGATGATAAATGGGGCAATTATATAGATAGCCTTGATGCACCGCAAAGAATGGCTGAAGAATCTGTTTACATGAGTTTCCCGCACAAAGCTGGTAGATTTGAGGATGGAAAAGAGGTTCTACTTTCTCAAAGGCACTTTCTGGATCAGAATCAATTTGCCCGTGAGGTCCTAAATATGGTTAAGGAAACCATCAAAAGCCTGGAACGTTCTCGAACCAATTCTCGACAGTCTGCACTAAGTGAGAGCAATCATAGCGTGGATTTGAATGACGAAATAAATAATGCTAGAACAAAAAAGTTGGATGCTAGGATGAATAATGCTGGAATAGAGAATCTGAATGCTAGAATAAATCGACTGGAAATAAATAATGCAGGGAGGAATAATGCAGGGACGTCTGGATACCACGCGCCTCAACCACGAGTTAACCTTCCGCTACTTCAATTGCCGCATTTTTCTGGTGACGCAAAAGAATGGCCAACCTTTTGGCAAATGTTTTCGTCTACGATCGATAACGAACCAAGCTATGATAATGTGTTGAAGATGAGCTACCTGCTTTCTCTCTTGGATGGACCAGTTCTGAACGTGGTAGCCGGTTACCTGCCTACAAACGAAAATTACCCTCGTGTGGTGGAGCTATTAAAATCTCGATATGGGGACTCAAGAGCACTGAAGGAAGCGTTGCAATCTGAACTGTACCACCTCGCGCCAGCACATGACTCCGTAATCGGACTTAGGAAATTTCTGGATGTAGTTGAGCGTGTCTGTCGTCAACTCAGTGATTATGGGATCCAAGACGACTCATGGATTATCTTTGCTCTGAAGGAAAAGCTACCCAGAGGGATACTAGCTAAATTGATTGAAAAGGAGAAAATGGCAGGAAAAACTTGGAAGATTGAAAATTGGAGATCAGAGCTTAACTTGCTCATATCAGTAGAAGAGGAAGTGCAAAGATGTACCGTTAATAATGAGCCAGAAAGACCGCCGCGAAGAGATGAACGACCATTTTATCAGCCAGAGCCTACTCGTTCGTTTCCAGTTGCTAGCCAATATAAACCGCTCTGTTGCTCTTTGTGCCAAGAAGAGGGTCATTTCCCAAGCGGATGTACTAAATATGGAAATACACAAGCAAGAAGGGACCGCCTATTGGAACAGGACCGTTGTTTGAACTGCCTAAGAGATGGTCACCGAGCTAATGACTGCCTGAACCACCGTCGCTGTAGTAAATGCCAGGGACGTCACCACTTTTTGGTCTGCTTTTCGCGTGATGGAAGGAATCGAACTCAACCCAAATTTGTTGGACCTACTCAGAAAACGTTCTTTCAGCCTAATCGTTTTGAACCAGTTGCTAAACCGAGACAATCTACTCAGTCAATATGGGAAAGAAGGGATGAACCACACGTTATGGATCATGGGACAAACTGCGACGCCAAATTGCCAGCGCCTAAAGAGAACTCTGTGGTAGCTACCGTGATGGATGCTAAGAATAAACCCACTACCTACCTGATGACAAAAAGATTGATGGTCACTGCTAGAGGGCGTAAAGAAAGAATCCCCGTCTATGTGTTCTTTGACACTGGAAGCCAGACGAGTTTTGTTTCTCGACGATTGGTGGAAAAGCTCAACCCGCCTAGAGGCCGTGAAGTTGACCAATTGGAAATTCATGGATTTGGAGGTGCTTCAGCTAACCCGCTGAAAATCCGATCACCCACGTATATGGTTAAGATACAAAGAACCGATGGGAACTGGGAAGAAATTTCGTTAAATTGTACCGAAGAAATTGCCACTCCCTTTGACATGATAAGTTTTGACGAATACTTCTATAACCGTACTGGAGTCGATAGCCTGGAAGTTGTGCGAGAAAAACCAGATATTATGATTGGAATTAAACAATTTTGGAAATTCTTTGTGTCAAAAGGGAAAGAAATATTGCCTGGCCTGTACTCTATTCAAACCGTTTTTGGAACAATGACATCTGGAGAAAGCGATTTTGGACACAATCCGAAAAGGAAATCCATGTCTCTTGTAGCAGTACATGCAAGTCACAATAAATATCTTCCAATGCCTGACGCTGTTGAGGATGTCAGGAAAGATAACCGAAACCAACGTCCAATCGCAACAGTCCCTGGAGAAACTGATGCGCCGCCGCCTATTGACTTCTCAATATCACGTGCAAAAATCTCTCTGAATTTTGACTCATCCGAGGAATGGGAAGACGAAACCCGCTTGCCGCCAGCCAGGCTACAAACTTTGTCTTCACCCACCGTTGGTGAAGTTGTTCTAGTAGAGGAAGATTTCCGAACACGAAACCTTTGGCCTATGGGAAAAGCAACCGAGCTTAATGTTAGTGGATCTATAAAAATGGCTAACGGAAGAATTGTCACCCGGCCAGTGAGCAGACTTTACCCCCTCGAGGTAAAGCAAATGGAGGAAGAAATAAATGAAAGAGAGATAGGAAGTAATGAGAATATGAATGGAACTTTGACGCTCGAATTGGAGAAGCGAAAAGATGAAAATCCCTCTCTGGCAAGGGCTAAGCTAGCAGCAAGTACATTGGTGGCACTTTGTCTTGTTTGCGTCATGGTCTTTGGTCCATCTGGAAATCAAAGAATGGAAATATGTTGTGATGAATCCCCCACTGAGATGCTTTTGACTGACTATCCTGGTGTGGCCAAATTTTGGAAAAGCTCGCTAGAAAAGTTTTCGACAGAGATGTCATGCCCAGCTTTAAATGAATGCTTAGTAATGGACTGCACATTTTGTATCGACCGCCTTGCTGTTCCTTGGGCACTTGTTACTCTAACCGCGTTTTTGGGACTCTGTTCTTTGTTTACTCTTTATCGATCTTGCCATGAAAACTCTCGAATGATTGGGGCTATTGGAAGGATGGGATGCCAATGCTGGAGGTGGACAAAAAGGAAGACTGCTTACACAAGGGCGCGCACCAGAGAAAAAAGTCGAAACAAAAGAGAAAGCTTCACACCCTGTTGCCATAGAGGACGAATCGAAATTCACTGCGTCTTCAATCAACCTGCCAGACTCACTTTATGGCGCGCGAGACAATCTGATGCTATGATGATCCAAGATGACAAAGAAATAATAGAAGAAAAGAAAAACAACTGGGGGCCCGGGAATGTCGCGAAAGGCGACAATTAGAATTTAATTTTTTAAGTTTATTTTTTCTAAAATTTGTTTTTCTTAAAAATTCCAATCTTTGGTTATTTTTTCAACCGCATCTGTTCGTCTAGGAAATTCTTTTATGTTTAAGAAATTTTTTCTATTTATAACTTATTTTAAATTAGCTTTCTTTTGTTTCTTTAAGCGCATCTATTTTCATTTTTTATGTACCAGCCGCTATTCACTAATTTCTATTTTTTGCCCACTTTTGGAATGTTGTTTTTCTTAACTTTGTTCACCCGCCTATTTTCCTGGCCTATATAATCTTCCCTCCAAAACCCACATTAGCTTGCTTTCTAATCAGCTCTACTCTGTTCTGTTGGTTCCATTACTTGGTTATCTGGCTTTACTCTATTCTGTTTGGTTCCATTACTTGGTTCTTTGGTTGGCTCTAACTTACTGCCTTGGCTTATTATTGTTTGGCGCTTTATTTATTGGATTTAATTTGATTTGGAAAATAAATATTATTTAATTTGATTGGAATTTAATTGTTGGGAATTAGGTTTTTTGGCTGAGACTTATTTGTTGGTCCCTAGGCTTTACTATATCGGCAAATTTTCATTTTCATGAAAATTGCAGAAACATTTCAACTGAGATACGAATAGAGCTTTCGATTGGTATATAGAACGTATTTTTTGAATGAAAAATTAAGAATTAAGAAAAAATTTTCTAGCGCTTCCATACTTTTTTCTACGACTGTATGTACATTTACTAAAGGGTTTTAATAAATTATTATTTAATTTTGGTTTTATTCTTTATTTTCTGATTTGTTTGTTTTTTATTTTGAGTGTTACCTAAAAAATTTATTTTAAATAAAATTCTAATTATTTTTATCTTACTTTAAAATTAAATATAAATTAAATTTTTTTCTCGTTTATTTGCTCTGGGTAATTATTTTTTCAATTAGTCGAGAAAATACGGTGTGTAAAAAATAAAAAATACTTTTACAAAAATCTTTTGTTTATTTATTAAAATTATTTAGTATTTATGTAAATCTAAATACAAGTCTAAAAAATAAATGAGAAAACAAACAAGAAATAAATAGCCTGATTATATAAAAATAATCGTGTATATTAAGTTGACAGATCTCTGGATATATGTTGGACATTTTTATATCGAATATCCAATCTTTTATATCCGCCAACTTCATAAATTCACAAAAAACTAAATATCCTTAAAATATTAAATTAAAATCAATCTCATCACCAAAATCAACAAAATCATCAACGCCTTCCAAAAATAGAAAATAATCCAGCTAAAGGATTGTTATCCCCTCCACTTCCTCCACCTCCCCCTCCACCTCCTCCACTATTTCCACTTTCTATTCCAAATAATTTCCCCAAATCAAGAGGGGCAATCTTTAAATTTAAAAAAATATTTAATTTTATTTAAAAAATTAATTAAAAACCCTTTCACTTCCATAAGAATAAGAGCCTTTTTCAGCCATATCTTTCCAAAAATTTTCCATAAATTCTTCAGATTTTGACATTTTTATAATCAAAAATAATAGAAAAATAATTAAAATATTTTTTAACATTTTTATTTAAAAATTTTTTGAACAATTTTTACTGATTTTGAAGAATATTTTATATAAACTATTTTGTACTCAAAAATTCTGACTTAAATGGTGGAACGGTTTTTAATTATTTAATGGTCTAAAAGAAAGATTATTTTTAAATTTTAAATTGTGATTTGACCAATCAAAGTTTTTTTTGTTTTATTAATGGGTAATTGGGCGTAGAGTTAAAACTTCACCTATTAGAGAACAGGCAATGGAAACTTTTTTTTATAAGATCTGTCGAAATTTAATAACTTTTAAAGAATCTAGTACATTTTCAGAAAACCTCAAGAAGTTGAGGTAATACCAGAACAAGATCAACATTAAGACAGACGAAGAAAACAACGACGAGTAATGGACGTAACTAGTGTGTATATACTTATAAATAGAGGCCGGATTTTCATTGATATAAATGTTTTTTTTGCAAACACATCTTGTCGAAAGAAGCCCAAAAATGGCATTAGTTTTTTGATATTATAATTTTGAACAAAGCTGTATATCAATTAATTTCAATATTTTGCTAATTTTCCCGTTATTTCAATAATATGCATTTTTTGAAAATTATTTCAATATTTTTGCATATTTTCATCAAAATTCTGTGGTTTTTTATAAATTTTAGAAAAAAAGTGAACAAATCTGACAGTTCGACCTCCAAAATTCTCAAAATTTTCGCCTGCGGCGCTAAAAACGGGGAATTCTTTCTTATTTAATTGGGGAATGCTGGCGGCTGATGGTGTAAGTTCTACAATTGGGGAATTTCTTCTATCAAATGTTACAAAAATATTTAATACTTTTCCATATTTTTATTTTTATCATGGGATTCGGAGGGAACAAAGGGGAGTGCCTCTCCAAATGCCCCGCTGAACAAAACCCCAAAATGTCCCACTGGACAAGACACTAAAATGGCTCACTGAGCAATACTTCAAAATGTCCATCCCAATTAGGCACATCTCAGAATGTTCATCAGAGTAAAAATCTCAATTTATCGAACTATAAACATACTATATGCAATTTTAAAATTTTTTTCTATTAAATTTCAACTTTTTTTGAGTTTATTCTACTAAATAAGCAATGATTTATTTCAATATTTCACTAATTTTTGGCGTTTTTTGTCAATATTTTGCCATGTTATTTCAATATTTTATGGCCATATTTGGCGATTTTATTTCAATAAAAATCCGGCCTCTACTTATAAATATACATATTTGTCCGAGCCTCAATATTGCTGCGCCAAAATATTTGCAACAATCGCCTATCTCTCTCTTACAATAAATTTAATTAATTTTAAAATTTTTGTAGTATTAATCAAATGATCTCGTTAAATTTTATTTTATGTTGCCGCATAATATTAATGTTTTATATTATAGAATATAGGAAATTTTGCAAAAAACTAAAATTTTATTTTTTTAAATTTTGCACTCAAAAATAAAAGAAAATATTTTTTATCATCTTCCTCCTCCAAATAAAAATGCCAATGGATTATTGTCACTTCCTCCACCAGTTAATACACCCAAATCAAGAGGCATACTCTGTTTTAGTTAATGAAAAATTATTTTGATTTATGTAATATTGAAAAAATAAAATTAAAAAAATAATATTCCCACTTTCAATTTACGTGGAAGGATAGCCTTAAAACTTAAAAAGAAAAAAAGTAAAGTTATGTTTGTATCCAAGTTTGTCCTCATAAAATTTAAATAATTAAACAACAAACTTTATCACTTCCATAAGAATATGATCCTTTAGTTAAAAATTCTGTCCAAAAATCTCCGTCAGAATTAACTAATTCAAATATAAAAATTAATGAAATTAAAGATAATAGTAATTTAAACATTTTAAAGAAATAAATTTAATAAATTTTATTTTAAAAAATAATTTTTATTTGAGGTAAACAATTTCCGAATTGTTAAATTTAATTTTTATTTTTAATTGACGTGGAGGAATGGAAGAAATTTTTATTTTTATACCAAACAAATTTTTTACAATTTTTTAACTGACATATAAATTATTGTTTAATTAATTAATCATAAATTTTTTTTAATAAATTAATTATTAATTCAAAAAAATGTTCTAAAAAGTGATCAGAAAGAGATCAGTTTTAAATAGAACAAAAACAGGTTTATTTTGTATGTTTTTATATTGTTTGTGATTTAAATACAAATATAGCCAAATATTTATTTCCAAAAAAATTTCTAAGAAAACATCACGTCATTTTTAATTAAATCTATTAATTATTTTAAACATTCAATTTGCACAATGAAGGAATAAAATTGGTCACAAATTGATCTCTCATTGACTAAATAAAAGTTTAAATAAAAAGTGATAAAATTTATTTTAAGAAAATTTAAACTTTGGAATTAATACATAAATTATTTTATTAAAAATTAAGGAATGAAAAGATAAAAAAAGATTTAAAATTTAAATAAAAAATCAAATAATTTTAAAATTTAATTTAAAAATAAAAGATAATTTTTCTTTAGAATTTTGAAATAAAATATTTTTAATAAATTTAAAAAATTTTATTACCTAGTAAACAAAAAAGAAAGAGAAAATCTTTACGGGAAGGATTAATCAGCAATAAATTGACGATTTAAAAGTTGGCATATAAAATATTTACGTAAAAATGCTCTCAATTTCTTAAAGTTTTTTTCACCTTTATTTTTTATCCCTTAAAAATAAATTTTTGAGAGAATTTTCTTTTAATTTTCTTTTAAAAATGTTTTTATTTTTTTGTTTTTTAAATATTTTTATTTTTTATTTATTTGCCAATGCATGTCATCCAACTTCCCACAATTTAATTCCAAAAACAACAACATTAAAGCCAACAACAACAACAACAAAGAAGACAACAATAACAACCAAAACAACCCCAAAACATCACTCCTCATCCACCTCTACAACAAAAACAACCTCCCCCCAACAAACAAAAACAACAATTAAAACAACCAAAAAACCAATTAATTGTTGTAAATTAATAAAAGAAATTAAATCGACAAAATTTTATAATGGTCATTTAAATTTAGAATATTATGGAAATAATAATAATTGTTTTGATAAAGTAAAAATTATTTGTTTGTAAGTTTTTTTTGTTAATTAACTGTGATAAATTAAATATTTAAAATAAAAATTAATTAAAAGGATATAATAAATATTTGATGTTTTCAATAAAAATATTTATTCAACTAAAACTAACAAAATAAATCCTACAATGGTAAACCCTTGAATAGGCGGCTAGAAATGTTCATAGAAAGCCTATATCTTTTGGATTGAAAAGACAATTTGGCGCAACAGTTAATTATTCGCCAATAACTATTAAAAAGTTGACTAGAAATTTTAAATAATTCGAAGGCTAACGATATATGATTTTTCTTTTAAATAACAAAATTTGTCAATTCTTAAATTTCATTTTCTCGTATTCACAGGGCGTCAATGAAAGAATTTTTAAAAGAAAAAATACAGTTAGCTATACTCGATGCATCTGGCCAACATTTTTTGTCTATTAGCAACAAGAAACAAATAAATTTAAAATTTAATTGTTTGAATAATAAATGGATATTTAAAGAAAAAGAATTAAAAGATAATGGAATTCAATGTATTTTAGCTAAAAAAGGAAATTGTTCTAATTTAAATAAATGCTTATTTTAATTTATTTAATTTTTTTTATTTTTTATTTTTAACAATTAAAAGAGTAAAAGAGAGAGGTAAAAGCTTAACCACGGGCAGGCTTTGATCCTGCGACATTGTGGCAGTTATTGCCAAGCATCTTCATTCATCCCTTTTAATAGATCTTTAACTTTAGCCTAGCAAGCATTTTAAATGATAGCCTGATAGATCTCCCTTCTTCATTGCACAATTAATTAAAAAATTCTCTTTTAAAATAGAAAACTTAGAGATTATTGTAAATTTTAATCTCGACAAAATTTTATTTATTATTTCCTCTTGAATATTTTAAATGAAAAACAATTAAATAAATTTATTTTTTCTTCAATTTTTTTTCGAATCATTTATTGCAAATAAATCTGACCATATTTTCACATAAAATTAAAAATTAGAAGACAAAAAATATACCCACATTTAAAGCCTATCAGTACATAATTATTCATTGAAATTATTTTTTTTCTCCTTGACTAGAAATTATTTTTGCAACTTTTTTACACACCACGTTATATTAGCAGAAATAATTTCAATGAAAAATAGGCTAAGTAAATATAAAAATTTAAATCAAAAATTCTTGTAAATAATAAATATTATTTTATATTTAAATTGTTTATATTTAAAATAATTTATAAAAATTTAATTATCAAAAATAAATTTCAAAATAATTTGATGCAAAATATTATTGTTGGAAAAGTGTAAACATACAATAGGAAGTAAATATGCCTGAAGCTATATTTTTTAAATAATTGTACTTTTAAAAAGGCAACTCTTTTTTATGCCTTTGTCGTTACATCGCATATTTTCTGAATTAATCATAAACCTTTTAATAATTTACTAAATATTTATATTAACGTCTTTTAAAATAAAAATTCATTAAATCTATTATTATTCATTTTCCACTAAATAAAAACAAAACTAATTTAAATATTAGTCTATGTATACATATGTATTTTTATGTTCTACCCTTCAAAAATAAATTCAAAATTATCAACGAAACTTGCACCGACAATCACAGCATGACTTTAAATATTTACTTTATACTTTGGCAATAATTATAAAAGTAAATATTTATTACCTCTCTATATATTTTAGATGTCGCTATAAAAGCACCAAATTATCTCTTTATCATTTACTGATAAGAAAATAGTGGGCAAATTAATTTAAAAATTGGGCCAATGAGAGGATGTTATTATTATTATTTTTTGGTTTGTTTGGACTAAAATAATAATTATTATTTGAATTAAGTAAATAAGCAAACAACTCAAATAAATATTTAAATTACTGATATATATTTTTGTTTGTACCTAAAATAAATAATAATATTTTGATTAACCCAAAAAAGTACCAAAAATATAAACATTCCTTGTGTTTTCATCTTAAAAACAAACACAAATATGTATTTAAAGACATGCAGTTGTCCATTAATCTTCATAATATTTAAGATTTTTTGCGGTTCTCTTGTCCTCCCTTATAAGGACTTTGAGTTCTCTATAATTTTTTATTCATTTAATTATTTTAATTGGCAGTGTCTGGCTATTTTTTCTTAAATTATTTTTCTTGATTGCTTCCTTGTTAATTTTTTTCTCCATTGCTTTTCCGTCTGAAAGGCTGATGCAATAAGTACAATAATAAATTTATATCGGCCCATTAAAGACATGTGAATGCCATGAATTCATTTTTTGTTACTGCCAATGATAATTTTTGATAAAAATTGTCGGGCCAAGTACAAACATGCAAGAATTTTTTATTAGAATTTTATTACTCTTTATGTGTATAAATTAAAGTTAAGGTTTAAATGAAAATTATTGGCTCGTTATTTTTAATGAATAGTTAATATATTTTGTACTTTAAATATTTAAAAATAAAAAGAGTCCTATATTTATTCTAACAAAACCACGGATTAATTGGCCTTCTTGGGTGGCCTTTAATTATTAAATGAACAATTAATTCTTCTTTGGACTTGCATTTATTTCCCAATTTCCATACCTTTTAGTACTTAACCGAAATTATCTCTCCGATTTTTTCGTTGATAAATGGACTGTCCGATTACATTAGTTTGACCACAACCAAAAAATTATTTAAATTAGTTAAAGACAGTCTACCTAACTCATTCCTTACTCCTCACATTTTTCTAAAAATTTCTCCTTTTCCCTAAAAATGGCCTCATCTTCCTCTCATTTTTCCTCTTCACAATTTTATAATATAAAATCTAATAATACCAAAGAAAAACAAAAAGTTAATATGCCACAACAATTAATTAATAATAATAACCAAAATAATATTAACGGAACTATTGTTTCGCCAAGAAATTATGTTTTGGAAGCTGTTCCTGATGAACAAACACTCGCGGAATTAAGCTGGTTTGTTTATTCAAATTTAGAAAAATTTTTGGGAGCAACGATAATGGGAACGAAAAAAATAGTTTTTTTTGGGGTTTTAAACAATCTTAAACCCGAGCTGTTTTGATTCATTTGATTGACTTTCATAATAAGGTTATTTGTCTTGAAATTGAGAGAAGAGGTGAGGCCTCTCAGAAGCTTCCAAATTTAACAATTCTATCTCACTAACGACCCAAAGAAAAGTTAATTAATTCAAACTTTTCAGTTATGCCATTGACTACTCCCACACTATTGGTAACTATTGTAACAATTCTTGTATTTTTAAAATATATAAAATTTAAAGGAAATGTGGCATTATGGAATGATCGAAAAGATTGTCATGACCTCTCCGTAATAAAATTCTTAACTATATCTTTTAATTTTAAATAAAGATAACACCACCAATTGCTTTAATGCCTTCTCCCTTTCCTGCTGAACTTTTTGAGAAGGCTAAAGCTGTTCAGGAAACATTGAGTGAATTATATTTCCGTATATCTTTGGATCATGATTTCCTCGTTGATGCTTATAGAGATGTTGTTAAAGCTGATAAAGTTGGGAAATTAATTAAAAATATTTAAGAAAAAAATATTTTTTAAGTGGATAGCTAAACAAATTGAATTAATGGAGATGGTTAAGAAAGATGGAATTCGACAGAATATTTCTGTGCAGCTCCAAAGAGCTGATTATATGTCCCATTGGGATGAACAACAACACAAAATGGAGTTGAAAAATGTTGGAGATTATTTTTTGAAAATTCAGAAAATTAATGGGATTGAGTTAGAGGATGGGGCCTTATTGTAGACACACATATTTCTTATTAAATAGTTATCAAACTTATTTACATAATAGACAGAGAACCTAGGATCACAAATTTTTTGAATAAATATTTGACACCCCCTTTGAGTTATATTCAAGTCCTCTCAAGTAATCAGTAAAAAATATAGAATCATAGAATATTTTAAAATATATTTCTAATTAGGTTGAAGTAAATATTGGCCAAGTTGGAGGCCCAGGTTGTGCCACTTTAATGTCAAAGCTTCACAAAAGGATGTTAGAAAAGGTTGGGAATTTACGTTATGGACAACCTCTTTCCTCAACTGTTAATGGAAAATTGCCAGAAAATTGTCCAAGAAAGGGAATGGCTGAAGCAATATTACATGCTTGGAAATTATTTGGAGATAAAAATGTTTGAATGGGGGGAATTAAAAATGATTTTTAATTATTTTTTATAAAGGCTGTGATTGTGTTTATGAATCAACCTGAGCTATTCCCTGTTTGCCATTTTGAACAGCTACAATTTATTCAAGTTAGCGATCTTTTTTAATTAAATTTTTAAATTTTCTTTCTTAGTTCGAGCTAGAAGAATTAGCACGTAAAGAAGGAATTTATATAAATGTTGTTAGAATGTCAATTAAAGAAACAACACAAAGGTTGGGGGAAGAAAACAATTTTTATTTAAATATTTTAAAAATAAATTTAAAGGCTTTGCCTCAATGAAAGTGATTATATAATGTATGCTGATGGTAGAAAAGTAGCTTTGATTCATATGGCTTATGGATATTTGCCTGAACACTTTCCTAGTGTATGAAAATTGTTAATAATTATAAGGGTGGATACTTATAAAAGGAGAGGGAGGGGGGAATTGAAATATCTAGATTAGATTTAGAGGGGTAATTATTAGATGAAGTAAGAAGGTTGCCTTATCTAAGCACTCTAGTAATAAATAAAAGTCTCTCACAAATGGATATTATTAATAAAAATTATTTTATAGGAGAAAGAATGGAATATCCGTTACGACATGGAACGTTCAAAAACAATCCTTTCCCCAAATATTCGCCTTTCTCTGAGCGGAACAAAAAAGATTCAACAAGTTTTGGCTAAACCTGGCGTTATTGAACGTTTTTTGCCTGGCCAAACAGAAAAGATTGCTTTGTTGCGTTCTACTTTTACTGGATTATGGGGATTGGAGGAAGATAATGAAGAAATTAGAGCCGTTATTAAAGATGCTATTGAGGCTAATAAATTTTGTAGAAAATTTTTTTTATTAAAATTAATTTAAGTGCCCCAAAAAATATGTAATGAAAGCACAACTTGGTGCGGGGAAAGGAAATTATTTTGATGATCAAATGGCTAATATGTTGAGCCGTATGAGTGTGAAGGAACGTGGGGCATATATTTTACAACAAAAGATTTGGCCTGTTGTGGCTAAGGTGGTTGAAAATAATTTGAAAAATTTCTGAAAATTTTCAAAAAAATTTTTTCAGAATTACATGAAACGTCCATTTGAAAAGCCTACACTTGAAGATATAGTTAGTGAGGTAGGAATTTATGGTACTTTCATTGGCAATCAAGAAAATGGAGGCAAAGTTCTTTGGAATAGAGTGGAAGGTTATTTGGTTCGTAGTAAGGTAATTGACTTAAAAAAAAATTTTTTTTGAAAAATTACAAAAATATTTTTAATAATTAGGCTCATAATGTCAACCAGGGAGGTGTTAGTGAAGGTGGTGGTGTTGTGGATTCTTTGATTCTCTTTCCGGAAAATGAATTAAAATATTAAAAAAATATTTTGAAGAAAAAAAGAAAGATTAAAAAAAGATATCTTTTCAAATAAAAATTAAAATATTTTTGAATTTTTTGAATACATAAATATTCTCTTTGAAAATCAATAAATTTGTTAAAACTAATAAATTCTTTATTTATTCGAAAAAATCACTTGAGATAAGTTTTTTGCTACTTTTCTAGTGATTAAAAATAATGGCACTTATTTGTTAGTCTACTTTCATAAGAAGCATTCTGTAAGCTGCGCTCATCTGTCCGCTCAATTTTTCGAAAAACTTTTCTGTTAGGACGGTTCATCGCGAAAATTTTTAGCAGGCAGATTACTATAATATCACTACCATAAATCAAAATAGTGACTAGAATATTGTTAGCTCAAAATTTACTTCCTAACAAGCGAACAAAAACGAAAAAACTATGCGAAAAATACATTTACATACATACAAATAAAATATACATACAAACATTTTACTGGGATATAGTGGCTAGCAATATCTTCCATCATTCACATATTCATCTAATTTTCTTTTTCTTTGTCGCTGGCATCTTTGTTAGAATCCTTGTTTGAGTTGTCCTTGTCCGTAGTCTCCGTTTCCTTCTGTTCTTCGGTTGACAAATCAGTGCCACTTTTGGTCGCTTCCGCTGTTTCTTTACTCTCCTGAGTCTTCTTCGTTTTCTCCTCCTCCTCTTTTGGAGTTGGCACAGGTGTTGCTGGAGAATCCTTAGAAGTCTCTGGTTTCGAAGGCTCTGTCTTTGAAGTCGCAGACTTTGGGGTCTCCACTTTACTCGTTGCTTTTGATGACTCTTCTTTTGTAACCATCGTTTTTGCATCCGTTGGTGCCTTAGTAGGCTTCTCTTCCTTCGAAGCAGGTTCTGCAGGAGGAGCAGCTTCTTTCTGAGGCACCGGAGCCTTGGCAGTTTTCGGTGCAGATTTGACGAGAGACTTCGTCATACTCTGCATCGTATATGCGGTTTTTGCATTGTTGTCATCATTTGGAGTATTAGTTGAGGCCGAAAGTGTACAAACTGAAAAATTAAAGAAATATATCTAGCCTAGCTAGAAAAAATTAAATTCAACTCACCAACTGTTGAGTTATCAGTCTTCAGTATTGGGAAGATAGGGAACCCATCAGCAGATGTTGCGACTCCAGCATCTTTTTTGCTCGAAAGGTTGTCTTCTGCAAATTGAAAGAAAATAAAAACTGTTCAAAAGCTCGGTAATTGAAAACTCACTTTTCTTCGGCTTGCCTTTCTGAGATCCCTTCTTAGAATCATCTAAGGCTGTACGCGTACTTGACGATGGGCCCACTTGGGATTTACTATTAGCGTCCGTCTTTGCCTTTTTTCGGCAACAAGTAAATAAGCCCAGCAACGTTCCGCAGATCAAGAATGGCCAAAGCAATTGGAACGCCAGAAGTGCTGTAGTCGTCGTAGCGGCTGACACTAAAATAAAAGAAGGAAAAATTCTGAACAAAAGGATTAAGAAACTGAGAGAAACTTACTTTAATGAAGAAAGAAATATGTAGACGTGGACTAAGTTGAAGCAGGAGGACGTAGAGTTGTGTTGATAATTAAGCTCGAAATCAAGTTGCTTTTATAGTGATGCGTGAGGGAGTAATTTGGAGTTAGAAGTATCTACTGTCCATTTGTTATCAGCATTAATTGTTAATTTGTTTTAATAAATATTTAGTTTCTTCTTCAAGAACCTAGATTCGAACCGATTATACTTTTAAAGACCTCTCAAATTCAATCATTTAATATCTCCATAAACTTTTATTTCCAGATAAAATTATAGAAATGTTTATTTTCTACAACTAGTTTTGCACGTGCTGGACATGGGACAAAAATATTCCATCGAATATCTATTTAGTAATGAATCTAAATAAATTTCGAAATTCTAAGAAATATCTAAATAAATTTAGTTTGAAAGAAAGTAAAGGTAATTCGCATATTTTTAATGTTGGAATGAGGTTTTGCGTTAAAAATCTTTAAAAAATTTAATAATATACATACACTCTGTCCCAAAAATATACATCCACCTATATTTTGTGGTTTAAGTCCGTAAGTTGTTAACGGATTTGAATGAAATTTTAATACATAATGCAGAAAGGCATTTTGAAACTATATTTAAAATTTGAAAAAATTCTAATTATGCACTCAATACTTACAACCATTTATTTGTAAAATAGGTGTCCCATAAATATACATCCACCTTCCAAAAAAGTTATTTCCAACAATAGGAAAAATCTACAAAAATTCCAGTAAACTTATACATTGATATTATAAGAAAATAAAAAGAAAGTAGGTCCATATCTATAACCTAAGCCGAGATCCTGAGACCTCGAAAATCAACGTAAAACAGGGGTTTTCTACTTTAAAAAATATTTTCGGCCCCTTATGGTTGTTTTTAAATTCTCATTTTAGGCTCATTCGAAAGCCCTTAAAATTTACTATTAAACAAATTTGATCTAGTATTTGAGAAAAAATTTGGTAGACAGATGTAGGTCGGTAATTTCCCGACGCTAATTTTATGGGGCATTTAGACGCTTTTTTCTGTATCAAAAATTTAAATACCTGCTTCTCTCATTAAAAATTTTTCTGGAGGATAAGATTGATTCCGACTTGTAGCAAATTTCAAGGGCTTTCAAATGAGCCCAAAATCAAAATTTACAGTAATCCATAAGTGGTCGAAAATATTTTTTAAAGTAGAAAACCCCTGTTTTACGTTGATTTTCGAGGTCTCAGGATCTCGGCTTAGGTTATAGATATGGACCTACTTTCTTTTTATTTTCTTATAATATCAATGTATAAGTTTACTGGAATTTTTGTAGATTTTTCCTATTGTTGGAAATAACTTTTTTGGAAGGTGGATGTATATTTATGGGACACCTATTTTACAAATAAATGGTTGTAAGTATTGAGTGCATAATTAGAATTTTTTCAAATTTTAAATATAGTTTCAAAATGCCTTTCTGCATTATGTATTAAAATTTCATTCAAATCCGTTAACAACTTACGGACTTAAACCACAAAATATAGGTGGATGTATATTTTTGGGACAGAGTGTACATCTTTATCTAATTATTTTCTTTATTGGCTCCCCCTTAATTTCTTTAATGCTTATTTTTCTACAACTAATTTTGCACGTCTTGGACAAGGACAATACGCAGCATCTTCTCCAGGTTCTCCATTTTCTCCCGACTATTTTTATAAAAATATTAAAAATTTCTAAATATAACAAAACAACTTACATCTCCATTTGGTCCTTTCGGCCCTGGAATTCCAGCCAAACCAGGCTCTCCAACCTCTCCAGGCTCTCCCGCAGCCCCAGCCTCTCCATCAATGCCTGGATTGCCCAATTCTCCTGTTTCACCTTGTTCACCTGCAGGACCCTTCGGTCCTGGTGGTCCTTGACCTCCAGAAGTTGCCGGCAATCCTGTTTCTCCTTTAAAAAATAATTATATTTAATTTTATAAATTAAAAAAATTAATTAATAATTGAAATTAATAATTGGAGTAAAAATTAATAATTAGAGAATAAACTAAACATACACTAATTAGTTTTTATTTAATAACCTGGTATGCCTGTCTCTCCATCTTCTCCAACAGGTCCTATAAAATTTGAATTAACCAAATTTGACAAATATGTGTAAATTAATTGCCTGAATCTCCAGGTTCTCCTGGAGGACCAGGTGCACCACTTCTTGCTGGTAACCCTATAGGGCCTACAGGACCTCGTGGCCCTGGCATTCCTGGCCTTCCGGGTCTACCAATCTGTTAAAAACAAAAATAATCTAAATAATTATAAATAGAAAAACTTCTCCAGGAGGTCCAGCTGGACATTGAATACAAGGTTGAGCATATAATTGATCACCTAATGAGTCACCAGAAATTCCTGGAGGACCGGGAAGTCCGGGAATTCCATCAACTATATTTTAATTAAATTTTAGATTAAAATCTCTACATACACCCAGGTTCTCCATCCTTTCCTGGAGGTCCTTTAGGTCCAGAAGGACAATTATTTGGATAAATAGTTGAGCATTCTTCAATTTAATTAAAACAAGATTATTTTCTTTTTAATTTTACCGCATTGTGGAGCCAATCTCTCGCTTCTAGTGGATCTGGATGTGCGGAAAATACTTTCAAATTTGTTTTTAATTAATTGAGAATTTTGTTTTAATTCCTCATCTTTTTGATTAGATAATTCAACATTTATTTGTTTAAATTCTAATATTCCATTCCAAGCCTCGTCAGCCAAAGTCTTTAAAAAATGTTTTTATTGAAGATTAGTTTTAATATAATAGAATGGTTGCAGGTTTTTGTGTTGAAAAGGGGTGGGTTCCGATTTCCGATATTCCCGGCTTTGTTGTGAGGAAAGAGGAGATCACATTTCTTTGTCCTAAAAAGGATCATTCCCAAAAATTAATTTGGGAATTAACTATAAATCACTATAAGCTTATTTTATTGTGAATTATATAAAATTGTAAATTTTAAAAAATAAAAAAAAACATTAAATCCATCCATTTCTCTTTCTAATTTATCAATCATTAAAATAGTATCATTAGTTATAAAATTCAAAGCAACAATACTTATAGACATCATTATTAAAGAAACAAAAATAGATAACCAAAATATAATACGAATTGAGTTATCTATTTCTTCAATTTTAGATTCATATTTTGTTGAGGAATTATTAAAGAAGGAAAACATTTATATTTAAATTTAAAATATTTATTTTAGGATTGAATATACATAAATTAAATTATTAAATAAATTAAAATAATGCTGAAAAAACCAAATTTGTTTTCTAACTGTAAAAATGATGTTATAACACAAGTAATTTTTGCCTTGATTGAAAACTGGGAATTAGTAAGTGAAGGAAAATTGTTTGGGGGTTAAATTTCCTGTTTGGATCTTCCATAAAGAAGAAAATAGTTTCTGGGCATTACAAAAATTATTTCGGGCTAACTTACTCTGATCCAAATATCAGTCTCAAAATTACAAAATTTTAGATAATTCTTTTTTCGTCTCTAAAAATATTCCCTAATTACCTATTTGAACTATAAAATTAATAAGAATGATTTATTTTCCCCAAATCCGTTATAAGGTTTGGCTGTTCTGAATGTTTAAAAAACTTTTTTTATTATAAAAAATATAAATACATTCCCCGCTGATTGCGCATTAAAAAAATTTTTTTGACGATTCTAGTTGTAAATATTTATAACTAGTTTTATTACATTCCTTTTACAAACAAAAATTATTTTAACAAATAAAATTTACTTTATCTTTGTTTATCTCTCTCTACTTAAATCAAAAATAACAATGGAACAAGGAGTGGCTTTTTGATATTCTTTTTAAATTTAAAAAAAAGAAATAATTAAATAAAAAAGAAGAATTCTTGTCAATTATAGTACAAACAATTTTGTTAAACACGACCCTAAAAATTAAAAAAAAATATTTAATAAATATTCTAAAATTAAAATATAATTTATTTTAATTTAATAAAATTGTATTTTACTAAATAAAAAATAAAAATTATTTTTATAAAAATATTCCCCTTTTAAAGTATAATAAGTGACAGATTCTGATTTAAGTTTATGATTTTTAAAATTAAAAAAGATTAAAAATTAATTTTGATTTAAATTTCAAAAAATTATTATTTTTAAATATATATTTAAATTTAAATAATTTTATATTTATTTTTACCTTAATTTCCAAAGAATTTAAAACATTAAAGGCTCCAGAACCGTGATGATGTTGTACTTTTCTGCCGCCTTCTTCTGTTAATACTATCCCTTTTTTACCGGCCAAAAATTCAGTTACGTCTTTACCATTTGCGTGTTTTAATACTAATGGACCTTTAAAATATTTTTGGAGAAAAGTATAAATTATTTTTATAAAAATTTAAAAAAGATTTTGTTTTAAAAATTATAATAATTTTTATAATAAAATAAATTATAAATATTTAATTTACACCTCCAGGATGATGTGGAACAAAAGAAGTTATATCAAACGTTCTATTTCCATAATGTACAATTATTTTTTTGTCAGCAGATTGAATTTTTAACTTTTAATTAATTTTTATAAAAAATTATTTTTAAATTTTAAGTTGTTTATATGTAAATATTCCCTTTAAAAATTTAATTTTGCTTTTTTATATTTTCTAGTGAGAATTATAGTTTTGAATTAAGTTAACAACTAAAGATCGGACTGAGACGGGATTTAGAACGAAAATCTTGGTTACCGAGAATCGAGATTTTTTGAGATAACGATTTTTGTATGACCAACCCTCCCAGTCTGATATCTAAATTAATTATTAACATTTTCGATACTAGAAAATTATAAAAGGTTGTCCTTATTTTCCACTGATTCCATAATTTTATTTAAGTATTTAATTTAAATTTTTTCTCACCACAAAAAGTGCCAATAAAACTGTGAGAACCCAAATTAGTGTAAAACCTCGTAGAAACATTCTAAAATTTAAATAAAATTTTAAAGATCTCTTTTAATCATAAAATAAATAAAAATACCTTTTAACCCACAGAAGAGAGAGAATTAATTTCCAACACAATTTTCTCTTCTTCTCAACAATTCTCAACAGAATGTTTCACGCAAAAATAATTTTTTACTTATTTATTAACGTGTTTAGGGTTAGCTAGGCCAAATTAAATGTTTTTCTGTTTGTATATATTTCCAACTTCGCCCACTTAAACATTCGCCGATTCACTTATTTGGCTGCTTTTTTTATTTAAAATGAAGAAATCAATCCCCCCCCCCTTACTTGGTATAAAACAAGTTCTTAAAAATAAAAGTGTTTTCTTAAGAATTTTTCTTAAAAAATTTTTTTCTTCTTGCAAATTGTAATTTTGAGTGTTTTTCTTTATTTTTAATTTTTTCTTCGTTTTTTTCGTCGTCACTCATTTCTCTCTCAATTTTATTTTCTCTCATCAAAAACACATTTTAATTTAATTTAATCATTATTTTATTTTTTCTTTTTCTAATCATACACACAATTATCGTCGTCGTCATCAAGTTTGTAAGTACTTTTTTATATTCAAAAAATAATCTGACAAAATAATTTTTTTCTTTAAAAATAAAAATCAATTAATTTACACTTTTATAAATAACAAAAGATCAGCAAAAATAACAAAAAACAATTAATTAATTATTTAGAAGTTTGTACTTTCCCTTTGCGTCATTTAAAAATAAAAATAAAAAATTGTTTGTTTAAAAATTATTTTTTTGGAAATCGTCTCCTTTGATGATAAAAAAAAGTTTTTTTTAATTATAAAATGTCTACAAAAATTTAAAAGTCTACTATTTAAGGCTTAAATAAAATTACTATTTAAACAAACTTTTCTTTTCAAAACATTTTCACAACATTATTCATTCGGTGTGCGGACATAACGGGACGGATATATCCGGGATTACTTTAAGAAAAATACTTAAACTAGCCGTTGCTTGTTTAAGTTGGTTCTAAAACATAACGGACTTTTCTTCAATCCCGAAATCAGTAGAGTACCTGTTCCTACATTGAAATATCCCTAAATGTCCGCATGCCATTCATTCATTTTTTTATCCATTTTTTAATCACCTACCAATTAATTTCTATTTTTCTAGCAAAATGTGGATATCATTATTATTTTCAACAACTTTAATATTTCCTTTACTTTCATCAATTATTTTATTTACTTGCTGCAAGAAAAAACAAAAAATAAGCAAGAGGGAATTAATTAAAAATAAAATGTCTCAATTAGAATATCCACAATATCCAATAATTCAAAACGACAATTCTACTCTCGGTAATTTTGAAGAAGAAAAAATTAATTTTTAAAAATTCTTTCTTTCAGTTTGTACACTTTCCAAGTCTCTAAACACAGCAAAAACTTCCGGGGTTTCAACAGCAGAACTTGAATCTTCTACTTCCAAAACAGCTTTAACACAAGATAATTTGTCTTTAAATTCTGAGAAAATGGAAATTATTGCAAATAACAACAGTGAAAAGGCAACAATAACAGATGGAAAGTCAGAAATAACTATTAGTAGTAAAAAGACGTCTTTGACATTAAGTAATTGAGAAAGAGGAGAGAGGAGGGGATTTTAATTGTTAAAATATACCTAATTTATTATTTTTACCTCAATATATATTGTTCATTTTATGACCTTCTTTTTTGCTTTAACTTATTTAAAATAAAAATAAATATTTTCTAATTTTGTCTGTTTGTTTTAAGAAATTAAATGTATCAAAAAATATGTAGACAATTTAATTTGTCCTAGAGTGCCACAAAGTGTGGGGGATGCCCAAAGTGCCCCCCCCCCTATTTGAGTGATTTCTATAACAACCCCCCTAATTTTGAAAATAGTTTTTAAATTGTTATTTTAATTTTTTATTAATTAGCTCTAAAATGAATAAAAAAAGATTGTCTAAATAATTAGGAGTATTAGAAAGGATATGTGATAATGAATAGAAACAATTATTTCATAATTATTGAAACTATACATATATTTATTTAAAGTTCCAAAATTTATTTAAAATATTTTTTGAAATTATTTCGGCCTTATAATATCAATTTGTAATTAAACAAATACTTTCCTTCTATTTTTTATTTAAAATTTTCTTTTTAATTATTTACAAGTTAAATTTACTAATTATTATTAATTAATAAACAACTTTAAAAAATAAAAAAGGAACGTTGAAAACAATGATCCTTAAAAATATTATTTAAAAATAAATAAAAACAAGATTTCTTTTAAAATAAATATTTTTATCCGTTATAAGGAATTCTTCAATTTTTTTCCTTATCGTTTTATTCATCAACCTTCAAAAAATATTTTTATATTAATTTGTACTTTTTTCCAGCTTTATACCCTTTTCTGCACTTGTTTTTCGCGCAGAACTCATTAAAAGCTAGCTAGCCAGTTTCCAGCCTCGGGCACTTTACTTTCTTTTCAATTCTCCTCATTACTCTTTTTTTATTACTAGCTACATACATATATTCCTACCTCCATTCATTTGATCAAAAAATTATTCCGGCAGGCGGTTCCTTCATCTTATTTTTGTCTCCTTTATAAGTTTTGGCTTCACACATTAATAAAACCAAAATAAAAATAAAATATATAAATTTATATTTATTTTTTAAAATCAATTTGTGTTCAGTTTCTTTGTTAGTGTTCAAGTACTTGATCAGAAAATTAATTTAATTTTTATCAAATTTATTCTTAAATCATTTAAGAAAATAATCGAAAAATTTTTCCGAAAGGCCTTAGAAGACAAACTATCCTACCTACCGTAAATGTCCTAATAGAAGCCCATGCCCTAATAGAAGCCCACCCGATGGGGGGTATTGAAAAATATAAGCCTAGAGCTTATATCATGATATTTACTGTATATTAACTACAGTCAGAAAAAAATTATTTTAATTCTCACGCCTTCAATTATTTCCCTCAATATACTAATTAAATTTTTAAATTTTATTTTCAATCATTTCTTAATTTTTTTAAAGGTTTAAGGGTTATTATACCCAAAATGAATACTGTAATCGTTAATTATGATTCACAGGTGAAGGCTTACAAGTAAGTTTCAGATGTATCTTTTGATTAGAGAAATTCTATTGTTTTTTGTTAGATTTGTTGCCGGTTCAGCCCTCAGTTTTTCTTTAGCATCTGTTTTTGCTGTTTTTGTTACACTCCCTTTAATGTATAATTATGTTGGTAATGTTAGAAGGCAATTAAGTGGGGATATGCTTTTATGTCAAGTAAATTATTAACCAATCTAAATAAATTCCTAATATAATTCTAAATTTCTAAGGGTTCTTCCTCGGAACTTTGGAGCGAAGTAGAATTACTAAAACACTCACCCTTCATCTCACACAGTAATCGAACAGTTCGGCAAGCATATGGAGGCGAATCAGCACCAGTTACTAGTGGAAAGGCTGGTTGTAAACCTTGCTGCTCGCCTGGACCCCCAGGCCCTCCGGGCAAGCCTGGGGCGAATGGAAAGAATGGAAAGCCTGGAGCGGCCGGGGTCCCTGGAACACCGGGACGTGAAGCGGCTGTCTGTGCAACACCTCCCCCATGCAAGCCTTGTCCATTAGGGCCTCCAGGGCCAACTGGACCGCCTGGAGCACCTGGAGATGTTGGGGCTGGTTAGTTTTTATACATGAAAAATAAAATATTAACCATACATATTAAACTTTAGAAGGAACACCTGGTCGCCCAGGGCCGGAGGGAGCACCTGGAGAGCAGGGTTAGTAGTATATTCTTTAATTAATTACAACACATGCTTAATTATTTTTCAGGACCTAAAGGTCCTCCTGGATCTCCTGGAGAAAAAGGATCCCCAGGACAGCCAGGAGAGTAAGTTTAGACTTTCAAAATACTCTAACAAATTTTTCAAAAATAATAAGTAATATTTAGGCCCGGAGCTCCTGCCAACAGTGAACAGGTTGAAACAAAAATTAACTTTAACTCAAACTAATTTGTTAAACTTTTAGCTCGTTCCCGGAGAAGCTGGTCCGCCAGGCGAATTAGGCCCGCCCGGACCACCTGGTCCACCGGGACAGCCTGGAGCACCCGGAGTGCCTGGGGCTTCTGGACCTAAAGGTGTATTTTCTTTAAATATTTGCAAGTAAAAATTTTATTAGGTCCAAATGGCCCTGAAGGCCCGCCTGGTCCAGAAGGCAAACCTGGAGCGCCTGGACCCCCAGGAGGTGTTGGTCAATCAGGCGAAAAGGGGATATGTCCAAAATATTGTGCAATTGATGGTGGTGTATTTTTTGAAGATGGAACAAGAAGATAATTTAGACAAAAAATAAAAGACAAAATTTTAGAAAAAATAAATACAGATAAATATTATTTTGAATAAAATAAATTGCTTATATTTAAACCGAAGTTGTTTTTGTTAAGAAAAACGAGTAAAACTAGAAGATCAATAAGATTATTAAAACATGGTCTACCAAAACAATTGATACATAACGTCTTAAATTAAATTTACAGGAAATTGGATAAATTGTTACATAGAGTTGTTGAATGTGTTGAAGGTTTTGAAGACCCCGAATAAATTTAAAAATATTATTTTGTCCAGTCGAATGTATACAAAATTGGGACTAAAAACTGTCAACTTTAATGAAGTGTACCCATATTTAAAGTTATAAACTAGGCAGCTTTGTATTCCTATCCAGGGGTCAATAATAAAAGTACATTTAATTAAGTGTGTACTTAAATATACTAGATAAGTCCGAATATAAACATAAATATTCTTTAGTTTCTGTTTTATATCTTTTAAATAAAAATATCGGTTGAAGATTATTAAAAAAATTTTTTAACAAATAAATAAAGGTGAATAATGTTTAAAGTTGAAAAATATTTTAAAAAAGAAAAGAAGCTTCTGGAAAATAAAAAAAAACTTTTTTTAAACGTGAGAAAATAAAATTATTAAATATTTTCTTGTATATATTAATAATAATTTTATATTAATAATCATCTCTTTTTTATTTAAAAAGGCTTTTATTTTTTGTTTAAAGTCAATTTCATTTAAAACTTTTCTTGGTTAATCATTTTTTTATTTTTTAAGAATAAAATAAATATTTTTGCTTTTAAATATTTTATTTAAAATTTAAAAATTTAATTCCAAAATTTTATTTTTAATAAAAGTCAAATTTTAGGCTGTCAAGACTTGCTGCGCATGTGTTAGCTATTTAAATAAACAAATATATGTTACCATGTGCCTCAAGTTTAGATAACTATTTGACTAGTTAAATTAATAAAATAAATTACAAAAATAATTATAAATTGAAAATAAATATTTTTCTGATAATTTTTTATTCACAATTTTTAATTTCCAAATTATCAAACAAAATTAATTTTATTTGTAAGTTAAATCAGACTTGACAATGGACATGGAGTTTGGTATCTGTTTCCGGATATTTACGGCTGATATAGGAGAATACCCGCAGCTATTTTGAAATTATCTGTATCCGTACACGTTTGATTTGAGTTATATATTTTGTGTAAATTAAGGGAATTTACTTAAATTTTTATTTTTCTTAGAGGAAAATTTAATTGTTGGTATCTTTTTTAGGAAATAAAATACATAATCAAAAAAAAAGATAAATATTTATTTCATAAAAACATCACTACCAAAACTACACTAAGAATACATATTTATTAAAATAGTTTTTCGCTCAGTTTCATTTAAATTTTTTCGACATTATCCATGTTAAAGAAGCAGATTATCTTGTAATATTTCTTTTAATAAACATTTTTATTTATTTTTGCTGATTTTTAATTAAATAAAAAATAATTTCATATTTTCAATTTATTTCGAATTTTTAAATAAAAATTAGACAATAAATTTAATCTCTCCCAATTTCTCGAGAATATTGTGCACAATCAAATAATTCCCCTAACTAATATGTATTTATCGTTTATTTACATTTTCTTTTTTTCGTTTTTATTGTAAAAATATTTACTTCTGGAATTCAGATAAAATTGATAATATTTATGTTAATTATTAATAAAATTAATTTTAAAAAAAGGATTTTTAAATAAATTAATTTAAATATTTCTTTATTTATTAAGGAGGAAGATAAATCTTTGATTACCTTGCCTGATTATTTTTAATTTTTTTCTGTTTTCTATGCCTATAAATTAAAGGAAATCTTTCAAAAATTTTTCGTGAGCAACAAATATTTAAATATTTTTCTTGGATAAAATTGGTTTTCGACACTTCAAACTTTTGCTCTGATTTTAAATTTTATTTTAGTATTTTATTTCTTTTTAATTTATTTTTAATTATGATTTTATTTAAATTTTTTTTTGTAATATATTTTTTCTAAGAAATATTTTTTAATTTTTTAGATTATAAAGTTAAAATAAAAATATATTTATTCGCCCATATGTAGATTCGATCAATTTTTATTTTTGTATGATACCTCCCACGCAACGTTTTCTCTTATCTAAATATTTAATATTCATTTATTATATTTCACTCCCTCCTATCTTTTTTAATATTTTCTCTTCTTTTGTTGTTAAAAAATTAGGAAAAATAAAATTAGTAATTAATGATAATTTTTAATTTTAATCATTTTAATATTATTTAATTGTAAGCCCTAAATTTGATTGGATCAATCAACTATAACTACATAATATTATGTAGTTCTCTTTTATTAGTTCATTCTCCTCTCTCTTTAATCTTTAAATATAAAAAATTTGGATTTTTTAATGTTGGTAGGTTATGTTCATACTAATAGGAATCCTGGGAAATCTTCGGATATCCGTATCCGAACCAAAAATTCCAGTTGTCTCGTCTTTTTTCGGTTCCGGATATCCATAACCACTCTTAGTTCATACATACATAAAGTTATTTTGATATGTATTTGTATTTTTATTTTTTTTTCCAAAAACTTCTGTTAAACAATTAAGGATTAAATCATAAAAATAGAAATATTATTTATTTATTATTTTTGTAAATAATAAAAACAATAAATATACTTACTACACACAAACATTTTTATTTATTAATATATCCAAATATATCTATCTAGAGTAGTTAGTAATTTACCAGCTTAAAATGACTGATAATAACATCTGCAAATATTTTCTCCGTATTTTGCCACCTTACAGGCGCAACATAGTCTTTATTCTTTGTGGAATGCAAATACTTTTTTTCACAATTATTTTAGCAATTCGTTAGTTGACTTTTGAAAATTAGAAAATAAAATAATAAATTTAATTAGATCAAGCATTTTGGCTTTTATCTACTCGAATATTCCCAGTTGCCTATCAAATGTTTGATGATACAAGAAATAGAGACTTTGAATTTTCTTGGAATAAAACTTCTAGGTAAGTTTTCTAAATGTAGAGTAGTACAGTTGGAGCGAATTAGTTTACAGCTATTATTGACAAATTAATTTATGTCGTTATTTAAATTTTGTTGGACATAAGGTGACGGGGGATGTTTAAGCAATATCCGGCAATACCTAGCTCATAGTGAATAATTCTCTTGAGTTTAGCTATTAAGGCCCGACTGTGTTTGATTTAAAACAAAATTCAAATTTAAAATTATTTTTAATATTTTTTTTAATTTCAGGCAACAATTGGATAGGGTAAAATACATTCTCTTAAATTAAATTATTAATTTTTTATATCAAAGTATCAAGCACAGTTAGCTGTAAGTTGGGTAATTGCTTGTGTAGGTATAAGTATTTCAATGCTTTGTATTATTCCTGAATTTTGCACTGTAGAAGTAGCTGCTGAGGAAGAAGTTGATTTGGTAGGATTTTATTTAAAATTAGTAAAATATCTTTGTAATTGCCTATAAAGAAAGTTATTATCTGAATCCTTCACGTGTTATATAATTCCGCCATGGAAAGGTTCCTCGATAAGGAGATCTGGGATTTGACTGTACTCCCTTAATTAATTGCTCATTTTTCGATATAATTTTTTTCAAAAAGCTTACTTAAAAATTAAATTTCTATTTTTTCAATTCTTTGCCCTACATTAAAATCATTTTCTGTGTGCAAAAAAAATTCTAATATTTTTAACTCTAAATTACAAATTAATTTTTTAAAGTGTGTAAGACAACCAAGTATAGCTAAAATGTTAACACCATTATTATTTTTATGTAATTTCCTTCTGGCTGCTTGTTTAATTACAGAATGGGTAGAATTCCCTTTATTTGACAATCTCTTTCACAATCTTTTTTATGGTGCAATTAAAGAAGAAGCTTATTTAACAAGTTTTGAAGAGGAATTGAATTGTGTTAGTGATGAAGATAAAGAAGGTGAGGGAAAATAAAAATAATTATTTTTAAATTGGGATACTATCAATCTCTACTATTTATTGAAATGTGCCTTTCATTTAAATTCTGTTAGTAAAAAAATATAATATTTCCTAAGAAATTAGGAAATATTTAGGAGTATAAGCTTGGAATAATCCCAAATTAATTGTCGTTTTTAATTAAGTATTAATTATCTTTTAATTTTTCAGGACTGGATGTGTGGGTAAGAAACTTTTTTTTCAAAAATAAAATCTTCAGTTCCTTTCTAGAAATGTGACAGAATAATAGAAAGAGCTATATTAAACCATAAATGGCTTAATCCCCAATTAATTGCCCAACTAATTTTGACTGTTTTATCAATATTTGTTTGTATGTTATTTAATGATCAAGGTATTTAGTAAAACAATTTCTTTAAAATATTTTCATTTTTAAAGAAAAAATCAACAGAGGACAACTAAATTGTCCAGAAGAAATTGATTGACTAGGCTAAATAAAAATATTTTTTTTCGTAGTTGAATTACTAAAACGGGATCTCATCCCCATTTCAACGAATGTAAATACATAAAATCATCCCCCTAAATACTTTGCCAATAAATTTTTATTTTTTAAAAGTACACATGTGATAATTTAGAAATAATAGTTTTGACAGAATAAATAGGTCGATTGTAACTCTCGAAATTTAAGAGGATTTTTTAAATTTAAAACAATTTTACTAAACTATAAATGTTAAATTCAGACTCATAAAAACAAAAAAACATTTTTTAGTCTAAATCCTCTTATGAATGGTTATTTTCGATATTCAAAAATCAATATTAAATATGAAAAAAATAAATGAAAAAATTTGTTTTTAGACCCTGATTTGTAAATTTTAGGAAATTTCTGATGCCGAGAGAAAAAATCACTAAAATCCCTCCCAGATCTCTCTATTTTATTTATTACTTACATAATTTCAAATTTATCTTCAAAATACAAATCCAAAAATCAAAGCTCTTCTTCCATATTTTCATCATCCTGCTCTGCCTCAATTCCCAATTTATTTCCCTCTTCCTCTTCAGAATTAATTAAATTTTTTATATTTTCTAATTGATTATTTAAGGATTGTAAACGTTTCCCACTTAATTCTGCAACTTGTTTTGCATGAAAATTAGATCCTTGATGTTCAGCTCCAACACAGACTTGCTCCCTTAAATGATTAAAAAAAGATCTTGTTTAGCAAGTAAAAATAGGATTTTACTGCTCACTTAAATAATTAGTAAGGGTGTCAAAACAATTTTGTTTTTCACCTCTTTTGAATTTTTTACAAAAAAAACCCACATATAAGTCAATTGCTCTCCAACCCCTTTTTGTACTTCATCCAATTTCGTTTCGTACCGTTTGTACAAATCTTCCATTTTTGACTTTGAAATCTGAAAAATTTTAAATAATTTTTTCATTGCTTTACCGGTTTGTCCTTTTCCAAACTGTTCAAAACTTCCGCAACAATAGCCATTAATTCAGCAACTTTCCAATCAACATCTTTTAAACATTCCAATCTTTGTTCAAGTTGAATAGTCTCTGTGTCAGCAGAAATTTCTTCCATCATTTGCTCGACGGGAGGTGCTGTTTCTGGTAATGCAGAGGTTGAAGCCATTTTTTAAAGAATTTCCTGATTTGTAATATTTAAATTTTTTAAATCTTACAAATAAAAAAGGCGAAATAAAAACTATAAAATATAATAAAACTTTAAAATTTCACGGAAAGTAAACTAAAAAATCTAAATAAATTTATTAAATCAAACAAAAAAACAAAATAATTATTTAATTAGCCTTTTCTTCTTGTATTTTATCAACATTCTGCTTTTCTTTCCTTCTTCTAGCAACTACTTGTTCTGGAAGATCTTCTACACGATCGAAATGTCGTCTAAGTCCGCGCAAAAGTCTAAATATTTTAATTTTAAACTTGAGAGTATGCAAAGATTTCTTACTCAGGATTTTCAGATCTGTCTGGATCCTCAAGCAAATATTCGTCCTGAAGTCGAATCTGTTCTTTCAGGTGTTCCTTTTCTTTCCATAATTTCTAAAAATATATTTTGTTGAATAATACACCAAAATTTTCGAATAATAAATTTGTGCAAGAAAGTACTACTTATTGTAATAGAATATACATTAAATTTACAAGTTAAATTTTCAATTTGAATTTCGAAATAAACAAAACACTGAATAAATCTCCCTCTCACCTAAATTTGTGTAGGAATAAAATTTTTAGTGAATCTGAAAAATATTGCTAGAAATTCAACAACATTTCAAATTAATGTTTGATTCTATAATATTTTTTAATTATTAGAATTAACCTGAAACAAATAGGCCTTATCGTCTAGCATAGGAACCTCATATTCCTTCTTGACTCCAATCACATCTGGTTGTCCATAATGTTCATTTGCCGATACGTCATAGGTAAAACCAGCAAAGGATGTAATCTTTCTTTTGGGTGGAGAGGCACTTTTGCCAGTTTCTAATTTAAGATACGCATCATTACGTTCATGCACAACAACTTCAATATTGTCCATACTCTATAAAAATAAATATTAATTTCTAAGATTTAAATAATCAATAACCTCTTTAACTCGATCAATCCTCTCAGGATTAGGTAATTCCAAATGCCTAATCTTGTATGCTTCTCGCATTGTAAGAAGCATATTCCTCTCTTTCAAAAGGACATACCAAAGTTTGTGCAAATCAGAATTGCTTTTAAGACGAAGTTCATCGGCAGTCCTACAAAAATTAGTTTAATTGGTAGTGTGTAGATTATCGGAGATAATTGAATTTATTATTGATATGACAAACGATAGATCTCTTATTTCTGGAATGTTTCAAAAAAATTTTTTTAGGAAATTATTCCATGACAAAGCCCCTTTTTATTTTCATCAATATTTTTAAATTCCAAACCAAGATCGTCCTGGCCTTCTAGACAGTGACAATTCCTTCATACCCCAATTATCAGGTTTGTCAAAGAACTCCCAAAGTTGATATACTTTCTCATCTTTCTTGTCTTTTGCAACTTCTTTCGATTTGTTACGAACAAACATAATTGGTGAAGAGAATCTAAACTTGAAAGATTATTTTTAAAAGTTTTTATTAATGAAAATAACCTCGTTAAAAGTCTTGATGTCATTTGTAAGGAAAAATCTATGAAACATAAAACTTCACAGAATATTTAAAATAATCAAATAATTACTAGAAGCAAAAACAACTTGTTAGAATAAGCAAATTGAATATAAAATCTTTTATTAGCAAAAAGGCTATTAAAGAATAAAAACTAAATTATTCTTATCAAAAGAAATTTCTAAATATTCTTGCAAAATATTTTACCCAATTTGAAACAAGTATATCCCTTTTAAGAAAAGCATCAATTTCAATTGATTGAGCATGTTCTAGAAGATATTGCCTTTCCTAAAATATTTAAAAATAAGTAAAAAATTTAAGCATAAAACCTCGATAATTTTTTGCTTTAGCGCGTCATTTTCAGTAACAAGCAATACTTGTGCCTCCAAATCTCTTTGAGAAGAACGAAATCCTTTAAAATAAATATAAGAGTTTAGCAAAAGTTTAGCCAGCGGGCAGGATTCGATCCGTAGCTTTCAGTTACTCCGATTTATAAAATGGGTTTTGGTTTAGATTTTAGTAAAATACTGGTTTTACTTTGGGAAGAATTTGTAAAAAATTACTCGTATTTAGAAATTACCGCTTGGGACTTACAATTTTTCCCAAAAAATTCTTGGTTTTCTCGGTTAAAAACCATTTGTGAACTAAACTGAAAACTAATTTAAAAATAACCATAATTTGATGATCCAATCACCGTTCCAATTCTTTTTGAATTTAAAAAGTCAATCCAAAGACCTTTTGCATGAAAAGTCCAACCATCCCTGTCCCATTCCATAAAAGTAAAGGGCGACTTTTCACATCCTTGTTCTTTTGATTTTCGAATAAAGTCGAGTGAATTTTGCAGATAAAGTAATGGAACAGAACCAGATAGACCAGTTCCACCATAAAAGCCATTTGTCTATAAAAATAAAATTTTTTGTTTAGAAAATTTTAAAAATACCCGAGGTGAGCCAAAAACAATGTTTACTAAAAAAGAACGCTTTTTTAACATCCAATCGGCATATTCATCGCATAAATTAAAGTAAGCAGTAATTAAATTTATTTCTTTTATGTTTTCCTTTTAAAATTTAAAAATAAACAAAATCCGAAAATAAATATAAACCTCTTTATTAAACAAATTTCTCAAAAACTGAACTTCTTGTTTAATATCAAAAACACCCATTTGCAGAAAAGGATAAATAAATGTGTCATTTGCCGAATTATTCACATTGCCTTTGCACTTGTCAAATAATTCAAAAATTTCAGTTTTAATACTTTTTTGAATTTCTTCATTTGATCCTTAAAAATCAAAAAGAAGATAATGAAATTTAAATTATTTTATTATTGTGGTCCTCTTGAATGTACTCTCATGATCTCAAAATAACCTGTAAAAGGGTGAATGGAAGCTGATCCAGAGAAATTAAGTTTGCCAAATTTGTCAAGTTGCATAGAATGTTTTGACATTATAGTAGAAATTGAGTGGAAAAAATCAGCCAGTCTAGGGCAATTTTCAACAACCAAGTAACGGTCTTGACGATTATCAAAATATTGATCAGAAAGGTTTGCTCTGAAAATCTTGAATAAATTAAATTTTTAAAAATATATAGAATTGAGAAAATACCCTGATATAATTATTGAATCATCAAAAATGAAGAACTTCATGTGTTGAACTCCGATAATTTCATTTAACCTTCCAGGCAGCAAAAATTTCAGTAAACCCCGCATTTCTGGCGTATGGAATAGAGATACCTGAAAGTTAGATTTTAAAAATTCATATATGCAACACAGCAGATCAAAATAGGCAAAGGTGCGGGAATATGGCTTACAATTAGTTGGTTAGTCTCCTTTAATATGTGCATAATGGTAATCGGTAATAATTCCATCCCCACAGAGTGCAAATGAAATATCCCAACCTGAACATTTTTATTCTCCAACAAAGGTTTTAAAATAGCAGTAGAACTGTCGTTAGGTTCGCCTCTAGTGCCTCGAAAGTAATCCAAAAGGAATGAGACTTCCAATTCTGCATTTTCAGAACATGCCGTTTGTAGTCTTGAAACAATTTGCTGCTCCTTCTGTCCCGTACCAAGATAAAGTGCTGCAAAAACAATGCGAGATTTAGAGGAAGATATTCGTTTCTAAAAATTATTTAAATATTATAATTTTAGAGATAATCACCAAGATTTCCTGGTAGAACTCATCGGGCAACTTGAGAAAATGTACAGATGTTGATTCAACCGGTATACAATATTGCAAGTCAGGAAACATTAACTGATGTGAGAGAACTAATGAAGCAAAGTGTAATCAATCAAAAAGTAAAAAAAATAAAAAAGAAATTTTACCAAAAAAAACAATTATTCTTTTAAGAGTTTATGAAAAGACACAGAATATAAATATATTTGTGTAAGTATAAGTACAATAAAATGTTACATGTAAATAAGTCATACTTGTCATTTAAAAAATTATTTTAAATACGCTTCTTAAGTTCTTCAAATCTTCGAGCAAGTGCATCAAAATCCAAATCATCGTTAGGATTACCACTGCCACCAGCACCATTTTTCGTCGTAGGAGGCATTTGTTTTGTTTCCCCATTGCCAAGAAAAGGTGAAGGAATGCCTTTTGGCGGCTCCGGAAATTTTGGAAGAAGAAAGTCTAAAAATAGGAAAAATAAATTCGCGCGAAAAAGGGAAACAATAAAAGAATTTCAACCCAAAATAGAAGCATTAAATAAAAATAAACCTTCGTCAGCATCCTGTAGACCAACAGGAGGTACTGTTTCATAAACGTGTTCATAATGTGAATGATCAAAGTGCTGAAATACAAAATATTAAAAAAATATTAAAATGCAAATAACTTGTTGATGTTGTGGATAAATTGGTGAATTAGCATTTACAACGGGATGCACATTTGGAATTGGACTATGCCCATATCCAGGAGGGATTTGCTGCGGTGCCATAGGAGGTGGAGCGTATTCCGGAGGCGGAATACCTAATGGAGGATAAGAATTTGAAGTAGGTTTATTCTCTCCATTCTTATTGTTAGAAAAGATACCGCCTCCACCTGTCGTGGTTCCTCCAATAAAATGCGAAGAAATTGTGCTAGCATTATCAGCATGGAAATTACCTCCACCACTCCCCCCAGAAAATCCTCCATCGCTGCCGGGTCCACTGCCATTATTTATGTTGCGATCGTCGCCAGGTTTGACATTCCAACCATATTGCTCCTAACATTAAGTATGTTTTTTCTTAACAAAAAAATAAAAAAAACCTCATTCATAAAGTTGATGAGATTGCGTTCAGCTCGAGCAACCTCGTCGTCATCATCTCGCATAACCTTAGGGTCAGGTGTAAAATCAATACCGGCAGATTGAGCAATTGTGATTAAATACCTAAAAATAAATAATCTTCAAAGTATAAAATTAAAAACAAACTTTTCAACAAGTAATTTTGATGGAGCATTGACCGACAATTTTTGAACCAACTTGGGTGAAACTCTACTTGGCTCTGGCAATTGATTCATTTTTGCAGCCTCTGCAAATTGCTTGCCATATTTATGTGTTAATTCATCACTAATTGCCTACAAAAACAAAACAAAATTAATTAAAAAATAAAGGAATAAAAACCTTAAACTCAGAAATTTCATGTCCAAATCGAGGAGCTACCCACAAAAGGCTACTTACTGCTTCGGCAATGCCATCATCAAGGTCTCTAAAAATAAATAAATACAAAATTAATTTTAAAAAATTCGGACTTCATTTGTTGGATAATCCCAAATCTGGCTAAAAGTAACTCACAATACCTGCAAAATATTTAGAAATTCACAGAAAAAACTAAATAAACCCACATTTCTAACAATTCATAAGCTTCAACAACAAAGTCTTCCCTTATAATGGTCTCAACACGTATACGTGCACGGTCTTCTTTATCAGCTAAAATTTGAAAAAAAATATTTTTAAAAATTCGGTTCTTAACTATACAATTTAAATATTCGGCTATTTCTGTTCTTGCTTTAATTGCTTGTTCAGTCTTCTTCTTTTGAAGCAGTCTCAATCTATTTGCAGCAAGTCGAAGATTTGTTTTTAATTTAGCATATTGTGTGCCCCACGAAACTGACATTTTTTTAGAATAACACTCTAAATTAGTTAATTAATAAAATAAACACTAAATAAAAAAAGAAAAAATATGAATCATAAATTTAAAAATTTTTTAAAATAAAAAGCAAGAAAAAAAAATAAAAAAGAAACAAAAAAAATTAAGCTCAAAGTGTTAATTTAATAATTTACGTACTATTTCTCGTTGTCTAACTGTATAGCATTTCAATTTGTTAATATTACATAATATCAAACAACTAAATTATTTAAAAATGTCAATAAACCATCTGTCAAATTTTTTATTATTTAATTTTTATTATTTTAAACTTTTTTATTTAGGTATTGCTTCTATTTAATTTTATTATTTCTATGGCTCCTTCAAGTTCAAAAAGATCTAAAAGTAGCAGCAAATCAAAACATAATGCTTTATCTTCTGCTTCATTGAGGGTAAAAACATTCAATATTTTTATTTTTATTTTTCCAATCTTTTCAGAATTTTTTTAAACTTGAAGATGAACTAAGTAAGCATTTGGATACTGATAAAATTGGTGATGATGTGAGGAAAATACTTGCAGAAATACGCTCTAATTTAAATTCAAATCAAGATAAACATCCAACACATAGCAAATCAAGTCATGAAAGAAGGTTTGAATGTTTTTCAAATTTATTTTATATTTCTTTAATTTTTAGCTCAGCTTTGATTTTGGCGGTTAAATTACGTAATATAAATCGTCTTTTTACTTTTCGAAATAAACAGGCAAATACGAAATTGGCTGAAGTTCGTCAAAAGGTCGAAGATCATTATTTGTCTCTTCAAAATGTTTCTAGTGAAATTGCTCATATGAAAAAGAATATTGAAACTTGTTTGGATTTTAGGTTTGGAGGTTTTGGCTGTACTTTAGCCGGTGGCCCACACAGAAACGGGTCAAATTATATACCATTCGATTTGTCTCAACGAGCTGAGTCGAATGGTACCATTCTTTTTTTGCGGAAATTCCTACGAGCCGAGATATAGGTACTTAAAAATCGAAAAACCATAGGGGGGACCAAGCACTTTTTTGGGGTGAAAAATTCTAATATGCAAATAATAGCTCATTCGAAAGAGCTCGTCGAGCTGAGTCGATTGACACCAAAATCAACGAAATCTGACTTGATTTGACAAAGTTATGTTCATTTGTTTTAGCTCCTTACCTATGGCATCTGTGGAGATTTTTGCTGCTACGGAGGCCCCAAATACGTCCAGAGCAAGGGAGATAGGAATAGGGTTATGTTACAAGCCCAGACCCAGCGCCCGTAGACTCCCCGCGAGGCGCGTGCCGCTAAACTCCGCGCGAAGCGCGGAGTTTTGCACAAGCGCCTCGCCGACGCCCCATAGGTTTATGTTGCTAGTTTTTTGTGTTGTAACTTTGTCTAAACTTATTTAATCCCGGTGATTTTGGTGTCATTCGACTCAGCTTGTCGAGCTCTTTCAAATGAGCTATAATATGTTTAAAAAATTTTTAATTCCAAAAATCACCCCTTTGGATTAACAGTTTTCAGAGGCCTATATCTCGGTCCAATCAAGTTGGATTTCGTTGATTTTGGTGTCAATCGACTCAGCTTGACGAGCTCTTTCGAATGAGCTATTATTTGCATATTCGAATTTTTCACCCCAAAAAAGTGCTTGGTCCCCCCTATGGTTTTTCGATTTTTAAGTACCTATATTTCGGCTCGTAGGAATTTCCGCAAAAAAAGAATGGTACCATTCGACTCAGCTCGCCGAGACGAATCGAATGGTATATATTTTGACCCGTTTCTGAGTGGGCCACCGGCTAAAGTATATCCGAGGTTTTTAATTTTTTAACTTGACTAATTAATGCAATTATAATTTTAACCTTCCCCAACGTTTTCCACCAGAAATCATATATTTTTTAATTTTAAAGAGCTGACATTTATGACATTGAGTTGGTTAATCCTGAAGAATTATCTTCAAATTGTAAAGAAATGACAGACAACCACGATAAAGACGAAAAATTGGACGATCATCAATTATTTTTGCAACGATTAAATAATGAGCTAAATGAGCGGAAAAGGTTTTTTTAATTCCATTCAGGGGTGACAGTATCCTTTTTAACTAACATAAGGCCAATTTGCCAAATTTTTTGATATAAATTTTTATAGATTTGTTTTGGTTCATTATCTCTTTTTCCTACTTAATATCTTCATTTTTTACAGTTTGCTATCAAATTTAAATGAGCTAGAAGGTCGAAAAAGCGTTTTATTGAGTGACATTAAAGGGAAAGAACAACGTTTGTCTCAAATAGGCCCAAAAATCGTTTCTATTAAAAAGGTTGTTTTTAATAACTAATTTAATTGTTATCTAGTTATTCTCATTTAGATGGCTGAACCTTTGCTCGATCTTCTTGGAGTTAGTCGTGGGAAGAAGACAACTCAGAAAAAGACAAAATAGCGTTTATGTCTTCATTTATTTTTTGTTTGTTTTTAAATAAAACTTTTAATTAATTTTTTTCTTCTATATTTTCTGTTATTTTTCATTATATATTTTTAAATTTCACTTAATTGTTTTTTATACATTTCTTGATGAGGCATATTCTCCGTAACAGAACAATTTTCCCTCCCCATTTTATTTATCATTCATTTTCAAATGCTAAAACAACTTGTGAACCTCTATTTGCTCGACGAGAAAATTTTCGTAAATTTATTCCACAACCAGCATTACAAAATGAATTAAATCCTTTATTAACTCCACCTTCCACAGGTGTTAGAAAATTTGCAACAATGGTGATTTTAGTTGATTTTCCGATTGGTGGGAAAGAAAAAGCTGGTACTTATGTTTTATTGACACACAGGGCGGCAAAGATGAAGAAACATGCTAATGAAATTTCTGTTCCCGGTGGTGAGAATTTTTATAAATATTCTGGGATTTTTGATAGGGGACTAGGTTTAGGGTTAGTTCTCTTGGAAAAAATTTCCTTGGCTAGACTATGTCGTATAACTAATTAAAATTATTTTTGAAAAGGTGCGGTAGAACCAGGCGAGTCTCTCGAGGAAGCTGCACTGCGTGAAGTGGAAGAGGAAATTGGATTGCGAGGGGAATATTTGGTTTTCTTTAAAATTAATCTGACTAAATTATTCTAATTTTTAAGAAAGTTTGGGGCGAATTACCGCCAATTCTTTTTCGTAATTCGAGTGGAGTGACGACTCCTTTTGTTTCTTCCCTGACTGACTGCCCTTCCTCAACTTCCTTGTGTTCTAAACTTATTCTTCAAGAAGACGAGGTTCAAGGTGTCTTTTTGGTTTCTCTTTCCGAACTTTTGGATCAAAGACGTTTTACCTCATTTAGGTAATTTTGAATAATTTTTAAATTTAATAATTTTTATTAGAATGAAAGCTCCATTCCGTGATGGTCTTCCATTCTTTTATAAATTGCCTGTTTTTGTTGTTGAAAATGTGATACCTCTTGTTCCCTCTAGCACTGAAGAACGCGCCCCAAAAAGACGAGTAATTTGGGGAATTACAGCAATTACTTTAAATGAGGCTTTAAATTGTATTTTCCCTCAATAATTTTATTAGAATAATATCAATAATATGTAAAATATTTTTAAATGTTATAGATATTATATTAACAATTTTTTGTAAAATTATTTTAATTTTTATAAAACATTACGGGAATATTGGTTCTTTTGTTAGCATGATAGTTCGGGTTTGATAAGACAAGAATTGCTATATTTTTTAAGGCGTAGTGACAGAAGACCCAAAATCAAAAAATTTTTGCTAAAAGTTTAGAAGAACAAGATTGACAAAGTTAAGGCACAAAACGTAAACCTATGGGCTTAGGCGAGGCGCTTGTAGAAAAATGCTTTTGGGTCTTTTGTCCGTGGGTTTTCTACGTCGACACGATTTTTTAATTTAGTTATGGCATTGTCGTTGACTGGCCTAATCCCTTTACAGTTGATCTGGTTATTTAAGCTAAATTTAGTTTGGAGTATTAAAATGTTAAAATCTAAACTCTTTGGGTAAATGTGTTTATAAATTGAGATAATTTTGGACACATTTTGAAAGACAAAAATAAATATTGTCAGATTTTTAAAAAAATATTTTTTATTTTTTTTCTCATTTATTCTTTATGAAAACGAGTAAATCTTCGTGCCATTTCATGCACATCCATTTCTGCTTTAAAATCATTAAGTTCTCGTTTAATTTGTTCTTTTTGTTCCGGCGTTATTCTTTTCCAAGGTTTATCCCCTTTTCTGTCATATTTTTCTATTTCGCTGATTTCAACATATTCACTAAATTTAATCATTCTTGAACGTATTTCTTCTAGTGCTGCTTGACTTAACTGAAAAAATAATTTACTATAAAGTTATGAGTGAATTTTTTTTAATTTTGTTCAATTTTAAAGTGAAATTAAGGAAAAGATAGAAAATTAAGAATTTTTTATTTTAAATTCTGAATAGCCCAGGTATTAGAGGATCTTAATATTATCTTCAGTTCCAACTGAAGAAAAGTCTAGGCTTTTTGATATTTTTTTCTGACAGATTTCATATTTTTGGTAGGAACCAGGGATGGGACGGGTTGAGAAAAAAGTCGGGTCGAGTTTTCAAAATTTTCTTCGGATCGGGTTTCGGGTCGAAAAAAGTCCGGGTTTCGGGTATCCCATCCCTACTAGGAACTATATTTTCAAGAGTATCCTTCCTTTTACATTAAATTTAGGATAAAATCCTCAAAAAGTATTTATTTTTTTCTTTTACCTTTCTAAGCAAAACTTTTCTTTTATTTCCACCCGCACTACGTGTTTTTATTATTCCATTATTTCCATTATCTTTTTGTATTATTTCTTTTGACTTTTGTACAGATTCTACTTCCTTATTTTGTTTATTTAAATCATCAATTTCTTCACAAGTCGAGACCCTCTTCAAAATACTTCTTCTTCCCCCTCTTTTTAATATTCCTTTTTCATATGAATTTTCATCGTCGTTAATAATATTTTTGGATTTCTCATAATTTTGAAGGTTATTTGAATTTGGGGAAGTTAGTTTTCTTAAAAGAAAATTAAATTTAAAAAAATAATTTTTAATTAAAAGTTGGGGTACCCTTGGTTTTCGGTTATGGCCAGTTTACGACCCCCGGTTTTCGGTTCGGTTGACCGACCCGCCAACAACCCTAATTAAAAGGTTAGTTTATAGAATAACTGTTTTGAATAAAAAAATTATTTTTTATTCTTACTTAAAATTTCCAATAGTCCAACTTCGCCGAGAAGGTGAAAACAATGTGTCCATTTATTTAGTTATGAAAAATATAAATTTGTTGAATAATTTGGTTAATAAATGAAGAATAAATAAAATCTTTAATATCTTAAAAATTATAAATATTTATTTATAAAAAATGAAAGGATTGAGGATTTAATTTAAAAAAATAAAAAAATCCAAATGAAGGATGAATATGAAGGAAAAAGAGTGAAGAATTTACTATAAATATGTTTGTGGTAATGGCAATTAATTTTTGTTTTACTAAAAGAGAATTTCTATTTTGAGTGTTCCCAATTAAAAAATAAAAAAAGAAAATTAATTTAAATTAATTTTTATAACATTATTTGAATTAAGAAGGAAGAAACTTTTTTTCAAAAATAACAATTGACAAGTTTTAATGTTTTAATTTGTTCCCAAACTTACTTTTTTTCTAAATATTTTTAATGGTCTATTAATTTCTAATCTTTTTTAATTTTTTAGAAATTAATTTTAAATAACATTTTTTAGTCAGCCCTCTATTTTATAAACTTTCAAATTTTAAAACTAGGGTAGCTCCCCGAGGGGTAGGAGGTGTCGGGGATTGGGGTTTGCCGGGGGAGGGCATGTCGGGTTTCGGGGTTGACTTTCGGTTAGGCGGGCGGGGAGCTACTCTATTTAATTTTTTAATCGTAAAAGTTTTTGGAATAAATTTTGTAAAGTTTAGTTGATTTAACTTACTTAAAACAAAAATCTGAAATATCTAATATTTGTAAGATTTAAGGAAATTTTTTTGTTAAAATTACAATAAAAATTAAAAAGTTATATACATAAATTCGCTCGTCATTCATTTGACATTTTAATAATCTTTTTGTTTTAAAAATTTTTAAATGAAGAAGTCCATTATCTATCCCGTAATTTAAAAGAGTAAATGCCTATACATTAGCAAGCTTTTAATATTTTATTTTTTTTTGCGCGGGGGAGGGAAGCAATAAATTGGAGCGGATAGAATTAATAATACGATGAAAATGATGTTTATAATTTTATATACATAATTAAAATTTTTTTTTACAATTATCTGTATTGAATGTATAAATTAACAGGCCATTAAAATGTTTTTAAAGAGGTTTGAAAATAAAATAATTAAAGCCTTATTTTGTACAGAAGGAAAATAAAACTGGAGAGAATGAAAATAAGTTTTAGGGAGAATTGTGAAGATTTCATAAATTTCAATTTTGCTCGTACTCGTATTTCGTACCAAAGTACGAGTACGAATTTTGGTATGAGCTTAAGAACACTGATTGTGAATCTGTAAGAATCTGTCACAAGCTAACTTTCTGTTAAATGCCTTTGAAATTACATACATCTTAGTTTAAGGAAGATATATAATTTAAGGTTGACCGGTGGGTTAAGTACCTGAGCAATTTCTTTAATTCAAAATTTTTAAATAAGATTTTTCGAATCTAAGGTCTGCATGTAATGAAAAAAAGGATATGTGTCTAAAATAGGTAGCAAGAAGAGAAATTTTTTAAAATGAGAAAATATTAGTCAATGTTTAAAATAAAATAAACGAGAAATGAATTTATTATTGTATTTACAGATATATTTATATAATAATTTTGTTTTAACAACAAAAATGATTTTTGAAATTAATGACGTTAAATAATAGTATTTATTTAAATAAAAGTAGAAGGGGAGGGGAATATTCCTCCTCTTTTTATTAAAGCAAGAAATAATCTTTTAAAAATAAAATAATCTTTCTCCTTTTTTAAGCAAAAAGGAATGTTTTAATGGATATATCCAAGCACCACTTTAAATGTCCAAAACATAAATGAATGCGCATATAAATATTATTTTTAGATAAAAATTGCTGACGTTAAAAAGAAAGGAATTTTATTACAAAAATTTTTTTAATAAATAAAACATTCCTAGAGTTTAATTTAAACACTATTTGTGACGAAAAAAGGAAGTCAAAGATGAGATAAACGTGATTGAAAACTAAAAATGGAAAGAAAATATAAAAAAAGCTTTTTTTTAAAGGATTCATGAAAATATTTAGAAAAAAGAATTGTTAAATTAATTATCATACATAAAAGAAACCAAAAAAACTTTAAAAATCCCAAAAATTCCTCTTTTTCCCTTTCAATGATCAAATAAAGAATTTTTAAAGGAAAATAGGATTCCCTTTAAAATCTCTTAAAATATTTTCTTTTTTTTTACAAATAACTTAACGGATTCTTTAAAGTATTTGCAAATAAAAGAATCCGTAAATTAAAATTTATATTGTCTAAATAATGACGAATAAAAACATCATTAAAATAACAAAAATTATTTGAATGCCGTAAATAATAATGAATTTTATTTATCTGTGAAGGAGGTTAAATTGTTTTAATAAAATTCAATTAAACAAATTCACTTAAAAAATCTAAAATAAAATGCTTTACTCTAACAGAAGTTTTCCCAGATATGAATAAAACTTTGATTTAAACGGAGATTTGAATAAGGAAAATTAATTTTCAAAAAATTTAGGGGGGGGGGGCTTGCTAACAATAAAAAAATCCAATTCCAAATTAATTTTCTCCCAAAATCCACCTTTTCAGTTAAAAATCTAATTTTCAAATTTTTAATCCAAAACCAAAAGAATATTTAAAAATTTATATTTTTAAGATTATTTACATAATGGCACAGAAATGTCTTCTTAAATTTACGTAAGTTTAATTAACCTCTCAATCCAGCAAGCATTTTCTGTAATTCTTTATCAGAAATGTCATTTCCACTTGATGAAGCCAAACCGTCACGAACTGTTGGAATATTTGATAACTGAAAAATAATAAAATATTAATTTTCTAACAAAAAAGCCTGCGAAAAATGACTTTAATTTGTCATCAATTTTGTTAAGAAAATAGTTAAAAAACCTTTTGTTTAGTCTCAATTCCAATTTCGTCAAGTACTTGGTCAATAACTCTTTGTTCAGCATCTTCATCATCCATTTCTAACATAGAATCTAAAGTTTCGTCAATTAATTCCCCTTTCATATCCATCAAAGCTTGTTGCTTTCCAAATTCTTGCATTTGCCCAGCCAATTTATGTACAGGCATTCGAGCATTTACTTGCTGCATTGTAGAAGCTGTTGTCCCGATTGCTTTAGCCATTGTATTTAAACTTTGAGCCTGTCTAGAAAATAAAAAATATATTTAGTGTTAAGGTAATTGAATATATTTAAAATCAATAATAAACACAAGGAATGTCCGGTAATAAGTTGATTCGACTTAAGTTTGTTTACTTACAATTAAGATATGGCTAGCGGAGGAGCTCACCCGAAGGGTGAGCACTTTAGCTAGTAAACATAAATACCTAAGCAGACAATGCTAATCACAAATATTGGACATGTAATAGCAAAATAAGACGCCTCTCACCCCTTTTTTCTGTTTTCTGCTCAAAATGGTAAGGGAAACAGGCAAAAAGGATGAAGAGGGGCGTCAGTCGAAGTATTACCTAAATAATAATTTATGATATTTTACTCCAAGTTATATGAAAGATTTACAAAAAATATTACAAGTAATAAAATGAGAAAAACCTTAATTAAAAAACGAACTAATCCCAAAAACCGTCATTAATTCTTTAAAAAAAATAAAAACCTGTTCTTTGAAGATATAGAAGTAATTGTAGCATTCGTCCCAATATTTTTAGTTTTTAAATTGCGTATTTGTACGAGTTGTTTAGCCAGCACTTTGCAAACATCTTTTTGTCCAGACTTTGCCAATTGTCTAATTTGTTGTTCCTAAAAAAATTAATTTTAAAAATTAAAAATCCAAACCAATTCTTTTTCTTTTCTTTCTAATTGCCGATAATCTAAATTTAATTCTCTTGTAGCTGTTCTCAATTCACGTTTCTCTTTTCGTTGGATCTCTTTAAAAAATAAAAATTAATTTAGAAATAAAAATATTTATAAACCTTTCTCATTCGGCTTTCCAAAAACCCAGTCCATTAAAATAAATAAATAGAAAAGTTAAGTAATATCTGTCGAAAAATAAGATAAAGTTTTACGTATATTTACGAACTTGAATTTTACAAAAACAAGAAAAACAAAATTAAAAAAAAAAACAAAAAAAAGTTTTAGTTTAAAATTTCAGACTCTAGAAATTCATCTAAAAGAGAAAATAACGCGGAACGGAATTATTGAGTCCCGTGGTCAACAAACAATTCCCCTTGCGCAATCGTTATTTTTGATCTTTATTAGGCTGTAGCCTTTTGTATGAAGATCTGATCGAAGCAATTCTGCTAGTTAAAATAATCCTTACATCAAGACTTTTGATTGATATACTAATCATCTAAACAATTAAGAATTGTAAAAGCACACCAAACTAAAAATTTACCAAATCAAACCTCTAGCTTGAGTAAAGCAGCTGGGCTATAGCTATTTCTCTCCTTTAGCTAGTGCAAAAGGTCAATCGGCGGCTGGGAGCGAACTAGCATCTTCAGTAGACCGGACTGATGTGTTAGGAATTAAACCACGCCGCCTACTAATAGCTATATGCTTTACACTTGCTTCGGAGTTTGGTTTCAAGGTCTCGGGGTTTTTTAACAATAAGTTGAAAAATCGGGATTGGGAAAGTGGAATTCCCTGACAGAATAAACAAAAATTTCAGGGTCAAAGAATCACCGATATTACAGACATTTCGCGGGCGCGGCTTTCATATCCCAATCCGCCCGGATCCGCGAGTCTCCGGATATTAACCCGCAAAGTGCAACCTCTTTCTTAATCTTCACATTAAATAAATTAATAATTATTTCTTAATTAATTTTATTACCATTTTTTATTTTTCTTTAAAGTGCTAAATAATTGATAATTACATAATATTTGCCCTTTATGTTTTTTTATGTTTCCGCTTCGAGTATTCACGTGAAAACATTTTTCTTTATCTCTCTCCATAGGTTGTCTTCACATGATATTTTTATTTAAATTAAACAATTTCCCCCTCCTCTCCTCATTCTAAAATTTTTTTTACATTTTTTTGTCTTTATACATTCATTATAACAATTATTCTCCTTCGATTTGCCATGATTGTGTATAATTATTTTCTGTTATGTATTAATTTGTATTAATTTAAATTAATATGTATTAATTTAATTAGGAATTTGGCCGCTCTTTTTATGGTTCTGATCCTGAAATGGATGATTTATATGCCAACGAAAGAGCTTGAAGAGCTGAGTCGAACGACATAAAAATTAGCCCGCGGACTCAACTTTGAGTCGAGATATAGGGCTCGAAACGGTCAAATCCATGGGGTATTTTTGGGTGTAAGATTTGAATTTATAAATAATAGCTCATTCAAAAGTGCTCGACGAGTTGAGTTGAATAATACCAAAATCAGTTCGATTGGATGATTATGAACAAAGTTATGACCAACAAAATCTTCTCTGGATAAACTGTTTTTGTGCTGCTACTGAGGGTAGGCCGGGCATGGTCTTCGCTACACGATGGTCGTAACTGGTAAAACTGGAAAATTTGTATTCTAGAAATGCACCGGAAAACGGCAGATGCAGATTTGGCTCTTATCTCTACGTTTACATTGTAAAAACTGAGAGAATAGAAAACATAACTATGTATCAATTCATTTTTTGTGCCGTAGGCTCAAACTTTATTAATTTTCAATGGTCAAATTTTAGAAAATTCCGAAAGTCAAAAATAGAAAAATCACTTACAAAGTTCAAAATAATGATCGAAAGAAAAATCTCGAAAATCGAAAGTTCGAACCAAATCTTATGAATTTGCACTTTTAATAAAATGATTAACCAATAATATTTCTATGTAATATATTTCTATAATCTGTATAGGAATAAATAAATATAATCTCCTTTATTTAAAATGATAAAAACTCAAAACATTCCCCTTCGGAATAAATAATTGGATATAAATAATAGATAATAGACACAGATAATAAATAATAGATAATGAACAATAGACGCTAAAACCGAAAGTTAAGGTTGATTATTTAAAAAGATTCGCTTAACCGGAAACATGGATGGCCACGTAGCCAGACTTCTTCCCTTTTCAGCGCCGCAGGCGAAAAAAACTGCAGGCCAACGACAGGTTAAAAATATAAAAGAAGGAGAGAAAAGGGGGCAACGGTTTATCTCTTAGAAAAGGAGAGAAAAAGTGCAAAGGCCAAGAAATTTGCACCAAATATTAAATACAAAATAAAAAAAGGGGGAGGGGCGGCCTTAGCCGCTTGTCATTATTGGAATTAGAAGCGGGCAACATTTATGTATTTAAAACTATTGAAGATTTGGCCATTTGCCGGGCAAAGATTAGAAAAAGGGAAATTCAAATCACAAGGACGTGAAATTCTCCGACAAAATAAACAAAAATTTCAGGGCCAAAGAATCACCGGGGTTTGGGTTGCAGCCCTAATATTGACTGATATTACAGACATTTCGCGGGCGCGGCCTTCATATCACAATCCGCTCGGATCCGCGAGTCTCCGGATATTAACTCGCAAAGTGCAACCTCTTTCTTAATCTTTTTTCATTTGACATTGAATAAATTATTTCTTAATTATTTCTTCATTAACCTTATTGACATTTTTTTATTTTTCTTTAAAGTGCTAAAAGATGTACAAACATAATTGTCCATAATTGTACATAATCGCACTTTTTGTTTTTTTATGTTTCCGCTTCGAGTATTCACGTGAAAACATTTTTCTTTATCATTCACTCCATAAGTTGACTTCACATGATAAATATTTTTATTTAAATTAAACAATTTCCCCTCCTTTCCTCATTCTAAAATTTTTTTACATTTTTTTATTAACAGCTTGTCTTTATACATTTTCTATAAAAATTATTCTCTTTCGATATTTTCCATAATTGTGTATATTATTTTCTGTTATTTTAAATAATTAGGAATTTATTTATTATTTTAATAAATTTTAAAAATATTTTTTCTTTTTGCTTCAAATAAAAAGAATTTTTTTCTATTTTCTCTATTTTATCTTAATAACTTTTAATTTAAAACAATGAAAATTTTTAAAAAATCTATTTAAAAGTAAAAATAAATTTTAAACAAAATTTTTTCCAATTTTTTAATTTAGATGACTCGGAAAAAATTAATTTTAATTTTTTATTTATTCTTTTTTTCGCTTCAAAATGTTCCTTGTCAAAAAAGTCAAGGATTTTCAGGGAGAGTTTCAAGAATTAGTTCAATTTCTGCTGAGTCTATGCGAAATTATGAATTTTCTGGATTTAAAACAGATAGAGTTGTGGCAGAAGAATATGTTCAAAAATTGGTTGGGAAAACCCAATATTTTATGCCTGAAATGATTGAAGCTGATATTTATTGTAATGATAAATTATCGAAAAAAGAAAAGGAAGGGGAGGCTATAGAAGAACCTGAAAATTCAAAAAAGGATTTAAATGGGTGTAAATCTATTACCTCAAAAGATAAAACTGTTGGAAAAATATTAGAATATATTTATTTACAAAAAAAGAAAATGTCAGAGAATATGAGAGAACAATTTGAGAATGTTTTGATGCCGACAAATATTAAATGCAAAATTGGGTTCCCTTTACCAAAAAATATTTTTGGAAAAGCATTCCTTCTCGATTCGGCTTTGTCTTTTTCGGAAGACGATTTGAAAGAATTGGTAGTTGGTAAAGAGAAAATGGTTTACGAGAAACCAAAAGTGGATGGTGAAGAGGAAAAGGAGGAAGAGGACAACAATGATGATGACGACGATGATGATGATGAGGGAGATGTCCAATTAAGTACATATGTATTATTAGAAGCTATATATAAAGGAAGTAGAGGATTCGGTAAAAAAGTATTATTAAATTGGGAGAAAATACCGGAAACAGAATATAAATATGAAATTAAAAAGAGGCAAAGATTAAAAGATATTGGAAAAAGAATATGTGAAAAGGCAGCAGATTTGTTGAAAGAAATTATAAAAAGTGTGGAGAAAAAGGTGAACAAAGCTAAACGATGGAAAAATATGAAAGGAGGGGCAAAAACATTTTTTAGGAAATTAAACCCTTTTGGAAAGCCAAAAACATCTCCTGCAAGTTCTATACCGAGAGAAGAGGAACCTATAGGGGAAAAAGCAAATTCGCCTCTTTTGTCAAATCGAGAGGAGGGTGTAGAAGAGGAACAACCGGAAGGAGTAGAAGAAGAATTTCGAATATCAACACCCCATTCAACAGGAATTACACCATCACCCGAAACAAAGAGTAAACTGTCAACTTTATATTCTTTTCAACAACGTACTGAATCTTCATCAAATATAGAAAGACATAAACGAGTACATTCTGAAGGTTCAAACATTCCGGTTATTCAGACACATGTAGAGTTGAAGGTTATTTTTAGTTTATTTTTAATAAATGTTTATTAAAACGAGAAAATTTGAAAAATACCGTTCGACTCAGCTTGAAGAGCTCTTTCGAACGATATACATATAATTTGCCATAAAAAGTTTAAAAAATCGAAAAAAATAGAAAGAAAAAAAGGGGGGAGGACCAGCCTTGGAATTACCGAGAAGTTATATTTAATAAAAAAACTAGGATTCGGAAAATTCTAAAAATATTATAAGGGATACATTAAGTGTGACAGAGAAGAGTTTTGATTTAGCTCTGTTTAATTTTCCACTAATCTATAAGAAAGATTCTAATTAATTTTTAGAGTCAAGCAACTTCGGAACGAGTTTCTTTTATTGAGCAAATTGTTGAAACAGACGAGGACATTGAAGCTATTAAAAAATTGGAAAGATCCGGAAAGTCAAAAGTAGATGATAAAATAAAAGATGAGATTAAAGTAAGAGTTAAATCAATTAAAAGGAAATGGCTAGATGAAATAAATAAATTAAAATCCTTTGAAGAGAAGGAAAATAAAATAAAAGAATGGAAGAAAATTATTGAAGATTGGGAGAAAAAAGCAAGGGAAATTTTTGATGAGAAAATTGAGGTAAAAAAGGATGAAGAAGGGCATAAAAGGTTGATTGAACAACAAGTTCACCCATTCAGATTCCTTCAGGTATGAAAATTTAATTAAAATTAAATAAAGTTAGGTCAATTTAAACGATCGAGATATTTAAGAGGAACGGATTAGTAATTTCCGGCTTATAGGCAGAATGAGCTCGGAATCGTTTTAGAACAAAATCGTTCACCAGAAATGAGGTGTGGGGGATTAGACCGGGGAAAGGATTGAGAAAGTCTTTGTTCCTCGAGTGAGCAATTCAATAATAATGGAATGTGAGAGTCAACTAAAATCTAAATAAAATTTAGGAAGTAAATTTTGGAGTAAGTGTTAAACCGTCAAATAAACGTTTCAACGAGATTAACGGAGCGGAATATGAGGAAATAATTGAATTCCTCAAAAATCCAAAAAAATTTCTTGTTTGGCCTCCAAAGAAGAATCAGAAAAATGAAAACGATTCAAGAGGAAGTTATGAAAAGAAATCTGAGGAAGAGATAATTGAACAGTCAGAACAACAAATCAAAGATACTGAAAAGGAGGAAAAAGATGATCCATGGAGAAATCATATAAATAGATGGGAGAATAAATTAAGTGAAAAAATAATGAAATTTATGTTTTGGGAAATGAAAAAAATTGAAAAGAGATTGAAAAAAGAAGGTAAACTTGTGGAAGAAGAAGAAGGAGAGGAAGAACAAAAAGAAGAAACTCAAATGGAAGTATCAGAAATTGAACTTGTCCCAATTAGCGGTCAAAGTAGGGATAAAGGCAAAAAAATTGAAGAAGAAAAATCGTCGTCTGAAAAAGGGCCGATAGAAACAGTCCCTAATGATGAATATATAAATAAAGTAATTAATGAAGAATTTGAGTGGTTAAAACTTGGATTTCGAAGAGGAGTTTTGGAAAAGTTTATGAAAAAGGAAAAAATAAAAAAATTTAGAAAATTTAATATTAAAGTGTTTGTTGAATTTAGAGATGATTTGTTAAAAATTGATAAAGAAATTGAAAATTGTCAACAAGTAAAGGATCCAATACTAGCTGTGTTTAGATATGAGGGAAAAGATGATTTGATACATCAAGAATTCCGTGGAAGGTCTGTAAATTATTTTTGTAAAAAATTTTAATGTTTAAAATAATTATAGAATGGGTGCTCAAATAATTGCTTCAGTGTATAACGCCAAACAATTAACAAAAGATATATTAAGGGCTATGCTTTTAAGTATGGTTGGCGCTGGAATAATTGCTGCAGCTCTGGATCTTGGCGTTTGGTTTTTAGTAATTAAAATAGTTTTACATACAAAATGTCATATGTGTGCACAAATTGTTGGTGCTTTACTTTACTCTTTAACACCCCTTTTTGCTGAAACTTTCGATTCTCTTGTAATTAAAAGATTATTAGTAACATTTGATGGAGGAGAATTTTGGCCTGATACTTTGGATAAATTTAATGATAATTTAAAAGATGCTTTTGTTGCTGGAAGAATTGCAGCTGCTGGTTCCATATTTAATAATATATTAGGAATGGAAAAGATTACAGAAAGATTGGGAGTAAGATTATTGTTTCCAAGTGTTCCTTCTAATCAGGTAAACTTTCATATATGAGTGTTTGGATTAGAGAGAATCGTGATTAGAGTGAAAACGAGAATAGAGATCTCAAAGATCTCTCCTCTCGCCCCGATTTCTAATTTGGATATGTCGGAGGATATATGTACATACCTTTACTGTCATTAATCATACCAGAGTAGAACTAGTTACTGATATTCGAATCATTTTTCTAGCAAAAAAGATATGAATCGTGAGATATACGAAATTTTTGGTTCGTTTATCGGATATCGGGGGGTTTCTTCCCCCTATATGCCGGATTTCTACTAAAAATATTTTAAAAGTTAACTATTTACCCATAGTTGTACCATTATTTCTAATATGTAGTTTCCACTTTAAATTAAAGATAGCAACATCCACCTCTGGTGCAATGGTACCTCTAGAATTTCATGAATGGCGTGATCATCAACGTGCTGCCCTCTATAAATTATATGATCAAGGATTTCTTCCAAAACCCGATATAAACAAAATTGTTGTTGAATGGAGAGAAAAGAAAAGGAATAGAATTTGGCATAAAGTGACATTTAAACATTTCATTGAAAAAACATCTCCAATAATTACATCGGAAGAAAAAGATTTAGCCTTTCGTGAGCATATAAAATCAAAAATTGAGGCATCTATGGATATTCAAAAAACATCTGCTATGGCACTTAATTCAATGGGAATTGGCTCTTTATTGAGCCAAATTGTTTTATTAGTCTTATTTTTCCCTGTTCGCAAAGGAATGATATCAGAACCTGTTGAAAAGATTTTTTTAATTATTGTGAATACTCCAACTGAAATTCTTTCTTTTGGTGCTGGAATTATTGCCTCTAAATGGGGCGCAGAAAAAGTTGAAAAATGTTGGAGTAATGATGATATGAAAAATAAACAGATGGTAAGGATTGAATTTATTTTTTTAAGTTTAATCCTTTGAGCACATAATTACAAATCCAAATTTTATTTTATCCATCATCCGTTCATCTAGTAATTAAATCGAAGTTGGGGGAGGGAGGTATCAAAATTATTTTTTTTGAGATTTAATTATTAAATTTAGTGACAAATTTCTTAAAATTAGAGAAAATAATTTTAATTTTCATCAAAATTAAATCTCTAATATTTATTTTAAAGGTTCGTCTTATAATTGACCGAACAATAAAACAAATAGACCATCCAGATAAAGAATTTCAAGAAATTAAAGAAAACGAGATATATAAAATATATCATCCAAAATTACAACTTTTGTTCAGATACGGCAAATGGATTACAAAATTTATGATTGTCACCTTTAAATTTATGACAAAACCGTCATTATTTAAACAAATAAATTTGAGTAAAATGACACTTCCTTTATTTAAAGAGGAAGAAATAAATGAGGATTTAAATTTTAAAATTTCTTATTTGCCCGAACCTTTAGATAAAATGACAAAAATGCCGGGAATTGATGAAGAAAAATTAAATGAATTTATTGAAGATATTGGTTAGTCTGTTAAATAAATAAATAATATTTGGGGAAAATAATAGACAGGAAAATTTGTTATATTATATGGTCTCATTTTCGGATACCGAACAGAAAATATTTTATTAATTCAAAAATTTAGAATAAAATTTTCCTAAAAATTAAAATTTTTTCTTTCATTTTATGAGGACTTGAAAGACTTAAGGGGCGGAAATATTCTTAAATCGGTGTCTAATTAATTCGATAACAATTTTAGGAGAATATTTTGAGAATCACAAATTAACATTAACTGAAAGTCATCATTATATGACAATTTTAAATAATTGGGAAGACAATAAAAATGGGGAAAACTCTAAAAATAGGGGAAAATTAAAAGAATTGATAGAAATAAATGAAGGAGAGGAATTTTTTGATTATTTAAAAAGGATAATATTAGTCGAAAAATATGAAAAAATAAATTTTGAAGTAAATAATACATTTGAAAAAGTTTGTAAAATATTTATTAATAAATATTTAATTTATTTTTAAAAATAAAAAATTTTAATTGGTATACCAATTAAGGAGTTTTAATGAATTAACAATTTAAAATATTTAATTTTTTCTAAATTGCAATATTTTTGGTTCGAAAATTCCCAAATTTTTTTATAAAAATATTAAATAGAAAAAGTTAAACAAATTAAATGTGATATTTTTATAAAATTTAAACAATTCTAAACTAATTATTTTTAAAAATTTGTAATTTTTATGGCTTTTAGAAAGTCGTTTATACCGACAAATTTTTAAATTATCATGAACTATTTCCCTTTTTATTAATAATTTAAATCTTGTCTTATAGCCTTTCTATTTATATTAAAAATAATTTAACAAAAAAATTTTCAGATGAAGAAATTAAAAAATAAAAAAATTCTTTTGCCTGCACTAAAAAAGGGGTTAGAAAATTTTGAGACACATATAAAATACAAAAGTGAAATAATAAAATGTAGTTTATATGCAAAAATATTAAATTTTACTGCTTTGAAGATTGATAATGAAGATGAAGATGATTATAAAATTAGGAGATTAGGAACAAAGATTAATGAAGAAGAAATGAAAATTGATACAAAATATTTGTTAAGAAGAGAATTTTTAACAAAATTACAAGAAAATTTAAATTATAATGATTTAAATCAAATTGGTTTGTTTTTGAATAATATTTTTGAAAATTGAAAATGAGTGATCTTTTAAAAAAATTCGGCCGAAATATTGAAAACTGGGTTTTTAAAATTATGCTTAAATGAGAACCGAGGGTAACCAGCAGTTAATAACCAATTGCCGGCAACAAACTTGGCTTATCTAAGAAGGCATTTTAATACTTGATTGGCTCTGGATGGGAGAGATACTTCCCTAGCTAAGAGAATATATAATTTTTAATAGTACTTCATTATAAGATAATATTTTTCATCTCCAAGGTTGTATCCTATAGTAAGGGCTGACTGATTGTATTTCATAAAAATGATAAATTTTCACAAACTATAATTCTAATTACCCTCCTTTCTTTGTCTTCTATAATATACAAAATCATTTTTAGAGAGTTTTGATATTTCTGAAAATGCTACAGACTTTCTTGCATTAACAATTAAAGAATTCCAAAATAAATGTGATTTTAAAATTTCTCCAAAAAATGTAATTAAAAATGATGGGTGGTCATATTTTTGGCAACCAGATGATAATGATTCTACAGAATATGAAAAAGTTGAGGAACATTTAACGTTTAATTTAAAAAAAGAATTAAATAAAACTTTAACAAAAGATGATAAATTTGAGAGAAAAATATGGGAAAGAACTATGGATATGGCTAGGAGACGGTTAAATTTAAATAAATATTTAAAAGAGATGGCTGAAAAAGTAGAAAATTTTAATAAAAATTTGAAAAAAATTATTAAAAAATTGGACAATCAAAATTTGTTGTTGAAAGAAATTAAAAAATTAAAAAAATTGGAAGAAATTAAAGCAAAAGTAATTTATTTAGAATTTTAAAAATATAAGAAAAAAGTTTAAAATATTTCATTAGATTTGGGTTGGATATAAGCCGCTTTTTTGGGTATGACAAAATTAGAAACCTTTTGGGAAGGAAACTTCTGGAAAAATCTAAATATATTTCTTTAATTTTATCAGGGTCTGAAAAATTGAAAATAAAATTAAGTATATCTCCATTATTCCCCGGTCAAAAAATTAAGAAAAAAAGTCCACAATTGTGTTGTACCTGAGAGTATGTAAAATTCATTATAAATTATATTTAGGTACAAGAAGAAGACAAAGCTTATCGTGAGCGCTTTATTTCAAAAATTGAATTTCTTGATAAAAATTGGAACTATTTGGTTAGTGGATATGCAGACATCGGCCATTTATTCATTGGTTATTGTTTAGCAAAACGTTTCCAATTTATTTTTAACAATGAGGGACAGGCAAAAACAAAATTTTATAAAGAAACAAAATCCCATTTATTTAAATATGCAAGTAAAATTAATAAAATTTTGGGAAACAGAAGAGTAGATTTGGAATATTATAAAAATTTAGAAGAAAATTTTAAAGAAAAAATTATTTTAAAAATTGGAAAGGAAGGAGAAGGGTCTTCAAAAACAGTGGAAGATTTACATTCATTTTTGGATAATGATTGGGGAAATATATGTGCTATTGATAGAGGACATCCACAATTTGAAAAGACTGAGGAATGGGCACTTCAACATTGTAATTATATATTTTTAATAAAATATATAAGGAAATAATTAATCTTAGATGGAATATTCAAATAAATAAATTATAATTTTTTAAATTAATTTCAGTAAATATATAAATTCTATCATAAACGTTCAGAAAATATTTAATTTAATTTAACTATTAATTTTAATTCTTAAAAGTAAAAACTGTACAAGAAGACGATTTCCATCTTGCTGATATGGAATTCATGGAGGTTGAACCTATTGATTTTAAGCAAATGGAGTTTGATACCAATGAATGGGCTGAATTTAAAAAAGGAGCATGTAAAGGATTTTCTTTTTTTATTTTTAAAATATTGAAATTTAAGTGGATTGTTTACAAATTCATCGTTTAACATTCACTGAAGCACACACATTTATTGTTTGTTTAAATGAAATATTGCATAAAATATCAAAAGATGGACACGAAGTCTCACGGGGGGCGGTTGAAGAGATTTCTTTTGTAGGAGAAATTGAAACAAGCAAAATAAATGACAAGGAATTAAGCAAATATTTAAAGGAAATTGAAAGTATTTATTGGCAATCCAAAGAAGAAATTAAAAATGTATTTAATTACTATATTTTAAAGGGACGAGCTTATTTCTATTTATTAGAGTTTCTAGAGGAGAAATACTGTAACTCTTCTAATATAAGCACACCCTATGAGAGGATCGTAAAATAGAAGCATTGTGCTTCAATTAGAAGATTTACTTTATATATCTCAGTAAAACAGAGTAATTTCTAATGAGGGAATTTCAAAACATACTTAAATCACTTCCCCTTAAGAATAATTTGAATAATCAAAAATTTAATTTTAAATAATTTAAAGTTGCAAGAATATCAAAATGACCACCAAAAAATAATTCTAAAAAAAGAATTAGCTCGAATAGAAACAGAAATTGAATTAAAAGAAAAATTAAAAGAATTTGAATTATCTACATATATTTTGAAATTTGTTGTTTTAAAATTTTATAAAAATAATTTAATTGAAGAAAATGAAGAAAAAATTGTGGAAATAAATTCAAAAAATAAAAAAAATATAAAAAAATTAATTGAAAATTTAAAAAATAAATTTGGTAATTACGAGGAAATTGGAAAGTTAATTAAAAATCTGGAAAAAGTAAAAATTTCTAAAAATAAAGATTTGAAAGAATTTTTAAATAAAGTAATTGAAATTGAAGAAAAAATAAAAGAAAAGTTTAAAAAATTGGAAAATACGGGAAAATATGATTTAAATAAAATAAAAAATAATGAAATAAATAAAAAATTGGAAAAAGATGAGAAAGAATATATTGAAAGATTAAAAAATAAATTAATATTTTTAGTTAAAAATTTTGAAAAATTAACAAAAAATATTAAATTAGAAATTGGAGAAAGTAGTCAAAAACAAAAACAGGAAATAATTGAAAAAGGAGAAGGAGAAATTACTTCTGAAAGGACATCGGTTAATTAATTAAAAATTAAAAAAAAGTTTTTATTTAGTATGGTGAATAACTTATACCTCCCGGTCCCGGTTAATTTGATTTTTAAAAGCCAGATTTTTAGGTATATGTACAGTAAGGAAATTAAATTCGCATAGAAACGGTTAATGGAAAAACAGCTAAATTTTTCACTCAAGTTTTTCTGTTAATAGTAAAGAGCAACCTCAAAATTCCAATTAAAGAATTTACTTTCCTAACATATAATTGCCCATATAATGGGTATTTGTTTTTTAATAAATTAATTTCTAGTTAGTAATAGATCTATAGGGATAAAATTAAATAAAAATTAAAATTATTTTAGACTTCACAAAGTGATGGACAAATAAATATTTCAAATCTAATAGCCATTGGTTATTGTTTAACAAATAAATTTTTGGAAATATTTAATGAAGATGGAGTTGTTAATATGGATATTTTATTACAAAATATTTCAAATACAAATTTGATAGAATATGGACTGAAAATGAATGAAAAATTGGGAAAGAAAAGAGTTGATAAAATGTAAAAAGATTAATTTAAATTAAATAAATAATTAATTTAAAGGTATTATCGGGAAATAATTAATTTTTATAAGAATTTTATAAATATTAATTTAAAAAATCATTTGGAGAATAATTGGAATAATTATTGTTATATTGAAAAAAATGTGGAATTTGAGAGGCCTGAGGAATGGGCAGTCCATTATAGTAAATACCTATTTATTTTTTTAAATGAATATTTTTAATAAATTTAAAATATTATTAAAAATCTAGAAAAATAACTTTAAAAGAGACTAAAAAAAGCTTTAAATATTTAATTCAAAATTAATTTACATAATTTTAATTAATAAAATTTAAAAATTTTTAAAATAAAAGGTAATGAAATTGGCATGCAAAATGATGGTTTTCGATTGGAATATATTGGACAACTTGATAATTTTGATATTAATAAAGAAGAATATAAATTAACTTTAAAACAAAAAGAAAATATTTTCGAAGCACTAAGTAAGTAAAAATTAAAAAAATCATTAAAAAATATTTTTTAATTTAAGCGAGAAATTCAAATCTTCACAAAGTCACTTTCTTTGAAGCTGATAATATTCTTAATATAATTATTTCCAAAAATAATTTAGAGGAGCAACCACAAACAGAAACACGTCAACAAACACAGGGTCAATCAAAAGATGAAATACAAACAGAATTTGTTGAAAATATTACTCAAACATCTTCTTCTTCTGTTGATAAAGAACAGAATATTTACAAAAGAATTAAATTTGAATTGGATAAGGTTATTTTATTAAGTATATTTAATTTTTATTTATGAATTTGCGAAGAAACTTTAAGAAGAGGCGCTTAATATTTTTTGATTAAATATTCTAAAGCCAATGCAGGAGGAGGCATGGTTATGGATAGAGTCAACTGAAGATACTGGTTCGCTTCCAGTCGTCTAGTAACCTTCTGCATTAGCTGAAGGAGAAATAGCTGTAGCCCAGTTCTGATTTACTTTATTAATATGCGGAAATCGAAAAATATTGAATGTTTTTATTAATGAGATATTTAATAAAATAATTTTTGTAATAAATTATTTCAAAATTAAATTCCCAAAAATAATTAAATAAATATATTTAAAGATAATACAAGACGACGACGAAGAAAATAAGATAATAAAAACATCTAAAGTCAATTCAAAATTTTTCCAACAATTTGAATGGAATATAAAATTAAAAATAAAATATCAAAAATGTTTAGAATTAATTCTGTTTTTGAAAGCAATATTATTAAATAATTCTGATTTGAAAGAATTAAATAATTCAATATTTCTTCAAATAAACGAGGAATATAAATTAATTAATTTAGATGAAATAAATAAAGAAATTGAAGATTTAAATTTAAATAAAAATTCAAAAGAAGGCAAAAAATTAGGAAAAGTTGTTAAATTGTCAGAATCTGTTTATGAAAAAATTAGAGAATTAAATTTTAAATTATTAGACAAAAATAATTTTAAAAATATGAATAAAGAGTTGGATGAAGCGTCTAAAGAAATAATTAATTTAATTAAATTAATTAATAAAATAAATCCTTTAATTGGTTATTTTGAAGAATTAAAAGAAATTGAGAAAGAAGTTAAAAAAAGAAATAAAAAAGAGAAGAAGGAAAATGATGTTTTTACAGACGAGGAAATTAATTTAGGAAATGAAATTTTAAATAAAATAGATTTCTTGATAGATAAAGCAATTGAAGAATTTAATGAAGGAATTGAAGAAAAATATAAAATTTTAAAAGAAAATGCAGAAAAAATAATTTTTGAAAATAAAGAAAATAAAAATTATTTTTATTTGGAAATATTAACTGAAATTGATGAAATTAAAAATTATTTTAAAGAATCTAGTGATCTTTTTGTTGGTTATTGTTTAACTAAAAGAATTGAAAATTCATTCAACAAAGATGGAACTGTGAAATTTTCTGATTTTTTGAGTGATGGCGTTGGGCATGAATATGGATTGGAATTGAAAGAATTTTTGGGGCAAACACGAATTGATATGAAGTATATAAATATAAATTAAATAAAATTATAATTAAAATTCAAAAATTAAAAAAATTGTTTAGTAAACAAATTATAGAATTTTTAGATACAGACTAAGGGTTGAAATGTATTTTTTTGAGCAATGGTGGTGACATCTCACCCTCCTCCTTCAGTGGCTAGTTTATGGCCTTCTCGGCCAATACTTTCTCGGTCATTATCAATACTAATATTGATGAATCTTCTAATCCGAACAGAGATTTACTGATACCAATAATTCACTAGGATATTTGACATAATCATAAGTGGCACATATACTATTATAATTTTTTATACTTATAAACTCTTAATTAACAAATTATTTTCTAGATATTATAAGAAAATTCAAGAACGAATTTTCAACAACCTTATAAATAAATGTCATGAAATTGGAAATGAATTTATTAAAAAGTGTGAATTGTTTATAAATCATGAATTGCAAAATTGGCATTCTTTTTGTTCTATTGATACAGAAAATCTGCGTTATGAACGTTTTGAGGAAATGAATATTGTTCCAAATAAATTTTTGAATGAAGAAAAGGTTAATGATGAGAATTCTGTAGAGGAGTTGTCAGATGAGGAATGAAAAAAAAAATTGTAAAAAAAAAGAAAGAAAAAATATTTTTTAGATTTATATTTAAATTTTATGTTTTTATTTTTTGGGTTTTTATTTACTAGAATTATTTCGAAGGGTATATTTCAAAATTTATATAGTAGTTTTTCTGTCAAGTTTAAAATTCCCGTTTTAGTTAATCAAAAATTTGTATATTTTTGATCCAAATTAAGAGATTTTTTAGAAATTATTTTGATGAAACAGGGATTAGGAGAATTTACATTTAGTATATAGAAAAACTACTATAGAAATGTATATAGAAAATTATGTAAAAGTATATCGCTGAGGCAGATCCACAATGTGGCCAGAAATTTCAGAAATTGAGTTTCAATTGAGGTGTGTCTGATATAAGAATGTATTTACGAGGGAGATTCGACTATTGAAAAAATGTGTTTTTTTATGATAGTCCTTCCTAGCGAAGTGATTTGTGAAAACTTGCTTTGAAGGCCCAGATTCGGTCGATATATGCTATTCGAAAAAGGTATTGATAGACAAAAAAGCTCGATAAGTGATAAAAAAATGAATAATAGGTAATAAAAACTCGATGTCAATCGACTAAAAAAGCTCGACGAGTATTCCAATAGTTTTTAGAAAACCGTTTGTCTCCTATGGTTTGTCAATATTCAGAGACCCATCTATTTGTCTATAGTTAAGATTTTCCATAGTATATCGGAGTTCAGGCCAAAGCAAGTTTTACCGAGAATTGAAAGTCCCCATGGGACTATTTTATTGGATTAACGATATTTATTATTTAAAATGTAGTTTAGCACATTACAGTATAAATATTTCAAAAGTTTTTATTTTAAAATTTTTCTGTAAAATTTCAAGCATAGAAGAGGGGTAATTAATTGAGGGAAGGAATTAATCGAGGAAATATACTAACTTACTCTTAATAAAAATTTCTAAATTGAAAAACTGTCATATGTGGGAAAACTTAACTTTAAATAAATATACGAAAAGCATATGTAGTTTCTCCATAAAAAACATTTATTTTTAAGCAAGTTTATCATAGAATTAGTTCTTAATTTTGATACTCCTCTAAATAACCTTAATTTAAGGCCCGTTTTTTAAATTTGTTAAGGGTAGAGGAGTTGCCTAATAAATAAACATTTAAGAATACTTCAATATTCATAAGTTTAATTTAAAAAATGATTAATTTTTCTAATTTTCTAAAAAGTATTTTGTCATATTTTCATTCAAAAGTTTACTAAAATGTTAAATTTTCTAAATTATGATTCATTTAATTTCTCCAAATTCTTCAAAATTTAATTAACCTTTAAATAATTTTTTACACAAAACCTTTTCTATTTTTAAACAATTTTTCCTTCTTTTACATAAAATTTAAAAAGGCTTTAAGCACTGGCATTAGTGTGTTAATGGAATTTCAAGATTTTTTTTAGATTACTATTAATTTTAGAAATTTTTTTGACAAGAATCTATATCAATTTTTAAATTCTGAGCTTGTTTTTAATATTACCTAGAGTAATATATTTTATTTTACCTTAGAATTAAAATACTATTTGTAAGTAGCTACTCTCTTAACAATATAAATATTTTAACAATAAAAAATAAAATATATTTAATTATTTTTATTTATTTTTTCTAAATAAAAATAAATTTTCTTTCCTAACCAACTTGTTCCATCACGTAATTTATCGTAAAAATTTTCATCTCCTCTCTCCTTTCTCTCTCAACAACCTCTTTGCGCAATTGAGAAAAGCACAAAAAGTGATAGCTTTGTTGAGGGGAACACATTCTTTTCTATTTATTTATTTGGAGAGAAAATATTTTAATAGAAGAAACCACTCTCCATTTATGCGCAAAAGCTATTGATTTTTAGTTTAAATTGTTCACAATTAAAAAAAGCCGCAATTGAATTTTTAGGGAGAAGAATTTTGAATTTTTTTGAAGATAAGACAAAAAATAAATAATTTTTATTTTAAAAATCAGTCACAAAATTCTTGAAAAATAATTTAATTATATTAAATTAATCAGTATTTTTATCCCCTTTTTCAAGTAATTTAATTTTACATTAATTTTTAGTAAACAAAAATATTTTTAATTACTTCCTTGTTTTTACATTAATAATTTATTTAATTTTAAATTTAATTTTTAAAATTAAAGGAAAAATTTAAAGAAAAGTAGGATTTTTATTTTTTATTAAATAATTTTTAAGTTTTTTTTCGATAAAATTAATAATTTTAGTTTATATTTTTAAAATAATTTTATAATTTATTTTATTTCAATTTTTATTTTAATTTTACAAAAAATAAAAGAAATATTTATTTATTTATTTAGATCAAGTTCTACAAATTAATTTCTTTCCCCACAAAAACGAGTTTTTTCCTTAATATCAATAACTTTTTCTTGGCCTTATTTCCTTTATTTTTACACAATTATTATTTAATAAGTAGGTAGTAATTGTCTTTTTTTATTTTGAATTGAAAATATTTTACTAAAATAAATATTATTTTTAACAAGTTTTTGTTCTTCAAATGATTTTTAAAGGGAAGGACAGACATTTTATTTAGATTGTTTTGAATCAAATTTTGTTTTCCTCAACATTCTCAAGATGTTCTAGAAGTCCTGAAATATTTTAAGTGTATAAAGGAAATAAAATAATTCTATTGAAAAATAAATTTTGTAAATTGAAAAAGGTACTTTTTCGTTATACGACCACAAACTGAGTGTCAACCGACTTTGAAAAACTATAACTTTTTGATGCTTGATCCAGTACAAATGAATTTTATATCATTTCAAAGCCCTCGATTATCTCTATCTTTTTCTAATAGGATAGATCAAGTCTGATCACGCATTAAAAAGTTATAACCCGATATGTTATCTGTTTCCGGTCGTATAACGGAAAATTACCTAGAAAAATCTAAAAATTAAGAAAATCTTAGTTTATAATTTATAAATTAAGATACAAAAATTCTTATTTTTTTCCATTTACCAGCTAAAACATTCAAAATTTATTTTCTCCCTCTCTTTTTTCTAAAATCGCTAGAGGTGCTAACTTTCACTCGCGCCTTCAAAATAATTATATAATTTCTCTACCAATCATTTAAATAAAAATATAATTTATTTATTTATTAGTCAAAACCTACGATGAATCAATGCTTACCTTTATTTTTATTCCTCAATTCCCTTCTTATTAATTAAAAATTTTTCATTTAATTTTTCTAAATTTTTTTATTTTAAAGTTTAAAGACAAAAATTTGTCAAAAATTTACAAAATATTTTTTTAAAAATGAAAATAAATTATAAAAATCCCTTCAACACATTTTCAGTACAACAATTATTTAATTTAAATTTTAGACGACGAAAGGATAGATGGAGAATAAACAAATTAATATTATTACAATTTTTAACAAAATTAAAAATATTTTTATTTATTTTTATTATTTTAATTTGTAAAATAACAAAAAATGAAGGTAATTAATTAATTAATTGTTAGGAGGAATTAGGTGAGGAGGGAATCAAAAACTACCAAATATTTTTTTAATTATTTTCAATTTATAGAAGGATATAATTTAAAAATAAATATCAGTTAAGCTAAATTAATTTTTTTATTAATCTCAAGCATTACAACGTGTTAGCGAATATCAGCGTTTTGATGGATGGTTTAATGTGAGTTTGTTTAAATTTTAAAGAAATTTTAATTTACAAAATTAATTTGTAGAATTTGGCAAATCCACAATGGGGTATGTTTTTGGAAATAAAAGAAAGATCATTAATTTCAAATTTTTAATTAAAATAATTAGGAAGTGTCGGCAGTCGATTACACAGAGACGCGCCTAGCAGTTATCAAGATGGTGTTTACAGATTGGATTCATCTTTGCCTTCAGCTAGAGTTATTTCTGGTAATTTTTAATAATAAATTACTGAGATTAGAAAGTCTTTTAATTTTGCAGAATTAATGTTTAAAGGAGAACCTGGCATTCCTAGCAGACGCAATCTGACAACGATGTTTGCCTTTTTTAGTAAGAAATCAAAATTAATTTTTGTAAAATAGAGGAATTGGGCTTGCTGGATTTTTTTGGCTTATTGAACATTGAGAAAAAAAGATTTAAGGACTTTGAGAATAAATTTTAACAAACACTTATAATTTAAATAGTAGATCACTTTTATTACATTTTAATTAAAAAAGGTCAGGTCATTGCCTATGAAATAATGCAATCAACTCAAAACAGTTGCCCTTTGGAAATGCATAAAATCCCTGTCGAGCGTTGTGATCCAATATTTGATAAGGATTGTGAAGGAAAAACTGATATTCCTTTTACTAGAGCGAAATATGACAAAGGGACAGGACATGGATTAAATTCTCCTAGAGAACAAATTAATGAGAGAACTAGTTGGTTAGTTGATTATTTTCGCTCTAAAAATATTTAAAATTAAAAATAAATTTACAGGATTGATGCTTCCTTCCTCTATAGTACTCAAGAGCCGTGGGTAATTTTTTTTGATAATTTTATGTTTAAAATAATTAAATTTCCTTTTAAGGTTGCAGCATTACGTTCATTCGAAAATGGCACTCTTCTTGAAGGCCCAATGCCTGGCTACCCTCCTTTCAACGATCCACACATCCCTTTAATTAATCCTCCACCTCCACAAATTCATAGATTAATGAATCCTGAAAGACTTTTCAGTAAATAACTTTTTAAAGGATATATTCTGATTTTCTTATTCTGTTTAAAGTTTTGGGTGATCCAAGAATTAACGAAAATCCCGGTCTTCTCAGTTTTGGACTAATTCTCTTTCGTTGGCATAATATTCAAGCTTTGAGACTACAACAGGAATTTCCTGAATGGACAGATGAAGAGCTTTTTCAAGGAGCCAGACGATTGGTTATTGCTACTTTACAAGTATAGTTTTTGATTTATTGAGAACTACTTTCTTCTTTTGTAACTTCATATACCCCTCAGAATTTTTAAGAAACTTATGTCCAAGAGGGTCTCATTAATGTCTCATTTCCATTATGAAAATATTTTGAAAGTAAACTAAATCATATAAACAAGTTTTTCAAAAAATATAAAAATTTATCTTTATTTAAAGAGTATTGTTCTTTACGAATTTTTGCCTGTTTTGCTAAGCATTTCAAAAGAAGAAATACCAGAATATCAGGGCTATAATCCTCATGTTCCTCCAGGAATTTCTCATTCATTCGCAACTACAGCCTTCCGATTTCCACATACTTTAGTACCCCCGGCATTATTACTTAGAAAAAGAAACGGAAAATGTGAATTTAGAAAAGAGGTAATAATTAATTTTTAAAAATAAAATTTTAAATAAAATAAAGGTTGGAGGCTTTCCAGCTCTTCGACTTTGTCAGAATTGGTGGAATGCGCAGGATATTGTGCGAGAATATTCTGTCGATGAAATTGGTTAATTAATCTTATATTTTTACCCGATCAAAAAAATTTCACTTTTTAGTCTTAGGGATGGCTTCTCAAATAGCAGAGGATGAGGATCATATAGTTGTTGAAGACTTACGTGGTTATTCGAAAACAAAAAATTTTTTGAATTAAAAATAATTTTTTAAAGATTTTATTTTCGGTCCAATGCATTTTACTCGTCTTGATGTTGTTTCCACTTCAATTATGAGAGCAAGGGATAATGGATTACCTGGATATAATCAATTGAGAAAAGCATATAAATTAAAACCAAAAGATTGGACTACAATAAATCCAAAATTAAACGAAACAAATCCCGAAGTTTTTTCTTAGAAAAAATAATTTTTATAAAAAAAATTTTTCAAAGAAAATAAATAAATTGGCAAATCTTTATGACTTTAAAATTGACCGTTTGGATGCTTATGTTGGGGGAATGTTGGAAGCTGATGGAAATGGACCTGGAGAACTTTTCTCTGCAATAATTAAAGATCAATTTCTTAGACTTAGAGAATCTGACAGATTTTGGTTTGAAAATAGGCAAAATGGGTAAAAAATTAGAGGAGAAAATTATTTTAAATTTAAACTTTTTATATTAGATTGTTTACTGATCGAGAAATATTCTTTATCAGAAGAATTACTTTAAGGTAAGGGGATATTTAATAATTATTAAAAAAAATTTTTGGTTACTGTATACCTGTATATACTTAAATAATTACCCTGATTATTATTGTTTTAACCTATCGCTGTGGAGTAATTAACCGAGAGGGAAAATTATTTGAGAGAGGGAAATTATTCGTGTTATACGGTACTCTTAACAAAAGGTAAAAATGTGCCAAACAAATTTAGTATTTTTATAGAGATATAATTCGGCAAACAACATCAATCGGAAAAGAAGATATTCAAGAAAATGTAAAAATAAATTTAAATTTTATTCAAAATTTTGTTTTAATTAAAGGTATTCTTTTGGAAAAATGGCGATCCATGTCCACAACCTTTTCAAGTTAATATTTCTAGTCTTGAAAGTTGTGTTCCATTTATGCGTTTTGATGTAAATAATTTTTTAAAATTAATTAAAATTAAAATTTATTTTTAGCATTTTACTGGAAATGAAGTTACTTATATATTTACTTGTATTGCTTTATTTACTATACCTTTAGGTAAATATATTTAATTTAATTTTAATTAATTTAAAAAAGTCTGTATTGGTATTGGTTATTTACTTGTCCAAAGAAGAAAGAAAATGGGAATGTTATTCGAACCTGGTGCTATCAAAAAACAAAATCAGGAATCAACAGAGGATGAGGGAATTATTGCAAAAGATCAAAAACTTGTTTTTCCTGGTTAATTTAAATATTAAAATAATATTTATAAGGAAAAATACTTTTAGAAAAATTAATTTGGTCGAAATATATAATTAATTTGAATTCAAACCAAATACGGAAAAATTTTGATTTTTGTATTAAACATGAAGCCATAATTAGATAGCAGATATAAATTCGTTAGAGACTTTACATTTATAGTTAGGGACTTTGCATAATTCTAAATATTTAAAAAAATATTTTTTAGCAATTGAATGGCTAAATGAGACTTTCTGCAGGTCATTAATTTCCTTAAATTAAAATTTTCAATAAAAATTAAATTAAAGATCAATCCTCGTCGAATTAAATTCAGAATATTCTCAATTAAAAATTTTGAAGCGTAGAAGTGGTGGAATTTTGCGTAAATTAGATTTTGGAGACGTTAATGTATTGAGATTAACTGTAACAAAAAGTGGAAGTGTAAGGAAAGGACAAGGGCCATTTGTGTGTATTTCTTTGCCAAAAAATTATGATGTTGTTAGTTAATTTTTGGATAAATAATAAAGGAAAATTAAATTTATTTTTTTAGGTTTTAAGGCTTCGTTCAAAACATCAATGGTCAAAATTCCGTTCTTCTTTGGGGAATTGCCTTTTAAAACACGGAAAACTTTTAAAAGAAGTTGAAGCAGAAAATGATGTTTTACTTGAAGCAGCAGAAACAAAAGATAAAAGACAATCTAAATTGGATCATTTCTTTCGGGAAGCTTACTCTAGAGTATTTGGAAATGAAGATATTTTTAATAAAAAAATTATTTTTGTAAAGGCATTTAATGACCCAGCATTAAGTGATTCTTCCCAAATATCAAATACAAATTTTAATTCAATGCAGCAAGTAATGGCAATGACTTTAACTAAAGCAGAATTTGCTGAAGCATTGGGAATGAGAACAAGTGATTTATTTGTTCAAAGAATGTTTGCTTGTATGGCAGCTAATTCTAATGAAGAAATTGATGGAGGGAATGATACAGTTGTGACTTTTCAGGTGGAGAATCAGAAAATATCATGGAAGACTTTGTTTCGATAATACATAGTTCAAGGAAGTACCCCTTTAAGTAGTTCAAGGAAGGACCTCGCTTTATGATACATCCAATACTTGATAAATCTGCATTATCCTATTAAAATATACCCCATTATTATCCTATTTACTTTGGCCATCCTTGATATATTATCATATTAAAATATACCTCATTATAGGCTATAATTTTTGATAACTAAAAGTCTTTTTATTCAGATCCAATAGTCTACGAATATTTTTAATAATACAAAATAATTTTAAAAAATTATAGAACATCATAATTTTTATTATTTTATAAAAATTTTATTTTAATCTTTTAGGAGTTTCTTGACGTGTTGCGCAAATTTACTCAAGGATCTTTAAGAGAAAAGCTTCAACTAGTTTTTGATATGTGTGATCTTGAACGTGAAGGGCGTGTTCAACGGAAACAATTTTGTGAATTTGTGAAATCCTTAAATATTGCTGCCGGTGTTAGAATTGACCAAGAAGTTCTTTTTAAGATGGATTTTAAAATTATTTTTTAAAAATAAGGTTCAAGATCAAGTGTTAGAATGTGTTTTGAAAAGGGCAGGAGTTGACCCAGAAAGAGATATTTTAACTTACAAAGATTTTGAAGCAATATTTAGTCAAATGGTGGATATACGTAGACCTGTTGGTGTGCATTTGAGAGGAGTAAATATGAGGATTAATTTAGAAGAGTGAGTTGAAAAATGATTACAGTTAAACCTCATATTTAGATACCCCCAATATTAGGTATCTTTCAAGTTAAGATACGTTTTTTTAATTTAGTCGGGGTTGGGTGGACAGAGCTGCGCCACATTTGAGATTCCCTTAATTGCAAACTAGGTTTTTAGATTTAAGATTTTTAGTGTTAAAGGGGGTATCTAAATATGAGTTTAGACTGTATTAAAAATTTTTTTAATAAAATAATTATTTTTCCCTTTTAAAAAAAAGAACTCAAAGTCTCAATAGTTTTGCTGTTACTTCAGAAGTTAAAGATCCATTTGACAAAAATTCAATTTCCTTACTTCTTAGTTATTTGGAAAGTTATAGACAACATATTGTTATTTTATTTCTTTTCTTTGCTGCAAATGCTATTGTTTTTTTAGAAAGATTTTGGTGTAAGTTTGGAAAATAAATTTTAAGAAATATTTTTGTTTCTAATAGTTTATCGGTATGAAAATGAACATCGTGATTTACGCCGAGTAATGGGTGTTGGTGAATTTTTAATTTTAATTTTTAAAATTTTCACAATAAAAATAAGTCATGATTGGTTACTATATTAGGTATATTATTTAAATCCCCTAATTTTAAATAAAATTTTTGTCTAATTTTTCGGATAGTCGGGCTTATTTTTAGATGTCCTCTCCCCGGGGAATGAAAATACTGTACCTTATATTGAAGGGTACATTAAATCGGAAGTATAGGTTAGGTAGCTCTGCCTACTTAGAGACCAACCAAATTAAAAAATTGTGCCTTATATTTTTGGGGGCCCAATTTTGGGGGTATCTAGAAATGAGGCTTTTATGTTTTACATAATTCATTCGAATTTTGAAATTAAAAACAAAAAAATATTTAGGAATTGCCATAACAAGAGGAGCAGCAGCAGCTCTTTCCTTTGATATGGCATTAATACTTTTAACTGTTTGTAGAAATATTTTGACAATTTTAAGAGAATCTTTTGTTGGAGAAGTTTGTTATTTTTGGATTTCTTTGAATTAAAATATTCTTTTATAAAGTATATTCCTTTGGATTCGGCTATTACTTTCCACAAAATTGTTGCGATAACGGCTGGTGTGTTTGCAGCAATTCACACAATTGGGCATTGTGTTAACTTCTACCACGTTGCAACACAAAGTCAAGAGGGACTTGCTTGCCTCTTTCAAGAGGTTAAGAAAAGAAATTCTCTTTCAAAAAATATTTTTCATTAAAATATTTTTTGAAGGCTGTTTTTGGTTCCAATTTCCTTCCATCAATTTATTACTGGTTCTTTCAAACATTAACTGGCCTTACAGGAATTCTATTGGTTTGATTCCGTATTAAATAAAAACAAAAATTTTTTAAGGTTGCTTTAATGAGTATTATTTATGTATTTTCTGCTCCGGCAGTAATGAAACGTGCTTATCATGCTTTCCGCCTCACTCATTTGCTCAACATACTTCTTTATGCTTTCACTATTCTTCATGGATTGCCTAAACTTCTTGATGTTGTTTTTTTATATTTTTATAATTTATTTTATATTTTTAGTCTCCAAAATTCTGGTATATTGTACTTGGTCCAACTATTATTTTCATTATTGGTAAGATTTAAATGGTTTCAAAAACGATATAATAATTTTGATGATGTCCTATAATCTCTATTATATTTCATATTCTAGACTGTACTAATTTTTTTAAAGATCGAATTATTGGCATGCGAAAACAATATAAACAATTGAGAATTGTTGAAGCTGCTGTTCTCCCCTCCGGTGATTCTCAATTGTTTCCTCAATAATACCTAATTATATCTCTTATTAGATATAATCTACATTCAATTTAAACGTCCACATTCATTTAAATTCCGTAGTGGACAATGGGTGCGTATTTCTTGTCCCGCACTCTCTTGTGCTTTCAATGAACATCATGCTTTTTCACTTGCGTCTGCACCACAAGCTCAAACTTTGGCACTTTTTATTAAAGCAGTAGGGCCTTGGACTTGGAGTTTACGAAATGAAATAACTGAAGCACAAGAGAATGGACTTGTTTATCCTGTCCTTAATTTGGATGGCCCTTACGGGGATGGAAATCAAGTAAAAATAAATGAAAGAGAAAGCTATAAAATATTTAAAAGGAATGGTATAATCACGAAGTTGTTGTTATGGTTGGTGGAGGTATTGGAGTAACGCCTTATGCTTCTACTTTAATGGATTTGGTATTGGAAAGGGCTTCTGGTAATCATAGTGGAATTAGATGCAAAAGAGTTAAAAATACAAAATAAATTTAAAAAATAATTAATTTTAAGGTTTATTTTCTTTGGATATGCCCAACACACAAAAATTTTGAATGGTTCGTTGATGTACTCAAAGAAGTTGAGAAATATGACACACAAAATCTTCTTGAAACACATATTTTTGTCACCCAATTCTTTCATAAATTTGATTTGAGGACGACTGTTTTGGTGAGTTTAGAGCGGACAGTAAAGATAGGAATGGAGTAAGGATAAAGATTAGGAATGAGAGCAGGGAAAGATGCATCTGAATTTCATGGATATCTCGAACAAAATTTAATTTTCCTCTAAATTTTAATAAAATATTTAAGTATATATGCGAGAAACATTTCCGTGGCAACAATTCTGGTCATTCAATGTTCACCGGTCTCAGAGCTACCAACCACTTTGGACGTCCAAATTTTGATTTATTTTTTAAATTTCTTCAAAGTCGGCATCAGGATGTAATTTTTAATTTAAATTAATAAAGATGATTATTTTTTAAAGGTATCCGATATAGGAGTTTTTAGTTGTGGGCCAGCTCAAGTTAATAAACAAATTAGAAGGGCATGTACAGAAGCAAACAGAATAAGAAATGCGCCGTCATTTGTGCACAGATTTGAAACATTCTAATTTTGAAACAATATTTTTTGTGATTAATAAATTAATTTAAATAAATTTTTTTAAATTTTTCTTTATTCTTCGAAGTTAAATTTAAAAATTATTGGACTATAAATATTTACTTAAACAAAAAAATATTTTAATGATTGATTTAAACAAAAGCTTTTTAAACAACAAATGCTCTTTTATTTTTTAATATAAAATGGAAGAAAAATTTATAATAAAAATTTTTGTTTCTATTGTCTATTTTCAATAGAAATATTTTTTAAAAATGTTTTTTAATTCATAAAAATATTTTCTATTTTTTTTCATAATTTATTTTAAATTTTTAAAAAATTCAAAAATAGGGGATAACCTGGACTTAATATTTCTCTATCTTTTCCTCGTTCCTGTACAATGATTTTTCCATCCACTGAAAATATTTTTTGTTTTGTATTTTATATTTAATTTAATTTTTTATATTATTTTATTTATCTCAAAAGAACATTTTTTATTTACTTTATCAATTAATTTTCATAAAAATATTTACATACTAAATATGTAAATTTATTTTTTTCGAATAAAAACAATAGTAACAAATTCAAAAATAAACTAGCCATTTATTGAAAATATTTTTGACATCAATTGTCATATTTTTATGAAAACATTTTCAAATTTTAAATACATTTTAAATCACAAAAATTATTAATTTCAAATAAATTTTAAATAATAAATTTTCTTCAAAAACATATTTAAATGCATAAAAAGTGTGTTTTATCATTTCTTTATTTCTTAACTTTCCTTAAAATATTTAAATCCTCCCTATATTTTCTCACAATATTTGAACATTTGTGTATTTTAAAATATTTATGTAGAAGTTTGGGATTATTCTTTATTAAACATTTAATTTTAAATTTGTTAAGTTTTTTTGAATTTATTTGGAAGAGTTGTTGTAAATTTGCAAAAAATGCTTATTGAAAAATTTTTTTCTATAATTTTCTAATTTAAACAAGTTTTTAGTAATTTAAGTGTTACCAAAATTAATTTTTAATTTTTCAAAGAATATTTTTTTAATTTTATCATTTTTAATTAATTTATTTTAATTACTAGCAATTTATTTTTAAGTACTTTAGGCTAAAGTTTTTTCTCGAAAAAAACTTTTTTTCAATAAATATTTACCACTAGCCAACAAATATCTTCGAATCCTCTCAAGTTTTTATGACTGCCACTCATTCTCTTTTAAAGATATTCAATTCTTTTTTATTTTTTTTATTTTCCACAGGCCCATTAGCCTAAAAATAATTTTTTTCTAAAGCTTATATATAAAATACCACAAATTTTAACCAAGTCCAGAGGCCAATTTTCCCATAAATGAATGAGTGCCGATTGTTAAAAAACAAAAGAAATAATTTATTTTATTCTTTTTTTTTGAGTGCCGGCAATGTTTTTTTATTCCACTCATTTTGTCACTCTTCAATAAATATAAAAACATTTTTTTTATTTTAAGAATTTTTTAAGTAAAAATCTTTTTAAATTTTATTTTCAATAAATATTTTAACCAATTGTTTTTTCTTATTATTTTTTAATATTAAATTTTTCTATAAAATTAAAAAAAATATTGTTGAACTTTTAAAAATATGTAAACATACCTTTATTTGAAAAAAACAACGAGAGTGAAATTTGATACATTTACTATGTATTTTAAAAATTATATAAAAATTCAAAAAAATTTTTTTGACAAAACTATAGTATAGATAATTCATTATAAAAATAAAAACATTATTTATTAAAAAAATTACTTTATTATTTAAAAAAATTTTTAATTTTTAAAAATTACTTTTATTTATTTATTTAACATAATTTCAAGTATTTATTCCTAAATTATTCCATTTTTGGTCTTCATTTTCTTTTCTTTTTTCTAAATAAGTCAAATAATTTTTAAGCTTATTTACTTCTATTCATTAACCTTCCCTATCATCACCTACTAATAATCCTCTTTTTGTTTTTTGGAATTTTCAAGCAGAAAATCGCGTCATTTTTTTCAATCCTGGGAAATAAGCGAAAGAATAAATAAATATTTTGAGAGAAAAGTGAGAAAGTCTTTTTAAAGATTAAAATATTTAAATGCTTGACTGGCACTTGAAGTAAAGATTTTATCAATCATTGAATATATGAGAGAATAAATATTTAAAGAAAAAGTTTTCTTGTTTAAAATTTTTTGGAATTATTTTGCAAAATAAATACAATTCTAATATAAATATTAATCAATTATACATATATGTTAATTAACTTGTTGTTATTTATTTCAGACATGTACCTGGTATGATATATTGATGAGGACAATATACGTATCCGTTTATATCCTTTCATGTTTTGTATCATATCCATCCGTGGGTATCCGCGGATGGATATAAGGGTTCAAAAAGTAAAACGTTAATTAACTTGTTGTTATTTATTTCAGACATGTACCTGGATCCACGGACCTATCCACGGACCTATCCGTTTTTCAAAATGGTCAGTTATATGATGGATATCCGCGGATTTGGAGCTCATATCCGTATTCTATTTAAAAACACTATACATAACTGTCCTTATCCGCGGACATCCGTGGATATCCGGATAATCACAGGTCTGATTTATTTTACTCTTTCCATTCAAAATATAAAATTTTAACATTTTTTAAAAATTTTATTTTTATGTTCATGTGAATATACCTTTTTATTGTTCTTTTGATTTGGGGCGCAAAGTTTTCTTTTGCGTCATGAAAACGTGTGAACTGAATATAAAAATAAATTATTCTATGAATAAATAATTTAAATAAAAATAATAACAAAAGAATTTTTTAAGAAGATTTTTACTTTTTCCCTAAATATTTTTTGGTGTTTTTGTTATTATAATAAGGGTTTTAAGGGTTCACAAATTAAAACTTTTTTCTAAAAATTAGTGAAAATCTTTTTTTTTATTTTTTAAGTTGGATGATTGTGGGATATGGGAATGAATCCTCATGTGTAGGAAATAACCAAAATCAACTTTATTATCTTAGAAACTTTTTTCTTTTTTTTGTTAAAAAACTAAAAATAATTTTTTTAAAATTTCTTATTTCAAATTCCCCTTTTTATTTTCTTCTTTAAATTTTTTCTTAGAAAAGTTTTTACTTAAAAAATTCTTTAAATCTTTTTTTCTATTAATTTATTTTTAATTCTAAAATTGTTCTTGTCTACTATTCCAAAATGCAAACAATATATTTTAACCGTTAAATGAATGAAAGGTTTTTTAAAAGTGTGGGGAATTTAAATTGTGGGAAATGAATTCCTCCTTCGGTTAATGAACTTCTACTATTTTATTTTTTCTTTCTAAAAATTTTCTTCCGTTTTGCTAAAAATAAAAATTAAAAGATTTTTTAAAAGAAACGATTTCTCCTTTTTTTAAATTTAATTAAAATAATTTATATTATTTTTAAATTAATTCTCTCTCTCTTTTAAAAAACAAAATTAAATAAATATATTTAAATATGTATGTACCACAGATGTTTTCTCCTTTTTTTATATGTATAAAAAATTCTTTCCACTAAAACAAAATTAAATCTTTACTCTAAAACGAGTTTTCTCATTAAACTTTATTTAAATGCTAAAAAAGGTAATAAAAAAAAAGATTTATATTTTTATTCTCTAAATTTAGCTATTTTTAATTATTTAAATGAATATATTTTTTACAAGATTTGTGCAACTTTAAAAAATTAATTTCCTTGAGAAAAGATTTATTTTAATCTTTTCTATAATTAATTTCACACGTTTTAAATCATTTTAATATATATTACGTTTATTTAAATACCCACACATTAGAACTAAAATAATTAATATTAAAATATACATAATTATTTAATTTAATTTTCATTTTATAATTAAAATACTTGTAAAATACTCTCCTCAACTTCCTTTAACTTTTATAATTTTTAAATATATTTTTTCCTTTTTTTTCTTTATAAATTAGCCTAATTAGCTCACTTTTTGTTCCTCCTCCTTTTTTTTTAATTTCAAAACGTGTTAAAGTCCAAATATTTTTATTCAAAAAAACAAAAAATGTCTTTTCCGTTCATCCTCTCCCATTTTATTCTTTTCACTTTTTTGTCCTGTCTTCAACAGCTCTCCCTCCCCCCTCTCTTTTTAGACATTACCAAACAAAAATACTGTCCTTTTTGTCTCCAATAATTTTCTAAAAATTTTTTTTACCCCTTCTTCCGCTCCCATTCCCTTCATTTTCTCCTTTTGTGCAGAAATACATGTTTGTGTGTGTTTTGGGGGGATAAAGAAGGATTAGGACAACAAGCTAGGGCCAAAAGGCGGAAAAATCTTTTGGAGGCACGCGACAGAAACAGTCCCTCCTAATGAGCCCCTCCGGACGGAATTTTTTAACAAAAATTGATTAAACAAAAAAAGACGAAAAAGGAAGTTGGGTAGCCTTTTATTTATACAATCTTTAGGAAAAAATATTTATAAACAAGCAATCTCTTTTATTTAAATATATATTTTAATTTGATGTCATTTTATTGATAATTTATAATAATATATTTATTAAAATTAATTAATTTTAATATTATTATTACTCCAAAATTTTCCTTTTTTAAGCTTAAGACTTCTTACTAGATAAAATTTAATTAGTTAATGCATCTTGGAATTCCTCTATTTTTTAATACAATAATTATATTTAAGTTTAGGTTGCAAGAAGGGATACTTAAATAACCTTAAAGTTTAGATAAAAAAATTTTTATAGTTTCCATAAATAAATATTTACATAATAAATTAATATTATTAATTTTTGGCTTAATTATTAACAATAAATTAATTTTAATTAAATTATTTTTTTTTATAGAAATGGTTTTTATGAACCTATTTTCTTTACAAAATCAAGTACTTAATTTAATTGAACCAAATTCATCTTTAACAGAAGATTCTTTATCTTCCTCCTCTTCATTTTCTTCTATTCCATCTTCTAATGTCTTCCCATTTACCTCAGCATTAGCTGAAGTTTTAAATGAAGGGACAACAATAAATATTTCGAATAAATTAAATGAAAATCTAAATATATCAACAAATTCTAATAGAGCTTTGCCTGCCTTAGAACTTATACTTGGCACTTTTACATATTTTTTAATTATCGGAATAACCATTCTTGGGTAATTTTAAAAGGAGTTTCTTTAAAAAATTGATTATCTTTTAAAGCAATACTTTGGTTATTTTGGCTGTATTTAATTATAGACCTTTAAAAAAGGTTCAAAATTATTTTATTGTATCCTTGGCAGCTTCTGATATGCTTGTTGCAATAATTGTTATGCCTTTACATGTTGTTAAATTTTTGGCTGGTAAGCTAGTAATATTTTTTAGAGAGAGAAAATTAAATCTTATTTAATTCTAAAAAAGCAATTATTATCAAATATTTTTAAATTCAATTTTGATTTTAAAAATATTCTTTATTTTAATAATAAAAAATATTTTTTATTTTAATTGTTGTTCCATGTTTCCACTTTCTTTATAAAAAACATAGGAAAAACAATACATTAATTAAAATATTTTCTAAAATATTGCCAACTTTTCCTTTTTTATATTTTAATAATAATAAAGTGATGTGAACGGAAATAATTTGAATAATTCTTAAATAAAATAACGAGAAAAAATAAAATTTAACAAACTTTTTGGAAAAACTGAAGTGCAACAAATTATTAGAAAAATATAATAAAGGAAATGAAAAAGTAAAAAGGGAAAAATTTTGCAGAAAAATTTTTGTTGGAAAATGACCAAAAAATATTAAAAAAAGTTACTTCTTTCCCTTCTAAGAAAATTAATAAATTGGTGGTTAAAATATTTGAATATCAAATTAAGAAATAAAAATTTAAACAGTCGTACTGCTTTGATTGGCTTTTTCGGGAATTATTACTGGATTAATTATTTAAATTGATTTAAAAATCATAAAATTGTTAAAAAGAAAATATAGAGAAAAATTAAAATTAAATCAGAAACAAAGTGTGTGAAATAATTAATATATTTTCCTCTTTAAAAATATTTTTGAATTAATTTATTTAAATTTAAAAAAAAGATGGTCATTGGCTTCTCGGAGTTACAATCTGTCAATTATTTACAACAGCAGACATTTTATTGTGTACATCCTCAATCCTAAATTTGTGTGCAATAGCAATTGATAGATATAGGGCAATACACGATCCGATTGGCTATGCACAAAAAAGATCTTTAAAATTAGTTGGAGGAACTATTGTTTTGGTTAATTTTATTAAATATTTTAATAAAATCTGAGAAGTTGATAGAAAATTATTTCATAACTTTCCTAAAAATCTAGTCCAAATTTATGTAAAAGTTTAAAATAATTAATTTTAAAATAATCAAAGACTAAGTAAAATTAATTTTGAAGGTTTGGGTTTTGAGTGTAGTTATTTCTGTCCCTCCATTAATTGGTTGGAATGATTGGACTTCACAAACTTTGGTAGATCATTGTGAATTAACTACAGAAAAAGCTTTTGTTGTTTATTCTGCTTGTGGTTCTTTTTTCTTTCCTCTTGCTGTTATGGTGGTTGTTTATGTTAAAATATTTTTGAATGCTAGACAAAGAATTAGGAAAAATAGAGGTAATTTATTTATTTCACAGATTCCCAGAATTATTCCAAAAATTAGGTTGTAAATACTTAATTGTTAAATTTAAAGAAATTATCTTCTAAAAAATAAATGATAGAAAAGTTATTCCAATTAGACTTTAAGACATTACTCATTGATATTAAAAAAAATTTTCCATATTTTCTTAAAGGAAGAAGCGCCCTTTTCAAAATGGCTGAAGAGGCAGGAAATAGATCACAGAGAGCGCCAGTTGCCGCTGCCTCAGTATTTTAAAATTAAAAATTATTTGAAAAATAAAATTTTAATTTTAGGTTATTGCATTAGCTAGTGCAACAGGAGCACAAATATTTAGAAAAAGTAAAAGAAAGAAGGAAATAATTATTAAAGAAAGGATATCTTCTTCTTCTTTGAGAGGAACTTCTTCGGCAACAAATAGTTCTGTTGGAGGTGGACATGATGGAAATATTAAAAGGGGAAGTATAAATAATGTTGGAAACGGAGTGGGAGGAGGAGGAGGCGGAATTGATGCTTTGTTGGCACAAAATAATGCCACAAATGTAATATTTTATTTAAAATTTACATAAAATTAAAGAAACCCTAAAAGGGTTTTAAATTATAACCCAAGACCAAAGAACTCTACTAAAAGTATTTTAAGCAAAAAATAATTCTAGGGAATCCTTTTTTGTTTATTGTTAGAAATAGATTTTGAGACTTAAATAGACTTAATTGACATTTATCTAAATGTCAAATGTATTGACATGAGTAGATTAACCTACTCTGTGCTCTCTAACTAATATCTTCTAATAATCAAGCGTTCCTTATTGTGAAGTTATTTCTAATCCAAATTTAATTTTTAATTAATTTTCAGAATTTAATAAAGAATGGAGGCACTAGCTTCTTTCCATTACCCTCAACATTAGAAAAACGTTATTCATTATCAATTAATTTGCCTTTACCTATAAATAATTTAATGACAGCAACAAGTTTAGATGGAATTAAACAAAGTGCTGATTTATTAAAAGAAGAAAATCAAAAAGAAAAAGATCCTTTAATGATAGTAGAAAATGGTGGGGGGAATTTATTGCCAGAATCTAAAGCAACAGAAACTGTTGAATTAAAAACACATTTAAAAGAACGGGAAAAGGTAAGAGAGGAGAAAGAAAATATTTTTTGAATACCGTAAATCTTCTAAAAGAAGCACGCTCCCTGATATAAGCACATTCTGCGAGAGGATTAAAAAATAGAAGCACATTTGCTTCAATTAGAAGATTTACGTTAACTTTGAAAATATCGAGAACATTAGACGAAAAAAAAGTTTATTTGTGGTTCTCGATTCCAATATTTTAATTAACAAAAATAAATTAAATAATTTAATTAAAAATTTAGATAAGTGTTGCAAAAGAGAAAAGAGCGGCCAAAACAATTGCAGTAATTATTTTTGTTTTTACTTTTTGTTGGTTACCTTTCTTTTGCACTTATGTAATAATGCCTTTCTGTTCTGGATGTTATTTACATCCAAAGGTTTTTAAATTAAAAAAGTCCTCTTCTAATTTATCTATTTCTAGGTTCACCAAGCATTTGTTTGGCTCGGTTATATAAATAGTTCTTTAAATCCTTTCCTTTATGGAATTCTTAATTTGGAATTTCGACGAGCTTTTAGAAAAATACTTTGCCCAAAAAGAGTACAGAATGCCCAAAGAAGAAAAATGTCTGCACCTTTAATTGAGTCAAAAAGAAAAAAGTCTTTAATTGCTGCACAAAAATAAAATTAAAAATTTTTTAAATAATATTTGCTCAAAATTTAATTAATTTTATAAATTAAATAATTTTAAGTAAAAATTTGCTTTTTTTGGTTTATTAAAAATAATTTTAAAATACCTATATGTATTTATTTTATCAAGTTTTAATAAATAAAAGTTTGATTTTATATGGATCTAAAAATTAAAATCAAATTCCTTCAAAAATTATAAATATTGCAATTTATTTTTTTAAACATTTATAAAAATTTATTTGTAAATTGAAAATAAATAGAAAAGAAAACTTCAAGGAAAATTTATATTTTGTAATAAAATTATTTTTAGTCAAACATTTTAGTTTAAAAAATTATTTTATATTTATTTATGTCTGTTTAGCCATTTGTCTCATTATTTCAATTTCTTCTTCACACAATTCAACGGAATATAACAAAAACTCTTGTTGGTATCTTGATGTATTTGCTGTTTGATCTAAAGCAATACCACTATCATAAATTGAGGATTGTTCTGGAAAATTTTGTTTAGATTGTTCTTCTTTTATTTCTTTATTTGTTGAAACTTTAATTATTTCTTCTCCTTTTTCCTTCTTTTTTAGCCTTTTTAAAGATTCTCTATTTTTAGCAGCAATATCCAAAAATGTTCGTTGATGGCCTTGAAAAATATTTTAATTAGTTTTTCGAGATTAAACAGCTACTATATCATTTAAAATTATTCATTATTTCATTTAAACGGGTTAGGGGCAAAACGAGGAATTCCGCGTTTAAACACGCGGAATAAACGCATTTAAATAAATTCGAATTTTTTCAAAAATTAATTATTTTTTCTTATGCGACTATAATTTTGAACATCATTTTTCATATTATAGATTAAAATACAAATGTAAATTTTCTTTATTTTTTCAATTTTTATTACCTCTATCCAAATTCAATTGAAGAAGTTGCCTTTCTGCAGTTATTTTACCACAAGAAATCCTTTCTGTTCTAATTGTTCCATCAAAAGGGGGTAATAATCTAAGCCAACTTGGTGGTCTCCATTTATTCTTTAAAGTTGTTTTTTGTTTAGTCTGCATTTTTTCGTTAATAATAAGGGGTGTTTTTTCTTTTAAAATCTCTCTTGGATAAACCTGAATAAATTAATATTAACCTTCTGAAAGTTTTATTAATTAATTGGACTGAAAATGGGCAGAAATCCAAATATTATCTATTAAATTCACCTCAATATCCGTCCATTTATTTATTGTTTTCCCACCAGAATTTCTTTCCTCGTCACTATCAATATCTAATCTACTAAAATCCATAGGTTGAATATTTGGAGGTATCGACCAATTTTGAAAAGATTTATTAATTAAACTATCATTTTTCCTTGCCAAATTTTCTGAAGAAGAACAAGAGGAGTGATGATGATGATAGCCTGAAGAACTTGATAATTGACCTGATGCTTGTTTAATTTCTTCGGCTTTCAAGGAAATATTATTTGCTGGAATATAATTTTAATTGAAGAAAATGTAGCCTCAGAAAGTGGATTAAGATTATTATGTATCATTGAAAACTTAGGAATCGAACTTGAAGGAATCGAACTTTCTTATGAATTATGAAAAATCTAGTTTTCATTGAAAATGATAGAATCGAAACTGAAAAATTCTTTTAAGAAGTAATAGTTTTTCTCTTTACATATACTAAAATTTAATTTTGGCTTATTCTATTCTCCTACTTTAAAAAATCCCAAATTAATAATAAAATAAAATATCTTCCCTACAATTTAATCCAATGTCCTCAATTTCTTCCAATTCTCTCAATTCATAACTTTTTTCTTCTTCAATTAACGAAGGAATTGAAAAGTCTACATTACTTTTTATTCTTATTTCGGGCATTTTAAATTGTTTTATTTGTAAATTTTTATCTGAAAATTCTTCTTCAGATGAGAATTTTTGTTCATTTGGTTCTTGTAGTATTTCTTCTTTATCTTTTTTATTTTCAATAAAATGTTCTTCATTTTCCAACAATTCTTGATCATAACTAAAAAATAATAATTAAATCAACTAATCAAACCATACTAAAATTCCCATCAAAAAATTAACGAGTTCGAAAATATCAAGTCTTATCAAAGTCCGAATCTCAAATAATCTCCATTCCCTAAAATATTTACATAAAACAAATTACCTATTATCTTTTCTTTCTAAAATTCCCTCTTCCTTATCCTCCCCTTCATCAACTTCTTCATTATCATAATCTTCCCCATTAACATTTTCTTCATTTATTCTTCCTCCAATCTGTGCCCATATCCATTCCAAATGTTTTCCAACTTTATTCATTTCCTGTAAAAGTTGTTCCTTTGTTAATTCCTTTTCAAAAATATTTTTTTCTTCTTCTTCCTCTTCAGAAGCCCAATTACTTGTTGAACTTTCTTCTTCTTCATTTAATTTTGCCGAATAATTTAATTTTTTATTTTTTCTTCTTTCTTTATTAGAATTTAAAGAACTTCTACTTTCAGAAGAATAAACAGAATTATTTGTAGAATAATAATTATTATTTATTTCACTACTACTTTTTAGTGGTTCTGTTGTTGTTGTTGTTAATTCTTCACTTCCTTCAATACCTTTTTGTTTAAGTAAAAATGAAAGAAAAGCTGAATATGTTTTTTGTTTCTTTTCTAAATCACTTTGAGTTATTGACTGTCTTTTATTTTTATTTATTTTTGATAATTTTTTATTTGGTTTTAATTGATGTTTCGGGCGAATATTCTTTTGTTGTTTTACTTAAATTTTATTTTATTTATTATTTAAATGATAGGAATACTTAAATAGAACTATTAGGCAATAGCTCAGCTAATAATCTAAATTTAAAAACAATTTTTTAAAACTTGTTTGGCTGTTTAAGCGATACCCAAACTACTGGACACACTCCATTTTACATATAAATTTTTATATTACCTGATTTATTTATTTCGTTGATACCCCCAGTTGCGGGTAAATTTCCCATTTCCTTTCCATTTATTAAATTTGTTTCTTCTTCAAGTAATTCTAACCGTTTAATCCCTGAACGAATTTCCTCAGCTAATATTTCTAATTCATCAATTTCTTTTATTTTACAAATATTTTTTTCTTCTTTTTCTTTAATTAAATTATTTTCATTTATTTTCAAAGAAAATTTTCCAATTTCATCAAAATGTTCAATTAGTATATTATTTTTAGTATTTTTGTTTAAATTTTTTGAGGTAAAAGTTTGTCGATTACAACAACAAAATTCTTCAGGAACAAGTTCTAAACGCATTTGAATTATTGGAGGAGGCAAATTAACTATCGGGAATTCAGTAGATAAATACTGCATAATCAAAATATCCTCAAAATTATTTAACTTAAATTTAAAAATAATTAAATTTTAAATTAAAAGTTTTCAAATTACTCGAAATTTGTAATTTTCTGAAGGAAATACTTGTAAATTATTTTTATTTAATTCTGTTAATTCATTTAAATTAAACTTTTCTTCAGCCCCACTCAAAATAAATGAGTACCAATTTGGCCTGTTTAATTCATTTAATGGAGGAAAATTCCTTTAATTTGTTTGAATTATTTAACAGGAAAAATTAAAATTATTTTTAAAAATATTTACATTTTAAAATATTTTTGGTTTTGTTGTTGTAAAGTATGTAAGAAAAGCGCTGCTGCGTCTAAATCCTCTGTTTTAGCCAATTTTATCCATCTAATTTTTTAGATTTAATAAATTTAGAATATTAAATGACTAGCTTGCTTAGTCTGGTAAAACTATTTAAATATTTTATCTCAATTTTTAGTGTTTTCTGCTCTCTAGTATTTTTTAAAAATAAAATTACCTTTTAATACTTTTCCAAATTAATTCATTTTCTTTAGGTTTTTGACTGAAATTTCTGAAAGGAAAACTCAAAACCTCGAATTTTATTTTATATTTATTTATTAATTCAAAATCATTATTTTTAATTGATTTAATAAGTAATTCTCGTATTTGCATTCCAATGACCACAGAAAATAAAGTTTGAAAAATATTTAAATCTGTATAAATTTCGTTTTCTGAATGGCCAATAAATAATTGTTTTTCAAGAATAATTGAGAGATCATTTGATGAGTTATTGGTAAACTAAAAAATAAATTATGAATTTTTATTAAAATGATAAAAAAGAGCTTAAATCATTTAATAAATTGATAATAATTAACTAAAATAAAGTTGGTTTATAGAAATTAAAGTTATTGTATCGATGATTTCGGAGTGTATGGATGATTCGTATAGATGATTTTATCTTAAAATATTATTAGGGAAATTACAAATCTACAATTGTAGAATTGATTGTAAAACTATCACAACTATTTTAATTTTAGTCTCTTTAATAGTTAAATAGTATTCTTCATTTTATTATTAAAATATTTAAAATTTACTTGATTTGTTTTACTATTATTGTAACTAATATCTTCTTGACTTTTTGCCATCCAAAGTGCAAAAAATCCAATTAAATTCTCCAATCGATTTGAAATGCCAAAAGCCATACTTATAATTAAATAACACCTATGTATCCTTAACCAACTTAAAGATTCTTGATTATTTTTACCATATAAATTTAAATTATCCTCTTCTAAAGGAATAGAAAATATTGGCGGACGAGGTAAAAAACGTGAAAGACACTAAAAATTAAATTTTTAAATTATTAATTTAATAAAAATATTACTTTAATATTATCTGAGGAACAAATAAATTCGTTTCCAAAAGAAAAATCTTCTAAAAGCTTTTCAAATTCAGCACCCATATGATAGGCACATTCTGCAATAAGGCAATCAAAAAACCCGATATAATTGTGAAAATTGGAGGGAAAAAGAACGTCAAAATTTAAAGCCGTCTAAAATATTTTTTTTAATTTTTAAATTAAACTTTTAACATTCGATATCCACGCATTGGAGTGGATATGTGCGGATGGATCTACATATGGATCTAATATTATTTTATCTAATAAGCCCCTATATTATCATAAATTTAAATATTTTTTAAATTCACATTTGTAAAGATAAACCTCTATATTTTGTTGAATATATTTAATAATTTCTTGATTATTCATTAAAGTTTGAGCATTATCAAAATTTTCAAGGAACAAAATTCGTTCCAAAAATTGTTTAATTAATAAATTCTGACAAAAATCAGACAATAATTGAAGACTATAAATATTTTAATATTTTCGAATAAATAATTTTAAAGTATAATTTGTCAACCTATAAATCTTTTCAGCAAAAAATCTCAAAAGCAAGATAGCCCTCAAATCATTAAAATGATCAACAAAAAATATTGCCTCTAAAATTCTCTCCTCTCTTAATAAAAGATATATTGCTAATTTAGGAGAACAATCTTCTGATAAAATTTGTCCTAATTGCCAATGATTATTATTTAAATTTAAATTATTTTCTTCTTTATTTTCATCAATCCATTGTTCTTCTAATTCGGACCAAATTATTAAATTTGGTAATATACAAATATTCTCAGAATTGGAGATATCTTTAAATTTAAATGTTTAAAATTAATTTTTAAAATATCAGACAATATATTTATTTGTTATGTTTTAAAAAAATACAATTTATTTTTCTTATTTTTTGAGGAATGGGATAAAGGTTTTGAGTGAAATTTATTGTTTTTCTATAAACAATTCAATTTACTAACAGTAAATTAAGAATCCTATAAAACCCTCAACCAACCATAAACAAAAAAAGCTAAAACCTTTATGAGAAATATCCAATTTTTTGATGTTTTTGAATAAGAGAGGGAAGGAAAAATTTAAATAATAAGCAGCCAAAAAGCGTCCCAATTCTAATCGAAGTTGTGAATATTTAATTGTTGATGATTGAGTTGAATTGGTAGGATCATTAGAAATCAACTTTTTTAAATCTTCGTGACTTCTCAAATAAGTGAAGAGCCTCAAACGGAAGCGAGCTTCTAACTCGTTAGAATGTAAATTAACATCCATTAAAATCCATTAGAGTTTAAAAATTAATTATAGATTTTTGGTAATTTTACATAATTTTTTAAATAATTTATATTTAAATTAATTTTTATGAATGGTCAAAATAAAATAGAGATAAAAATAAAAATTAATGGCCAACTGTCCAGCGTTTCCATGGTAACAAAAAAGTAAATAAAAAAATTCGTTTCCAATTATTAAATTGAAATTTAAAATGCACCGTTTTTATGCATCATAAAAAAATAAAAATGTTTATCCAATATATTTAAAATGAAACTACCTTTTAAATATTTGTTTGTTTTGGAAATCAATTTTAATTTATAAGAGGAAAATTTTTAAAATTATAATAAAATTAAAAATTAAAAATTAATTAAAATTTCTTTAAATTTTACACAAAAAAACAAATTTCATATAAATTAAATGTCTATTTTTAATTTAGGTATTTATTAAAATTTAGTGGTTAATCCGAGTAACTATACGGTGAATGTGCAAGTTTAATAAATCTCAATCTTTTCACTACTTACAAGATTTTTTTGTAATTTAACATTTTTATTTTCAAACAATTAAAAGTATTAATTTAAAATAAATTATTACTTTTTCTTTCAACAAAATTAATTAATAAAAATTGCGACATGTAATTTAAAAGTTAAAAATCAATTACTTAATTAAAAACCCGAAAAAAATATTTCTTCAAAAATAAGTGCAGTTCATTTAATTATTTTTTGTGATTGACCCGTTTCTTTATTACATAATTTTAGCCACACAAAAATAAAAATATTTTCTAATGATAAATAATAACTCTTTTTTAACTTCAAATCAAAATTTTTCTAATTTTTTGTTTGGTCTGATTATTGGAGCAATTGGCTCAGCACTTATTTTGTTTAGTCAATTTTCTGACATTCAAATTCAATTTTTGCAATTTAAATGGTTAAAAAATGAAAGTGTTGATTTATCAAAATATTCTAGTTTAATTTATTTTTTGAATTTAAAGTCAATAAAATTTTAAGAAAATCCAAATATTTTTTGTTGGATTATGACAACTCCGAAATATCATCGTGAAAGGGCTGATCACGTAGAGGCAACGTGGGCACCGCATTGTGATAAACATTTATTTATGAGTACTAAAAATGACAGTAAATTACCTATTGTGAATTTATCTGTGCCTGAAGGGAGAGAATTTCTTTGGGTTTTGCAAAGAATTTTATTTTGATTTTTAATAAAATTCAGGCAAAAACTAAAGCTGCTTTTAAATATATTTATGACAATATAGATGTTGTAGGTATCGAAAAAAATATTTAAAAAATAAAGTAAAATTTAAGTCAAAATTCGAATGGTTCTTAAAGGCTGATGATGACACATTTGTTATTGTGGAAAATTTAAGAAAATTATTAGAAAAATATTCGGCAGATTCTCTCGTTTATTTTGGTGCTATTTTTCATTTTATGGGTTAATTATTTATTAAAAAATGTTTATGAAAATCAGAAAATGTTTAGATGCCTCTCTTGGCCAAACATATCCAAGTGGAGGTGCTGGCTACGTTTTAAGTAGAGGGGCTCTTCGTAAATTTGTTGAAATAGGTTTACGTGGAGAGAAATTGTGTGACTCAAAAGAGATTTATGAAGATTTAGAAATTGGTAGTTGTATGAGAAAATTAAATATTTCTTTAATAGATTCTAGGTATTATTTAAATTATAAATTAAATTTATTTTAAATTAATAGAGATTCTAAAGGAAGACATAGATTCATTCCAGTCTCGCCAGATAATTCACTTATTAAATTGCCAGATGATGATTATTATAATTGGGTACAGAGCTATAGTAAATTTCCTTATAAATCGGTATATGTTTAAAATACATAAATGTTTTTCTTCCAGATAACTAAATGATTCTCCCTTTTCTTTCAGGGTCCTAATTGTTGCTCAGACAGTGCAATCTCCTTCCATTACATAGATCCAAAAATGATGCATATAATGAATTATTTCATTTATAATTTAAATGTTGGCTATACAAAAGATTAATTTAACTATATATTTTAAAACTAAAAAAATATTTTTAAATTCTAATTTCAAAATTTTCTGCCTAAAAATGAAAAAGGTAAAGCAAAATTGTTAAACCAAAAAATTCTCCCAAGCACCTGCCTTCTGTCCACTTTTCTTTGCCATATACATACTACTCATAAATGAGTGGTTTGCCATTTAATATCACCATTTGGTTGCCTAACTACCTAACAACCAAACAGACTTTTAATATATTTTATAGCGTCCACTAAAACTATCTCGGCAATAACCCCATTATTTTTTCTTTTTTAGCTTCCGAAATTTCCACAAATTTATAGATTTTTTTTTGTAAAGATATATGCACATTTCTCTTAAAATATTTCTTATAAATTTTTTTGTTAATAACCTCAGAAAATATTATTGAGTTCTTAAATTAAATATTCGGATATTTTTAAAATTACTATAATTGCCTCCCTTTCCAGCAGAAAATTGGAAGAATAATTACCCAGGGTAATCAATCGAGTAAATAAATTATTCTTTTTTTGATTATTATTAATTTTTGTCTGTAATTTTTTGGCACCACGAGAGGGGCTAAAAATAGCAAGAAAAAATTTTATTAAAGGGAATGTGTAAATTCTAAGCCTAAAAATATAAAAAAGAATATGACTAAAAGGAACGACCTTTTTTGAGGTTGACCCGAACATCAACAAATATTAAAAATAAATGTTTGTCAATATGCAAATATTTTAACAAAAATATTTTTATTTATTTGCTTTTATTTTAGGCAAAGCTAAAAAATAAAAGATGAAAATAGATATTTAGGAGCGGCCATATATTTTTATTTTTATATTTTTTTTCATTTTTAGACATAGTATATTTGGAGCTGTAAACTTTTTCTAATAAAAATTATTTTTAGATAAATATTTGTTAAGTAATTAATTTTGCTTGAAATAACTTGTTTTTTATTTAAAATTTTTATTTAAAATTTATTTAAAAAATACAATTCACTACAATTTAATCTTCACTTTTAATTTATAAATGATTAAATAATTCTCTTATTAATTTAAAACTTTTCTTATTAATTTTTAACATTTTCTGTTCCGTGTCCTTCAAATAAATAAAATTCTTCAAAAAACTTTCCGGCAGAACAATTTTATTTATTATTTTTAACCATTTTCGTCTTCCATCTTCGTTTGCAGACAGACGGCTGCACACCTCCTCTACTCCCTCCAAACAATTTTTTTAATATTTTAAAGAAAAATGTTCTTCTTCTTACCTTATTCTCATCCATTTTGATATTTTTTTTGTGTTTATTCCCCCATATTTGCACCACCTTTCAACGTTGGCCTGTAGATTCTTCTCTACCCCTTACCAAAGCCGCAAATTGTTCTACTTTACCAGTCACTTACCTTCTTTCATTTAAGCTTTTTGCTTTTTTGTATAAAGAAAGTAATGTTTTTTGATAGAAATCTAAACTTTTCTTTTATCTTAAAACATTTCAAAAAATAATTTAAAAAATTATTTTTAATTTTTCTAAATTTAAAACTAAATAGGGATATATCCATTTAACGATCGATGCCCACCTCCAGAGAGAACCTATCCTATATCGACTGCCATAGATTTTTCATTGTTTTTTATTTGTACAAGGCCATATAACCTCTAATTTATAAAATTATATTAGGTATATTTTTTAAGAATAATATTACTGGTTTTTTAATTTTATTCTAAATAAATATCATTTATCTGTTTAAGATTAGGTTTAGGGTTGCCAGCTCGCTCGAACCGAAACTCTAAAGATCGAGCGAGCCGAGGCTTTTCAGCTCGAAAAGCTCGAAAACGAACCGAATCGAAAAAAACCAAGCTCGAAAAAAATGCACCGAACGTCGGCTCGAACCGAAAACGGCAACACTAATTAGGTTACATACATATATTTATATTACTAAATTTAATGTTAAAGCCAATGTCAATCCTTCCTATTAAATTTTAAAAATTTATTTTAAAAATAATTGTAAATAATTTTATTTTTAACAATAATTTAAATAAATATTTATTTTAATTAATTGTTAACACTTATCTACGTCATTTAATCCACACATAAATTCAAAATTATTTTTTTAATCTTTCATTTGTTTAACTAAATAATCTTTAAAAATAAACAAAAAAAAACAGGAAATAATAGAAAAGAAAACATGTGGAACTTAAATGTTTTTAAGTGAAGTTAAGTTTGTTTTTAATTGTTCACTTAAAGTCTTTTGAATGAATGAGCTTTTTTTTGTTTTTCTGGAACTTGTAAATAAATAAAATAAATTAAATTGTTTTTTTATTTTATTTATTTTATTTTCTTTTTAACGCCTTTCCTTCCTCTTGACCATTCTGGACAGGTTGCCGAATTTTTGTTTAATTCTCTTCATTATATTCGAAATGTTGACTGACCATTATTCTCCCAGGTGGACATAAATATAATCTGCGAGGGAAGGAAATAAAAAGTAAATATATAAAGAAGCTTCGTTTTTGCATTTTTGGTGTCAAATGACTTGAAAACACTCTAATGAAGTTTTCTTTAAAAAATTATTTTTAAGTTAAATTCCTTTCAAAATAAATTATATTTTGATGTTTTGACTGTCTAGAATTAAAAAAAGTAGTTAATATTTTAATGTTTATAAATAGGGTGTTTCAAAACATGCAAATGCATATTTTGTATGCGGATATGCTATGAGCTGAAACGCTCAAAAATGGTGTTTTTACGTCGGTACGATGATTAGGGACCGGGTTCCTATAGCATATTTTTGCATATTTCGGTACTTTTGTGCATATTTGCATATCGATGCATATTTTGGGAAATTTTGCATATTTCTACCTAAATTTGTGCATATTTTGGCATTTTTTGAGAAATTTTAGTAAAAATCGGGCAAAATTTTCAAAATTTTGGAATTTTTTGGGCAAAAAAATTTTTTAATAAAAATTTGTTGAAAAAATTTATCCGAAAAATTTTTCGGGAAATTTTTTTTTCAAAAAAATTTTTTTTGGTTGAATTTAAAGTTGATAAAAATTTTTTAAAATTGCTCATAAACTGCAACTCAAATGCTAAATTTATATTTTTTACATAAAATATTGATTTTTAAAACACATTTTCATTATTTTTGCTGCATATTTAGTGCATATTTCGGCAAATTTGACATATTTTGATGCATATTTTGGGCTTTTTCGGTGCATATATATGCGCATATTTTTTAATTTTTCGTGCATATTTTGAAACACCCTATTTATAAAACAGAATTTATGATTTATTTTAAAAACATTTAAATTACCCAATATATCAAGTATTTATTTTCTAGCTTTCTAAGCTTTCATGGCCTTAATATAATTTTAACTAATTTCGTTAAATTGACTATTTTTTATTTATCTTCTAGCATTTCTTTTGCAATTTACAAAAAAATAATATAAAAGAATTTATTATTCTTCCTCCAAAACTTGAAGCATTTTAAAAGAGCTTTTCCCAAAATTGCACAATATTATTTTTATTTAATTCTTTCACTTTTTCCGCTTCAGACTTTTTATATTATTTATTAATTTTTATGTAAAATAAATTTATAAAATTTAAATTAAATTAAATTGGAAACATTTGATTAATTATTTTCGAATTGCTACACCTTTAGTTTAAATTAAAATTAATTAATTTCTTTCATCTTCATTAAAATTTATTTTTAATTTTCCACAATTTTTATCAAATTCCTTTCTCTAAAAATTATATTCCATCCATTACTTTTTAATCTCTTCTTCTATTTACCACCTCCAACTCTTCCTGCCCTTGCCCTTTAAATAGAATTAATCCAATTATTTGAAGCAACCATCCGTTTATGGGTTGAAGAGGAGATTTTTTCACAATTTGCCCTTTGTTTGAACACACACCTGCAAATATTTTTCTTTTCTCCTTTTTTTAATTTTAACAAAAATATTTATTTATTTTTCTCTTTTTTTTGTAACTTTTTCCGTATTTTGCTCTATAAAAATATTTTTTTATTTTTTTAGAATAGCTTTATTAAAAATATTAGAGAGCTTTAACCTATTCTTCTCTCTCTCTTTATTCTTCATCACAAAAATTTTTGTCCGTTAAATATTTAAAAAAGAACATAAACAGAGCAGAGAAGTAACAAAAGAATGAATTAATATATTTTTAATTATTTTACAAATAAAAAATTTCTATTTAATTTAATTCTTAAAATGTCCATTAGCCAATAATAGACCCGATTTTGTGAATGGATGAACAACGATTTTGGAGTAGTGCCTTGGGCGAGTGGATTTGGTTAGTTTTTGGGTCCGTTTAGCAAAAAAGCTTTAACACAATTTTACTAAATATTTTCTAATTTATTTACAAATAAATAGAGAAATATTTAATAAATTATTTTTATTTTACATATGTAATTATCGAGGGATATGAGGAATATTTTTAAGCAAAACTTTGTTTTCAACTTTCCCTAATTTTAAATATTTTTAAGTGATTGTGTCTGTGGGACATCATTACATTATTCTAAACATTCTAATCCCAACCTCCATGGTCCACTAATATCTGAATCTACTTGGCGATCTCCTGCCAATACTGATCTTCAGCTTCGCTATTCGGAACTTTGTGATAGCATTGCTTTAAACCTTTTATTTTGTTTTTTGTATGTTTTATTTTAAATTATTCTGTTAGGAAATTACTAAAACTGTATGATAGAAAAAATACCAAAGATTCCCGATTTTTCAAAAAAGTCGTTAATTGGTATTTAAAAAATAAATTTAAACATAAACTTAGAGCATTAACAAGATTTCCATTTTATACATTCCAAATCTCTTTTACTATTATAATTAGATTATAATTCTACTAGTTATTATCATTAAATGACTAAAAAATTATTCAAAAAAATATATTTAATTTATAATGACCAGCAAAATAACTAGTTTTTTAAAAAAATATATTTATTTATTTACTGATTAATTGATTTGCATAATTATATACTTCTTTTCTGAATTAAGAAGTAGTGCAAACGATCACCAACAACAACAATCAGCTGCTTTTCTACTTTTTCCATCATTTACTTTAACAACCACTTTTAAAAACTTTCTTCCTCCCATTGAAGATCATCAGCTGCATAATTGCGATCGTCAAAATAATTTCACTGTTGAAAGAAGTGAAAGCCTTAGTTCAGGCTTTTCATCAGAAAATAATAATAATAATCACGTTATTTGCGCTGGTAATTGTCAGAGTATTGTTAAACGGCTTAGACAATTTCATCAGTTGTTGAGGGCACTTTGCTTGTTTTATCAAGTTATTTTAATAATATACAAAATAATTTTAAAATATTAATTGGGGGGGGGGGGGGGGGAGGGGGTGTTTAGACAATCTAAAGTTTTGTAATTGTGAAATTCTAGTATATAAATAATCTGTTATTTAACATCAAACAAAATTTTAGAATTTTTGAAGATGGCTAAACTTTTTCCAAAATTTAATTACCCTTCCAGTCAAATAAAACAGAAATTCAGATAAATCTAAAAACGTTTACCTTCATTATAATTTTTAATTGTTATTTAATGCATGAAGTTTAAACATAAATAAGTATAAACTGATAAATTTAATCACAATCAACTAATTAATAAATTTTTTTAATTTTAAAGAGCAATTCTCTTCTCATCATTACTTTACCTAAAATTCATTGTATTGCTCGATCCCCTTCTTCAGGTAAATTAATTTTATTAAATTTCTGTTTAACATTAAATCTAACATTTTTGGCTTCCTCTTCACAAATAATGTCAATCTTTTGTAATTGTTACGACAGTCGTCGTAAAAATTTTTTACGATGTTTTCGCAATCCAAACCTCTATATGTACATAAATTCTTTTTAAATATTCTCTTTATAATTTTATAATTCAAAATTCCCATACTTTATTATTCTAATCACTTTTTGTTTTTCCCCTTCACGGCTTTCACATATGTTTGTGCCACAATTATACCTAAATTTAAAAAAAGGAGAGGAAATTGTCCATCATCCACCCGATCATTCCTCTCACTTTCCATTCATTTTAAGATTTATTTACAATTCTTGGAGGATTTTCTATTATTTCCAACTTTTTTCCAATTTTCTGACCAATGAAAAAAAATTTATTTTGCTTGTGTAAGAGAGTGAGTTTAAAGCCCAAATGTGCTCACAATTTTTAACTTTCTTCCAGACAGATGTATTAAAATAAAAAATCTTTTCTTTTCTTATTTTTCCGTTTAAAGTACTCCCCCCATCCAAGTAAAAGCTTCAAGTACTTCCCAGCACCGTCCACCTCCTCATATCCAAAATAAATGGCCTTTATACTTTTAGCCTTTCTCAGTCCTAAAATTTTGTTGTTTTAGGCGTGGAATTTTTGTCTTTTATTGTTGACAATTGCTTTTTTCTTTAAATAACCCAAACGGTGATTAAATGACTGACACAAAATATGACCTAAAATCCTAAACATTCTTTTTTAAACTTCCTGTCCCCATCATAAACATTTTATTTACCTTTAAAGAATTTATTACTTCCTTTACAACGATAATCTTTGCAATTTATGATTTTAAGAAATTTCATTCATACATATTAAATCTTGGATATCATATTTATTTTTAAAAATCCTTTCTTATAATTTATTTTTCAAATATCTTTTTGGAAATTTTAATTCTATACTATGAGGACATTCTAATTTGCATTATTTTCACTAAATTCTTTAGATTCGAAAAATATAAGGTTGATTTCCAACAATGCCAGAAAATCAGGCGAAATGGATATAGTAATTTCTCCCTTACTCAAGGAAATGAATTTATTGGGCGAGTAAAACGAGAAATTTTTCCACCTTCGTCCTCCGAGGAATCCTTATCCCTGGTGATAGGGATTAACATTACTATTGTATATTTTTTTGAATTTTATCACTTCAACTCTTAAAATTTTTACATTTCTCATAAAAAAGAATTTCCATTACATATCCCTTGTTGTTTACCTTGTTTAGATATGGTTAAAGGGTGAATGTTTGAAATAATGGAAAGGAATTACAAGGTCATTTTCTACCAACACACTATTATATACGAGAATATATGCATAGCTATTCATTTACTTTTACTCTTACATTTTATTTTATTTTTGTCATTTTTCCCCTAACTCCCGCCTGGTTCCTATCACTAATAAATACTACTACTTTTTTGTTAAAAATTAATTAACATACTATATTTGTTGATTAAAAAATCATTACATATTAAATTAAATAAAAATTTAATGTCAAAATTTTCAGAATTTCCGTTCATAATTTTCTAGTCTAATTTGTCCAAAATTAAAAAATATTTTACAGGGTGACAAAAAAGTAACCGGGCAGATATTTTTTGGCATAACTTTATTCAATTTAGAGATAATGGAATAAAATCAAGTTTATATGATAGAGAATTAAGCAAGGAACAGATATTATCAAAAATTTTCGAGGTGCCCTTCCTTTACTCGGAGATAGAGTTGAAGACGCGCGGAAAAATTTTAGGCAAAAGTTCGCACCACCTTGGGCGAGATTTTCTCTCATTGTCGGACGAGTGATTGCAGTATCGACTCTAAACTTTTGGGTTATTAAGAACAGACAATTCTCTCAAAAATACCAAAAGGAACAATCCATAGGATTCAACTACAATGAGTACGATGGCAATTTTTGAGACGTGTTAAAACAGGGTAAATTGGCTGTGATCAACCTTGCACTACTCTAGCCTTATGAGCTGAGGAAGAATTCAGACGAAAGATCCGTTCCCTACGTCAAAAGTGGCCTCGAACGCGAGGCTGTAAAATACCCTGACAGGATTTCCAGTGGATTCACGAAAACCCTCAGGATTCACTAAAATCAAGGGATATTGCCGTTTTGCAAATAACATCCTATATCTTTAAAGAAAAAAAGTTTTGGGAATCATTAACAAGAGGATTAGAAAGAGGAGACTTTGGGGCACAAGATCAGTCATTTTTATTATTTTGACATGCTCCGTTCATAAAAAATTTTTTGTTTGAAAAAATTTTTTTTGACTTGCGAACTTTTGCCTAAAATTTTTCCGCGCGTCTTCAACTCTATCTCCGAGTAAAGGAAGGGCACTTCGAAAATTTTTGATAATATCTGTTCCTTGCTTAATTCTCTATCATATAAACTTGATTTCATTCCATTATCTCTAAATTGAATAAAGTTATGCCAAAAAATATCTGCCCGGTTACTTTTTTGTCACCCTGTAACATAGATTTTTTAAAATATTTTACTTAATATTTTAAATATTTGCAACCTTTATTCTTTTACTTGTTTTTGTAATTTAATATGTCTGTTTTTTATTTTCGTGCTTAGAATTACTAATTTTGACACGAGCAATTATATTTACCTTTAATTAAATAGAATATTTATAAAAATACATAGTCTGACCAGCTTTTCTTTTAAAAAAATTAGATTTTAAAAATATATTTTGAATAATTTTTTTTGTTCTGTTAAAATATTTTTTATTCATTATGTCATCTGTTGATTAATAAAAGTATAATTACTCTTAATTTAAATTACTAAAAGTTTAATTTAAATATGCTTAAATAATTTTTTATTAAATATTTTCATTCAAAATTTATTTTAAAAATTTTTATTTTATCTAAACAAAAATCCATTAATCAAATGAATACTCTCAAGAAAAGGTCAAAACAATACATTTTCTTTTTAGCAAAACAATTTTTTTTGGAAGAAAGGCTTCAAGAATTAAAGGGAAAACAAAAAAAATGAGAAACACACACACATCAGTCATCTCGTTTTTAATTTGCATAATTATTGTCACTCTTTATATTATTTTTTAAAATTTTACTTCACCCGATTATTTATTTAAATAATATTTTATTAAAAATAAATTTCTTTAAAATTTCGAAAAAATTTTTAAAATAATTTTAGACAATAAAATATCCACAAAATAAATTATCAAAAGACTACCTACCTCTCTCTATACTCCTTTTTCCATCTTATCATCTTTTTTTCAATTTTTTAGCCCATCCATTAAGTAACACATTAGAGCTTTTTTTAATTCTTATCCAACCATTTTTAGCTATTTTTTTATTAAAACTAATAAAATCTTTGCCAAATCTTTCCTTTTTTCCAATTCCTGTTTTATTCTTTTATACTGCGCAGAGTTTTAGTAACGCTTTAAAAACTTTTATTTTTTTATTAAAAGCTTTTATTTGCACTTTACTTTTCCTTCTTTCCTTATTTTGCGTGTTCTCAAATTTTCCTTTTTTTGCTTTTTAATAGTTTTGACGGCAAATGACTTTTCTGATTACGCCATTTATGGGGGAATAAAATTAAAGCTGCATAACAAGGAAAAGTCTTTTTTTACAAAAAACTTTTTAAAGATCAAAATAATATTTAAAAAACTGGTTTAATTAATAATTAAATAAAGATAAAATTTAATAATGAGAGAATTTTAATTAAGAAATAGCCATTTTTGCGTTAAAAGCTTTGCAGGCTTTCAGATTAAAATTTTCTCACTTATAATTTATTTTTATAATATTTTCTTTAAAGTATTTTTTAGAAAAAAGTTATTTTTGAAAAAAAGATTTATTTTTTATCTTTAATAAAATAAAGAAGATTAATAATTTTTAAAATATTAGAAAAATATTCAAAGATTCATTTTTTAATAAAGC